CAGCCGATGACTCATGGGAGCCCGAAGCGAACCTGACTGGGACGGCTGACGAAGTGTTCGGCAGAATATAAGAACAGGAAGGACTTGAGCTAAGTCGTCAGCAGCTCTACCCAGTCGCTACATTCCCACTCGCACCAACATGTCTTCCACCCTCCCGTTCCTCGACCAGTTCAACGCCCCCTCGACCGAAGGCGGGAAAAGGCTCTCAATCTACACCCCTAAGCACACCCACGTCGGTGACAGCACCTTGCTGACGCTTCTCCTCAGTAATCCCACCGACGTCTTCAACAAGCTCAAAGCCCACAACCCCGAGGCAACCAATGCCACCGACCGCGCTGCACTAGAAGCGTATCTCTCTGCCCGTCGCGACTACGACGAGGCTGTCAAGGCAGCCGACGAGGCCATCGACCACCACAAGCGGCTCCTACGCCAACAGGACGACCGCGTCCTCACCGAGCTCATCCGGCTCGACAATCTGAAAGTTGCCCATCGCTTTCAACCGCTCCTACCGCGCAACATCCGGGCGCGCCACAACAAATTCATCCCACGCGCCATCCCCAATGCGTACCTACCCCTACCCGCACCCCTACCGACGTCTGCCTTCAGGCGCCCCCCGATCCCATCCCCTTTCCTCCAAGCAATGCCGCGGAGCACTACCATCCCGGCTGACTGGCAACCCAACCCTGGTTGGACCCCGAAGGGAAGCTGCAGGCGATGCGGATCGTCTCGACACTGGGTACGGGACTGTCCAGACGTACGATGCGCAGGATGCGGAAAAGAAGCCCCTGGACACCTGGAGCGAGAGTGCGGAACCAGGCCGATGAAGCGACACGTATCCGCACCACCTGAAGAACCTGCGCGACGCATGGGGGTGGTCATCAACAATGTGTTCCTCGAAGGAATCATCAATGAGGCGAAGGAGAGGAAGGAGAGAGAAAGGCAGACAAAAGCAATACCCATCCCTCCACCGCGTAGCGCTAACCCCGAACCCCCGGCCAGTCCCGTTGCGGGACCCTCGCGCCCCCGCCCCGACACACCTGTCGTCTTTCGCAAAGTCGATCCCGACTGGACACCCGACTCTACTCAATGGACGTGGGACAGCTCCTGGCCGCATCAGAAGCACCTCTCTGGCGAAGAATGGATGAACGTGGGGAGAAACGCGTGCAAGGAATGGTTCGACGAAGAAGAGGACGACGGCGTAGATTGGGAGTTGTATGGAGATGGCGAGCAGTAAGTAGTCGAATGGGACTTCGACTCTGGTAGGGGGGTAATGAAACATTTATCTTTCCGTTCTATTCCTTGTATTACTAGCGCCCATACTGGCGCCTGTCTCAGCGCTCACCCGCAGGTTGAACATTATGTAGCTTACATAATGGGGTCCGTGCGCACTTCGTGCCTGGTATCGTACCACTACATTTCTTTCTTTACTAACACGACCACATAGACACAATGGTCCGTGCGCAGTCGGTACTTGTATAAGTAGTTGTACCATTAGTCGGCCGAACTCTAAGTTCGACCTGGTTATTCATTCAAGTCTCTGCTCCTCTTCGCTTGGGGTAGTGGTCATTCTTGACCTCCTCGCTCGATCTTCAGGACGACGCACTGTCCATAAGTCCTCGCTCGTCGTCTACGAGTCAGGCATCGATATAGGAGTATAGACCGTTGTATCACTAACGATCATTCCTACTGTGCGTGCTTTCTCTCCCAACTCTATGCCTAGACCATCAGACCCTCAGCACATTGCGAATATGTACCGGCTCACAGTTTACACACATGTGGCATACCCTGGTATTTGCTGGTCTGATCCAAGTTCAAGCAAAATGTAAGACCTTTGTGTGCGAATGATGTGGCAAGCCGAATTCATGATCTCCTGCACTCCAGTGTATACGAACACTTTTGTTGCCACATATGCACTATATCCTCGTGTCTCAGGCTAACTCACAGTGCGTTGATGCATGTGTACAGCATGTCAGAACGTGCGGAAATTCAAGCTACAGTCAAGGAAGCAAGAGATATAGAACTTGCCAGGCGGATTACTGTGAACCGCCCGCATAATCAATCTTCTGTGAGGTCCTTCGATCTATCATGCAGAGGATTCCGTTGATGCAAAGTACTGAAGCGCGTCGAGCTCTACCATCAGGATGACAAGCTTATCGGTGAGGACATGTCCATAGGTGCGATCCCTGCCACCATTCCGGCCGTCTCATCTGGCGGGTAGTGCAGCGAGGTAAATACCTAGGCAATTGGGAGTCTACATATCTGATTGAGTTGAATAACACAAACAGTGTTGAAAAAGACAGTGAATGAGCAGACACGGGGTATAAAATCGTGGGCGTTGCTGTGAGGTTCGGTGCTAGCAAAGGACCGTCTCAGCACTTCTTCCTATATGATCTGCTGGTGTGTGTAAATGTAAATGGGATGCTCGTAATGCAGATGCTCATTCCGCTTCGACTGCGGTCTATACATTCCGTCAGCTGAGAGCTTGTATAACGCAAAACGCAAATTTGAACAATGAGACTACCTTCTACTGTCAGGACAATGACAGCGAAGGGTGGCAATCCAACTTCCCTCCGGGGTGTAATCGTCCTCATGGGCCACGATGATCGCATGCTCGGCATCTCCATGTTCCAGCAGTTGCACTGTTAGGACAAGATCCACCGCACTTGAGAAAGGTAGTAATTTGATGCTTAATGTAGGTCGTACATGACACTGCTTGGATTATGCTCCACAGACGATGCATCATCTTTGCGATCAGACAATGTGAGGAAGCCGCCAAGCGGAATGAAAGTGGACGAGCTATAGAGACACTGTGATTCGCGACGGTCAACTGGAAGAGGCACCTATAAGTCGTAAGACAAAGACACGTTGACATGCATCACTGCCACCGGGACAGCGCACATGTGCATTGATAATACCTTCCCATACACTGAATGGAACCAAGTTGGTATGCATGGAATAATGCATGAGGTCTCGTCTCGCATAATGAATAAGATTTCTCGTGGGATTAACCTACATTTGGGTTTATTTACGCTAATTATGTATTGTAACATCAGTATAACGTAGGTAGACTATCCCTATCGGGACCCTGGACCATTTACCGTAACTCTGGCCCAAAATACGGCTAGGACTCCGGATGAATGTAGCCAGACATGTCTCCTCATAATGCATAGGCAAATCAGAGTAGCGACCTGCTGCTTTGTGAGAAGGTAGACCGTAGTTTTAAGAACTAAGCATTGGTACATATTGAGAGGCCATTAACAAGCACCAAGGATCATCGCCTCGGTACGACGGCAAGGACAAGTATGGACGTTCGCCGTATATCGCTGTGATGGTGGCCGCTCGTTACAAGCAAAGACGTCCAGGAACGTCACAAAGCACGCCAATAAATCCAATATAGATTCGGCGGGTCGTTTCAGGGACACAGAACGTAGAAGAACGTTCTCTCACAACGCCGACTCAGTCCCCACGAATGGAGGAACGGATGACGGAGTGAATTCCCGTTGACTCCTGCTAAAGATCAGACCGCTTCTAGATTTTCTCAAGAAATTCGGATCCGGAGTAAAGAGAATACCGCCGTAGATCGAGCAGAGATGATGCGATGACCGCTGCATCATCTGAACGGCATCGGCACGCTTGGACATCAGAAGCTGAGCTGCATATGCATGACACAGCATCATAACACGAGGAAGGGGCGTGAAAAGGTCTATCAGTAGATGCTGGGTCCCACCTCAGGTTACATACCCGCAACCTGCTCCCACGCATCAAGCCGCGCTGCATCTGCAAGGCGAGCCATCAACAGCGTTATACCTGAGCGACAACCAGTGGCCGTCAATGACTGGTCTTCCGACCGTCCATGCGCCGCTGACAACTCCCTCGCCGTCCATGACGCTGGCAAGTACAGCTTCTTCTCCCTCATCAATGGCGCCCGTATCTTCCAGGTACTTCGGTGTGCCGGGAAACGTACGTGAGCTTTCTACACCCCTGCATGGTGAGTTTCCATTTGAAGTGGTCTGCGGTCTGAGTTAATCCCATATCTGCTAGAAACCTACGACAACGAGCATGGGCCAATGGCCATCTTCTCGCCCATGCCGCCGTCTCCTTCGCCAATCGCTGGGCCATCTACCCAGCCGTATACCATTCATAAAGGACGGCTCATCGCATCAAGCCGTCGCGTCGCGGCGGCTTGCGCACCAACTTCCGGCTCGGGTACGCACTACGTACCCAGCCTTAGCCCTTCTGGCCTCCCTACTGGAGGGCAGAAAAAAGCTTACACCGGATACGAAGGATACGTACCGAACGCCGCTACCAACGGCAACACGGACGTATTCTTCGACAACAACAACATCGATTACTGCGAGAAGGCTATCGGCAAGCATGTCGCCGACAACGGTGATGAGCTTGCTGACGCAGTCCGACCTGCAGTCAAGCGGCCTCGCGTCTCCCCTTCTACTGGCTTGTCTTCGGCTCGCACACGAACCCAAACGCAACCTCGGCGAAAGGGCGTGCGGTCAAAACCCCCTGCGCCTCTACTGCCCGACCCTCGTGAGCAGTACGCACAGCAGGAAAGCCGCAAGAGGAAAAATAAGGACGACAACGACGACATCACGACAATCTCCATCAAGCCTTCCAAGAAAGCCCGGCAGGCTGTTACACAAAGCCAGCAGCTAGAAGGCGGTGGCTCTAAGAGGAGCAACACCAACAAGAATCTGTTCTGTCCGTTCGGCTGTAGAAAGGAGGCATTCCACAGCAAATACGAACTGAACAGGCACCTCGTAGAAAGCTGCATGCCCAATCCCGGTCGCAAAGAATCCCAGCTGCCATGTCCACTCTGCGGCAAGAAGCTCAAACGGGCTTGGACCCTCAAGAGGCACTTGACCACACGAACCGGGGAATGCAAGGCGAAAGAAGAAGAAAGGAGGATTCTGGCTTCCGCTGCGCAAAGATAGAGAAAGTGCTGTAATTGGGCGGCTCTTCGGATCCACGCACCAGTCTCAGTGCGTACCATTTCCCTCCTATCGTCAATGTTCTTCATACCTATCGCCTGTGTTTTCATTCCTTAGATTTCGCGGCTTCGTGCCTTCCTTGGATACCCCGTCGCGCGCGCATCGTATACCCAACTATCTAGATACCCAGACATCCGGATACCCCGATACCCTAGATGTCCAGATACCCGAGCGCCGCGGCGTTTCTTCAGGAAGTTTCGTAGCATCGTCATGTCTTGTTTTTTACCCTATATTGATTGAAGAGGTCTGTCAGCGTGTCGTCTCTCTGTAGTTCTATACTGGAATCAAGTATCGTTCGCGTAAATGACTAAGAGTGCGACGTTGCCCACAATGCATTTGGATCGATCTTAGCAAGAATGTGGGACACGAGCCACGCGCATAAGTATGAAGGACGAAGTACATCGTCAAAACATGACAATCGGAGTACCATGTCGATACAACACTGGCCATGCGAAGACAGATCGTTCGATTATTACACGATCCGCTCAGCTTGTCGTTACAGCATTCGCCCAATATGCTTGCATTGGCACAATAGACACGAGAACGCCGCCGTCGACAGAGGGCGCACATAGCCATTATAACAAAGTATTGGTTCGCGTGATTCTCGACGCATAGATGATATGTATCGTGAATGTGCGCCTTGCGAAGGCATATGACTAACGTGATAGTGCAGACTCTGTACAGCGTGTTCCAGCGGCATCTGACGGTTACTTCAGAATGCCTGTACATGTATAGTCGGGGACGGCATGACGCGCCGATAATTGTAGATGATTGCAGGCATGGACCGTCAACGCACTGATCGTATCGTGTACGATTCTGAAGACAATGGCGATGCAAGGTCTATCTAATGCCTGTCCGGAAAGCCGAGACTCCGAGAACACAACATGAGACCTGCGCGGCCAATTTAATAGTAACGATGGGAATTCGTGAACGTACCTGACAGGTAGTCTCGGTTGACAATTGAGACAATAATGGAACGGAAGATCCTGCGAGTCTGCAGCGACGTCAAGCTGGATTCGATCTTCGAATTGTACGGCTATAGGGCCCAAGCGTCGCGCAAAGATCCGAGACTAAAAAGCACCTGGAGTTTAACGAGTACTGATTCACTGGCATCGTCCTTGTAGAATAAAATGAGAGGTCGTGACAAGGATCGGCGAGAAAACACAGAGGACAACGGTGGACGCAAGGACGGGTATAAAGTTTGCAAGATGCCAGTCGCATCCACGTGGATCTCGGCTCACCCCGGTGGCACCTGGCCCTGTGGCTAGCCGTTTTGCCTACCTTTGTACTTACCATATATTCCTAAGTCCACCGCTTAGAAATCCCGTTATCTACCATTCAACGGTGTGTGTGTTCTACACGTCACAAATAATATTTTGCTTCCATGAAGATCATGATTCATTGCAGCCCAACTTGCACGCGAACTGACTGTGGGCTATCGATGCTGAGGAACCCGACTCGGGTGTTGCGACCGTGATCAGTTAAGTAGGGCCGAAGCAGTTGAATGCCAATGCACTTCAATCTCTTTCGCGCCGGCGCGTTCTCGTCTCATGAATTAGCCGCCTAGAAAACGGTATCGCTGATAATGACCATTCGCATTCACGAAATTGCCGCTTCATACACCGGAAACTATATAGGCTGCACGTCAGTTCTAGCAATACAATACGATCAGTCATGACAGGGGACTGACGCATTCCAAGGGTTGCATAAAGACATCGCTATACTCGACAATCTGCAAGTCTCGTATGCGTCTGACCGGATCCGACCTCTCTCCGGACGTCTTCGACACTCGAATGGACCCGACAGACGTCATGGGGCGTCATAGCGTTGCGTCTCTACTCTGGCCGAACTCCGCAGATACCGTGCAAGTCGCGGATGCACTGGCCATTCACGGGGACTTGGACTGCTAAGTTGACGGAACATAATCTTCTGGTCAAAATCGATGTGTCGAAACGTTGCCATGAATGTCCTAGATGAAGTCCCTTACATTGCGAAGACCGCTCAACCACGCAACCTAACACACGGACATGTCAAGGGTCGAATCTGCCGCTGTGCTCATGGGAACTGATCTTGAAGTTGAGTATGAAGCTTCCTACGACATCACGCTGTGACAAGGAACAATAACATGATATATCCAGCACATGTATATATCACATGCATCAAAGCCACGCACGAAGAACAGAACGGAGAATATCCAAGACGACAGCACGACAGAGCGAGAGTAGTTTGATTCAAGTTCCGCAGATGTAAAAGCACCACATACGCGAGCCGAAGGACAAACAACACCTGCAATCATCACCCACCTGTCTTAGACAGGGCGCGCATACCGCCCAGTGAGATTTAATGTTGACACGTCTTCCCAGCGAGCACACGGGATCAGACAGTGATATAGATGGCTGCAAGCGACGTACCTACCCGATCCCTGCGACATGTCCAAAAGCCGGAGAATGACATCTCCCTCAATTAGTACTGAGTCTTCGGGATCATGGCCGAGGGACTGTAATCGTCTGGAGCCTGAAGGGGCGGGGGCGGCGGAAGACTCAGTTCTATACCTCGCCCGAAGATGACTGTACAAGCCAGTTTGCGCGTTGGAAACTTCGTATCATTGATTCTGTCGTACATAGTCACAGTGGTAGTAGTCGACGAAGGGGTGCCATGGCAGGACCCAACATTATTCCTGAATATTCCCGAAGTGGTATGTCAGGAATAGACTGTAAGCGCGCACCAGTTTCTGCGCTAAACTCATCTCAGACGCTCATGGCCTCTCCCGAAAGTGCAACAATCACGCTGCGTACTGAATGCGAGTGGATGGATGAGTGTGCATGCGTGCTGTGGAAGATTTACAGGCTGTTCTAGCTTAGTGAGTGCATCTTTCATCAAACGCAACCGCTTTCTCAATCTCAAGGGATACTGACTAGTTCAACTCGCCTCCAGACTTTGACACCTTTGTTCATGAGACAAGTCCTGCTCATTAACCTTACGACCCTTTCTCCTGGCCGGCCCTTCCGCTGTGCTGCTTGTCGTTATCAACAAATATGATCCGCGGTTCTTCGAGGATCGTCAGACGTGCAATACTCGCCCAGTGCGTTCGTGGACGTACAGAATGAAAGCAGCGTCATCAGAACAAGGTCGTGGCAACAGTCTTCCCAAATGCGATCAAGATTTACAGCCACCGATCTGCGTCGACGACGATGACCCGGTGGGATGGGAAGAGTGGTACTTTCAGTACGCCAAGCATCCCTTGTTTAGCGAACGCGAAGCGTATTCCCTGTGTGCTCCCTTGCAAGGAACTGGCGTCCCCCGCTGGCTTGGCTCGGGAAGATCCTCGCTCATGGATCACGGTCCGCGCGCAATCACACCTCGCGCTTTCTTCCTGGAGTACATCGCTGATCCTGTCAGTTTGGGTGGTCTAACGGATGCTCAACTGTTCGCTCCTCCTCTCGTACGGCCACTTATAGAGGGCGCGAGCGCATTCGCGACGTCGAGAATCGCCCATCAGGAAACATACTCTCCAGCTTCGCTACTCGCCCTACTAGGGCGGTCATCGTTGACCATGGGAGCTGCGGTGTACGCGACGACAAGTCCGACGAAGAGAGGACGGAGATTGTGGAGTGTTGGCGAAACGTCAAATGGGTGAAGCGACTACTTCGACGGGCACTAGGCGCGAATGATTTGGACACGTATTTGGCAACAAAATTGCAGGTATGATACCTCGTTGTGTATCGGTTTTCTCTTATCAAAGCTGATGGCTTTTGGGGCAGAACGACGACGTGTGATTAGCCTTGCTCTCGTAAACATGGGGTCTTCGCCTGTACTTAGATTGGCCGAATCCGTCAACACATTCGAACACGCAGCTTGGCCTCGACCTCCGCAAATGTCACATTTCGCGATGTCATTATGCAGTGTCCTACTCATAAGGCAGGACTGATGTCTTCCACCTTTACTCCCCATCCCTCTCGCGGGAACCCCGGTGCCGCGCCCTGGGTCCCGTCCCACCCTCGAGCCATCATTGCCACCGCGTATAACAACCCACCGGATCCTGGGAAGTATGGCGTCGGCACCTGAGCACCTCCCAGTGGCATTCCTACGTCGTCGAACTGGTAATACGGGTCGAGGAGCCAGTCAATCGCCTTGTCCGCATCGCCGAGCCGTGCCGCTGACATTGCCAGTATCGGGAAATCCCAGCTATGGAAGGCCTCTTTCAACAAGGTCAAGGCGAGCGCGGATTGCACTTACCCCCACAAATTGGTGATGTTCCATGTTGTCCGCACCCTCTCTGCAGTTGCCTTCGCGATCTCGAGGCTTACGTTGGAGGTTTGCGGGAGCCAGCCGTACAAGCCCACCAGCGCTGGGTGGCTATTGGTGTACTCTGTCGTTGTCCAGAAGTCACTCTCGATCCCCTCGTACACGGCGTACAGCCCGTCCTCGATCGGCAAAGGCGCCAAGTTCTCTTTCACCTCACCCCACGCAACCGGCACCTCCTCGCCGAGGCGCTCCATCCATGCCTGTGCCAGGTCTAGCCCTAGCCGCCAATATGCCAACTCAAACGCGGGGTTTCGCGTCACGTTCGGGCTGGTGTCCTCGCTAACCACGTACATCGGAGGTCCGAGGTCATGCACACCCGTGCTCGTATTGTACCGCGCATAATTCGCCATCCAGTCAGCAGTTTCGTATACGACGTCCTGCCAGCGCTCCAGCGTTTCGCGCGATTGCGTCGCACGGTATTCGTATTCGGCGAAGACAAGCGGGTGAGGCTGCTGCCAGATGAGCAGTTCGTTGATCTCGCCAGGCGCCGAGCGGCCGGTGGGATCCGTCATCTTGGACCATCGTGCACCGTGTTTGTAGCCCTCCTGGCTTTGTGCGCGCTCTATAGACGTAGGAAGGAAGCGGGAATAGACGTTGACGGAACGGCCAAGAAGATCCCAGTTGTTCCATAACGCCCAGTGGCAGTTGTGCCAGAAGAACATCTCCATATGGAACTTCCCGTACTATCTCGTGCGCTTGGTTAGCATTGACCTCACACTCATCTAACAACGTTGCTCACCCATCCGTCATCCACAAGGCCTGACTACCGAGCTGAGTGAGCTGTCTTCCATGGCGATTCGCAAAGCAGTTGCAACGCACCTCCTGAGGTGGTGTGAAGCCGGCCTCATTCACTCGCATCAAGTAGCGCGACAGAATGATCCTCCTCTGCAATTCCTCTGCACGAGGGTCCGTTGACCCGGAGACCACGTCAACGAATCCGCTGCTGGACCAGTAACTCTTCCAGTTTGATATTGACTCTAGCGCCATCTCTGCCACGGAAGGTACCCCCTCCGAATTGCTGGGCGAATATCCGACAGTGATCGAGAAAGACGAAGAAGGCTCCACAGGCACCAGTCTGTACCTATGCGTTGTTGGCGAGACGCGCGAAATTGTGAAGTTATCGCCTCCGCCCAAGGTCGTGTAGAACGAGGCGGCACTCATCGTATGGCTGATCTGCCAAAGCACATTCTCTCCCAAGCCAGGACCCGCTGTCAGTGCCGTCGTGTGGCTATTGGTGTCATTCCAATACCCAACATAAGGCGCTTGAAACTTCTGCGAACCGTCGTTCCAAGGGAAGTCTAAGAACAAACAGAGTCGACCGTCTTGCACGAGGGTCGAGTGGATAGCTATCCCGACTGTGCTGCTGTTCTGCGCTGTGTACGTCTTCACAGTAACGTTGTGCCCATCGACAGCAAACGTGCTGGTGATCGTCCCGGACCAAAGGTCAAGCTCTTGGCGAGCGTCACTGAGGTCTGCTTCTGTGATATTCTGCACGTTGCCGACTCCATCTATGAATAGCAGACCTATCCGGCCCAGGTTGACACGGTTTGGGTTCGCAATTAGCCACTGCTGTGGCGCCGCAGGGCCGCCGAACTCGTATTGAACCCCATCCCAGACGACACCCCGATATGTCAAAATGTCCTCCTGCGTTATACCCGCCGGTAGACTGTCGTTTTTCCAGCCCCAGTCGGACATGATTGCCCACGGTTGAAAGGTTTGCAGTCCGGAGATGTCCGCGCCGAAGGCAAAAAAGCCATTACCAACCTGCATGGGCGTCGTGGAACTCGACGCATTCCGCACGGGGTTGTAGCGGGAGACGACTGCATGGCGCGGTATCGCGGACGCCAGGGCGATCAACACGAGTGTCAGAATCGTAGTCGCACGTATGAGAACCGATGGGCCCATGTTGGATCCTATTGGAGTACGGCGCCCGCAGTGAAGTCAGCATACTCCAGAGCTCATGGTATCCTATATGTACGCATTGTGCTGTATTCGCGTCCCACCGTTTCGCCGAATTGCCAACAGATGACCCTCCACACGGTCCGGCCATATTCACGAGTTGACATGTGATCGAGGCTTCATGACCCTTGAGTTGGCACAGCCTTGATTCGTGTTCCAGCAGTCTAGCAAACATTTCGATCGCCAAAGCATTCGACATTAATCGCTGCGCAATTGACGGGTCTGTCCGTGGTGGACGCACTGTTATAATCATCCATAAGCCCAGGCGAACACAACTACTGCGACTCCTCAAGCTAACTCCTTCAAGCGCTCCGGAGTCACGTCAGTCGACCTCCAGACATGCTCGAAGGCCTTCACATTCTCGGTGACGATGCTGAGCTTCTGCAGTATCATCGTCCCGCAATCGGGACCCAACGGGACGCGAAGCCAATCTCTCTTCCCACCCTGACCTTCGACCAAGCTCTTCGCTAAACCAGTACCTGCCACCAGCTCATACAGCCTCTGAGCTAACTTGGCGACATCACCGACGTGACCTTGCTCCACAGCCCTCTCATGCATCTTCTGGTCGGCACCGTACCCTTGGGAGGGATCAGTGTAGACGGTTGATCTCTTGAGATCCGATATAGAGGCGGTCGTCTGCAAAAAGCTTGTCGGGAAATAGCCAGGCTGTACGATAAGGACACGGATGCCGAATGGAGCGACTTCCTGACTGAGAGACTCTGAGAAGGCTTCCAGTGCCGATTTCGACGCGCAGTAAGCTCCCCAGGAAGGAAAGCTGACGAAGCCACCGACCGACGACACGTTCAGGATGTGGCCTGTTCGTCGGGCGCGGAAAGAAGGCAGTAACGCCTGAATGAGGGCTAGTGCGCCGAAGACATTGGTCTGGAATTGCGCGCGAGCTTCACCTAGACTATGAACCAGGTCAAAATCATCGCTGTCAAGTTACCTATGCATGACTTACTCTAATTCTTCTACGGGTGATAGTCCACCGTACCCCGCGTTGTTCACCAACACATCGATATATCCGTGCACCTTGAGTGCCTCTTCTCCCGCTTTGAGTATATCGCTGTCTGATGTGCCGAGATCCAGCACGAGGGGATGAGCTCCCGCCGCCTTGAGGCTCTCGGGGAACTTAGCGAGGGACCGGACGGTAGCGATGACCTGTACAGAAGGTATGCTTCGATCGTCACCCCTATGTGATACCACAACCACTAACCTTGTCTCCTTGGGAGAGAACGTATTCGGCAAGCGTGAGCCCTATACCAGAGCTCGCGCCTGTGATGAGCCAAACTCTAGCGGCCATAATCTCGAACTGTGTAGAATGCAAGATGTGCGCAGGAGAGATTCACGTCCGACGTTATCAAACTATAGTCGGTCATCTCTTATATTCTTGCCTAGACGTGCATTAGTCGACAGAGATGATTCATTCAACTTCTTTTCGAAGCAAGGAAGCATTTCCACTCAGGCGGTCGATCCTCATTGTGAGAGTACAAGGAAATTCTTGACTAATCTCGACCCGTCAGCGAAGACACAGAATCTGAGCCTGGCACGTTGCATGACAAAGCTTGAACCGTCAGTATGTTTACGATCCGGAGGTCTTACACGCTCATATTTGCCGCCTCGGCGGATTACGAACGCCGAAGGTTCACGGACTTCCATTCTACGGGGTCATAAGAGAGTGCGATAGACCCAACTATAAGCTAAAGATACAGTAGTGTTGCTACAGATAAGAGGCTCCAACCGAAAGCTAATGTAACATCTTCGTACCCAGCTGCTGGCAATCACGCTCGATAGAGTACATCTCGAAATCCAGATCCTGATCGGACGATACCGGAGTCTCGATGTCCGTTGACGGCGCATATATCTGCGGTCGCGACAAAGGGGCATTGGAGGACATCAGGGAGAATGATAGCATGTCGACGCTATTACGCGCGGAGAACCCCTTGAGATTCAACACAAGCCTGGATCCAGCGATGTTAACCATCGCCAATGCGAAACTACGCGTATTGATTCAGTGGACACACTTCGACACAAGGAAGGTATACGCACTACCGCGCTAGACCAATCAAAGAGGGACCCGCGAGAGCCCAAACGCTGGCAATATCGGCATGATCAGTACATAAAAAACAACAGAAGAGGTATTTGGCTTACAGAAGAGAGAAAAGAGAGCAAACTAGGTTTACAATACGGGAGGTCAGTAACATCCAACACCAACGAACAACATAGGACCACTGACTTGTCACAGCAACGAAGTACAGCATTCCTATTACACAGTGAAGTCAGCTGTGGAAGCATTCGAAGGTAGAATGTCCAATTACCATCACGGTACAATAGCAGAGACAGGGTACTGAAAGATCGGCGTTTTTCTTGACGTAGCATAGCTATCACAGTCAGCGCAAAAAGGAGTGTCTCGAAGACAACGCTAGAATCGAACACAGGTCAGTCCAGATACGGCGGGCCATGAAGCGTCTTGATACACACCTTGGTAACCAAGCGGTCCACAAATAATCTGGTATCTGTATGATTTGTTGGTCACCTCGCTAGCCCAGACTCGATGGATACGCACCTTGGAAACGCATTCGTGATGCAGTGGTCGCAGGTCAGCTGGCACGTTCGTTCAGTACAGCTACGCGCGACCAGAGATAACAAAAATAGCTCACAGATAATGGGTATCAGCGATGCGGTGATGATGCCAGTCGATGTCGACACGTAGAGCACCAGCGCAATCCAGAGAAGGCGTCGGATCCACGCTTCGCCGCAATGTAGGGCGTAGAGCCGCCATGCAACGGTAGCTGGCGGCCGTGATTACCACGAGAGCGTGCCGAGCCGATGGGAATGGCTTACCATGAATAGACATGAAGGAAGCTATAGTGAGATAGCTTTGGATGACGGTCCACACCTTGCAGAACTGAATTTGATGAGGCGGGAATCACGTTGAATTGCGATATGCACCTTACCGTAATCGAGGTGGGGCCGCTGCTGAGACCCATGGTTTCTGTTGCCAATGATAATCAGAATCGGGGTGACTGTTGCACTCAGACTGGACACACCGTAGATATCAATACTGAGCACAAGGGGGCTGCGTTATGTTCAGTACTTAGCATTTGTCCGCATCACGTGTGGTCTCACATCAAGTATCGGTTCTGAGACGTGGTCAGCCCATTCACGACCGAGAGGATAAATGAAGTACGACAACATACCACTAGGAAGATAACCGAAACGATGCCCTTGCGCGTCTTCCAAATGTAGTTGACCTTGAACGACTTAAGCTGGACAACCAGAGAAGCCCAGAGGTAACCGATCATACCTCGTCACCGAACTGTACGGGATACTGTCAATAAGTGGTACAACTGAAACAAGCGACGCACATACAGTGAGGATATGGTCATACACGAGGAGCGTGAACCCAGCAACTGTACCACGCAAGAGCCTTTCGGTCAGATGAGCACATCGCATATAGATGGCACTTACGGGTCATAGCACTTCAGGTCGGTCAGCACAATTTGACTCGGCCTGCACACAGTGAACGACTCACTTGACAGCAGCTCCATGGGCTGCGAGAATCTCCAGAGACGACATTGCCAATGCCGTTCGTTGCCCGGGCCAGATGGCAGCGAAGGAGGAAGTTCCATGCCAGCGCTCCGAGCGCCCTTTTGTCCTTATACATACGCCAGCTTATCGACTGCAAACTGCCGAAATGAAGGGGCAGCAGCCCCGAGCGCTCCAAGAAGTCGACTAATCCGCAAGCATATGCATTATCAACTCCGCGGTCATCCGCACGGTTTGACCGGTAGGACGAGGCGCCGATTCTGGCGTCCGCATCGCATTTACCACCTTGCGTCGTCTAGATGTGAGATCCGCCAACAGAAAGGTGGTCAGACAGCCGCAGGGCAGTGGACTCGATATTGCGATGCCACCGCCACGGAAACACAGATGCGCAGACTAGCGCCAACGTGGTGGTTGGTGCCCCTTTTGGAAAGGTCTAACAGCATGGTGGAGAACCCATCCGGTGGAAAAACCGTCCAGGCACATAGTTTGATGGGAGCACGAAAGCAAAGGCCACGGAGACAAAAAAACGCTGGCTAGGTTATCACGCGCGGAACTGTGTAAGACCGTAGAGATCCTGACCGAAATGCGATAAGTAGGGCCCTTTTCGCAGTGATGGGAACCAGGGCACGCATGGAACGTCGAAAATCAGGCCATGAGGAGGGGATCGACAGGCACAAATACATGCAGAGCATGTGGATGGGTGTTGCTTCCGGTTTGGGAGGAAAGAATCAATTAATCTTGTGGTACAGCTAGTAACCAGCCCTCATCTCGGATGGAGATCGTTGGTGGGAGTCACACTCCGTGGAGGTCCGGCGTGATGCGTTTGAACGTCAAGCATGGAGATACGTACTAATGATTCTCATAACAACCTAAACTCCGAATCTTGGGGTAGTGTACGCACCCGACTCGGCCGCGTGTAGTTTCGCTAGTAGAGTCAATAAACGCAGAGTAGAATTGTGGCTCAGAATTTGCGAGTACACAGTATTTACTGGACAAGTAATATCACGCATGATTGCTAGCTCGCCTGAAGTAGAGAATAAAACGATTAAGCAGTCGGTGGACTGAGAGAACAAACGAGGCGGATGAGATGGCCAAAGCGGCGGGCCGGCAATGGCCGGAAGTCGCTGAGAGCCAGTGTGAGCCCAGGGCACAGAGCGCTACCGCATGGCACTGACGGCGGGAGCCCCGGAGTCGCATTCTCGTCCTTTACCCTCAGTATGGACGTCGGCAGACGCGGCGGGAACCATGCAAGAAGCACTCGAGGCCCTTGATACTTACAAAAAGAAGGACTTGACCAAAGGTAAGCCGGTTGGCCCCCCAAAGCGCGCGGGCAATGAGTTCAACGCATGTACAGTCGTCGTGAGGTTCAAGGCAGTGGGCAATGCGCCTATTATGAAGCAGAACTTCTACAAGATCTCCGCGTCGAACAGATTTCAGGCGGTCATTCAGTTCTTGAGGAAGGAGCTTGGCTGGAAAGCTGGGGACCCGCTGGTGAGTCCGCACCGTAATAGCGCCTCAACCAGCAGTTGACCCATTACCAGTTCACCTACATCAATCTTGCCTTCTCGCCAGCCCCGGACGATACTGTCGCGAACCTGTTCAAGGTCTGTCTGTTACACGACACGCTGAGTTGAACGATTACCGATTCTCAGACGCGCAGTCGTTCTCGACCGACGGGCATCTCATCGTAAACTATAGGTGAGTATCTCCTAATTTCGGGCATTGTCAGCAACGAATGAACCCTTTTCATGTAGTACTACGGCTGCATGGGGCTGAAATATACCATTAATTCTATTGTACCCATCTCTGCGTGCTGCAACCGACGCTCCTCTCGTTCAAGTGGGGTAATTGCTATACAGGCCTAGTCGAGATAGTTATACAAGCAGGCACCGCGCACAGCTTACTGCTGTCCTTGCTGGCTGGACAAAATCCAGTCACCACCGGCGCTCGTCGTCCAGGAAGATTTACAGCGCAGCAATACCTTCGCAGGCTTCCCCCTCTGTATGTTCGTTTCCTTCTTCGCGAACCATTTCTTCTTCAGAGCCTGCGCTGCATCCACCGTGTCCGCATCATCGTCCTCGGCAGAGGTCACCTAGAACTACATGTCGTCGAGATATTTGCCGACCTCCTCATTGCGCGTCCCCCTATCCGGAGGTAGACGATGGGCGTCTCCCCGTCAGAGTACCTGCACAGGACGTCCAGTGCGTCTGCTCATACTCAGAAAGTGTGCAATCCCGTGGAGAGGTCGACTTGCGCACCGTTAGCTATTCCCTCGTCAAGGATCTACAAGATAGCTAAGTTAATTTGTCTGCCGTTCTCATGTATAGGCGCCGGTGACATGGCGAGTGCCGGATCCTCTGTGACAGCTTGTTTCTGGGCAAGCGACTCCAGAGAAGAGGGTGTACATGCCTTCCGATAGCTTCTCTTTGCCGCTGCTATCGTAAGCCGGTTCGGACAATGGGTAGAACAACGTGATAGAAGCGCAGGAGAACCGTGGATTTGCCCGGACCACGTCTAGAGAAGCGTTGGCTGTGGGTCTGCTTCGACGATGATTCTGCTCCTTGGTCGTGTGCCAGGCAACCCAAATGATTCCCTCACAGTAGAGCTGGAGCATTCACTTCGAATTCTGGCGCTGCAGAAGCACTCATCACTCGTCTTGGCTGAGTGTGGCTTACAGAGTCGAGAACAGCGATGTGCATACGCCTGATGCTGTTATTGTCAAGCAGGCATCCCCGGTTCACACTGTACAAGATGTGGCGCTCATGCTAGACACAATTCTATCGAAAGTACTGGCATCTCATGATATATTGTGAGTAGATATTCCACCAGGTATGTATAGGTGTATATTGACTGATCTTATCACCTTCAATACAGGTATTTTTACTTTGCATGGGTAATCTCATTGCTATTTCCTTGCCTATCCAACAGTCATGAAGGCCACCCAACGGTGTGCCCCATTCGTTCCTCCGACATGTATCCGAACTTGAGCAAATGATATACGCAATCTCGGTGCCTGCCGATCCACCAGCATTCCGGTATTGACGTCGGGGCGGGCCGTAGGAAAGGTGAGGCGGGATTATTTCTCACTCTCACTCCTAGCACCCTATTTCACGTGCTTCATCCCCGACAGTGAGGAACACAGCAGGACTCATACACGAGTTTACTTAATGCCCTTGATGCTTTTCAGGAGGAACACTCGATAAAAAGTACAATTCTCGTCTTGCAGAACGTGTCGGTAGCGCCGGCGAGCGTGCAGTCGCTTTGACGTTCGAGGCAGTCGGGGAATGCGCCGATCATGAAACAGAACTCCTACAGGATTAGTGCGTCGAGTAGGTTTCAAGCGGTCATCCATTTCTTGAAGGAGCTGGCCTGGAGACCTGGCGATCTACTTGCACTTGTGAGCCTGTACCGCGGTTCCGCTACATGAGCATCCGGCTTACAGCCTCCAGTCCGCCTACATCAATACGACATGCTCTCCAGCTTTTGATGCCACTGTCGTGAATCGTTTCAAGGCTGTCGCGCAGAAGAGCGTCCTCAGCCTGTCGGGCGCTAATGTATCTAATTTTGCAGTCCAAACCTGGCGGCCATCTCATACTGAACTATAGGTACATCTGTGCCAGGTCTTCATCATGCAGAATATTAGGTAACCAAGGTCGTCCATATTCATCTCGTTTAGTTGTGATTCCCGCTTCGCGTAGCAGAATCCCATCATGACTAGGATTTATATTCGTCGGGCAGTAGTACAACTGTTTGACGTGTGGCACGTACTGTATAACAGGGCAGCAACAAGCAAGCGCAAACTCAGTTCTGGAATGCGAACTACGACTAGGAACCGTGACATACAGAACACTGTACCTACGTACCTGTCGAGCTCGAAGCTAGAACCGATCGGCGCCCTGCAGTAAAGCTCAAGGATTGGAAAGTGCAACACACCATTGAAGCTGGCCAACGATGAGTTATGAAGCTCTCCGCCACGAGTCCGAGTCGGCGGGATTGCTGCGCCTCCTAGGCCCGAAAAGATTCTCTGGCAAGCTCGTGCCGCTCGTAGCTTGACTGAACGTCTGACTGCGTTCACGACTACGCCAGCTGGTGCTGGTTTGGGATGCGGATTGAGATGTGGATCGGTCGATGGTACTGGAGATGGGGTGTAGCGGTCGAGAGCGATGGTGCCATTCACGGAAACGGAAGGGTGCGTTCGAAGCCGTAGCGAGCCAATCTACATCGGCTTGGGTTACGATCGCTGCTGCACCGTTACCATCATCGTCGGGTGATTGGTTTGGGATACCAGCACTTTCTGCGAACGGACATCAGGAATTGGTGTACGTACATTGTACGTATTGCAGCACGTACCGCCGTGTTCCTCAATGAGTATCTTCGCGAAGTCTACTCGGATGGCATCGTACTGCATGTTCCACAGAGGTTCGAACAGCTCTAGTACGAAGCGATGCTGCGTGTCGAAAACAGTATCAGCCGACTCTCCAGACAGGAGTGGCAGATCCTCGGACTTTCTATCGCAATGCCAGATGCCGTCTTCGTCAATATACCATTCAGCGGATACCACAACCAAGTACCGGAGGGCGCTGTGCAATCTCGCGGTGAACCATTCTACCTCCTCTGGAGTGGCACGGAAGCCTCTGCAGATGAGATAGCACGACGTCCGGACTGCATGTAGCCTGCCTGTCTTGTGAGCTGTGACCGTCTTGAAGCACTGTCGCAGCATGCCGATTAAGTCCACTATCCAGAGAAATAGTTTCGTGGAAATTGACACAACGGCGGTTCCGTCCGCAGCGATGTTGGAAATGATTATGAGAGTCTGGGAAAGGACCATTTGCATCCGTTGCCACCACGGCTTTTGTCTTTGTAAGACTAGATAGGCGCCGGCGATGACGAGGTCGTAAGGTTCGTGGTGGTCATCGGGCAAATGTATCTGCACGGGAACGCCGGACTCCATGGACGCTGTCGCGAGTCTGATGAGGTCGTCATAGCAGACTCGAAAGTTGGCGAGAAATGCGGAATCAATCTGCAAAGGAATACCCGCTTCTTCGACAGGCAGAGTGACCCCCACTCCGTACACGTCTCGATTGTGCTGGAGTAACCACTGCGAGAACCCGCCCGGAGCACAACCAAGGTCGAGGAACCGCCGTACGTGCCCGCTTCCGAAGCAGTTGGCGTTGGCGTGATCAAGAAACGCAAATGCTCGCCAAAACGCGACGAGATGAACGCGTGAGGGGACGGTATTCGAATCAAGAGCGCGCAGGTGGATGTCACGGCGTTCGTCAAAGCGCTGGTCGACCGCAGCGTGATGCCGGTAAAGGCTCTTGAGGAGCAAGAGGCGACGGTACGGGAGGGACTGATCCCAGAGACGGATTTCGAATGGGTTGAGGTTCACGACGGCGTTATGCTGCAGTGCGACTGAATGATTGATAACGAATTCATCGGCCTCTGCGATAGAGGCTACGGTGGGTGTTCGAAGCTGCGCCATGGGGAAATCGAAGGCGGGCGACAGTTACGAGACAGGATACGTTCATGGCGACTTTTCTTTCATATAGCTAGAGGCTAGACTTGGTAGGCGTGTGCCTCGTGCAAACCTAATACATGAGTACATGAGGCACAGGTAGAGGACATACTGGTATCAACAGGCTTCGCGAACCCTGTATCAATCAGATATGAACGACTGCGCACACGATCTCGCGATATGGTAAGTAGTGGTCTGAAAACATAGAGCCATAAGCAACCTGGATATTTACTTCAGTAGGAGACCAAATGATAGAGTTCGTGGAAACATACTGCAGGCAAGGGAACCGCGGCCAAGTAAATCCAGCATAGCTGTTGTGAGACGCACCAGACGATACGAGCGACATAAGTCCAGCTGGCGGGCATTCACAAAACACTTTTAAACATTATGGTGCAGAGCACCCTAGCATTCATGCGGGTCAAGGCATATGATGCTCCGGTTGATTGCCAATCTTGAAGGGCAACGAAGATCTCCATGGATGATGAGTGCACAGTGAGATGGAAATCACTCTGAGACAAAAATGTGAGATATTGACCTGAGATTTGAAAAGGATTTGGCGGACGTCTGACTAATGGACAGTAATAACGATAAACGCCTTTCAAAAAACTTACACACAGGCTATGGTGGAGAATCAAATGGTAGCCACTCAAGCTTTGTGAGGCTGAGAAACGTTGACGGGTCGCGATGCGTTTTGAGCATTGGGGACTATGCGATGGAGCGGTGAAGTCTCTGCGAGGGCTGGTCGAGATTTTGCGCTGCTACAGTGCTCTGTCGTAACTTCTCCCCACTTTTGCTGCAGACTACAATCTGCGAGGGAAAGTCTATCATTATTGGCATTACTGAAAGCGACTCCTTACAAATGCAGTCAACTAGAGAACTTACCGACCAAAAATATTTGTCTAGTTGGATTGGAGTGCGATGCAAGCTTGCCTGCAGCCTTGTGGTGAGTCGTCATATGTGCCGCGAAGAGTCACAGACTTGAACTTGTATGCAGCTCAGATCAATATTGCACGAACAATCCTCCAGTCACAAGTTATCAGTGCATCCTCATTGACATCGCCACTCAAACGGCTGCGTTCGTGGTATGTACTGAAACCATGCAGGACAACTGAGAAAGGAGGCTGACCGCAGGGGTTAATAACGATGATTGGAATGTGGACAATAGTAGGAAGCAGGGATGCCTTGGAGTAACAAGCAAGGAAATGTTCCACGTGAAAAAGCGAGCATATGTCGATGGAGAAGTCGTTAGTCAGGAGCCGAGATGGGCTTCCTCACGAATGGTGCCACGGTGCCTGTGCAACGGGACCTGTTATTCGTCGCCTTGGACTGCCAGCCAATGGAACTCTGCACATGCGAGGTGTGCGAAGATTTCAAAAGAGTCTTCTCCCCAGGAGCGAAGATGAAGGCAATTTGAAGGCGAATTTCAATGTTGAAACGCCCACTTGTATACGCAATCATGTGACCAACTGTGAAGCTGCAAACCTCGGGATCACCACGTCTCTCTTTCATTAATTTGTTCTCATGCTGTGCTTCTCCGCTGCTTACATTCCGCCTGTCTGAGACAGCAAGTCGAACTATAAGTGCAAATGGGCACGGGGACTCGTGGAAGATGGGGCAGACGGCGGTCCGCGAGCGTTAGATAAGTCCCCCGAATAGTACTACGACACTGCAGTTTCCCAGCTCCACCATATCAGTGCAGTCTGCATTCAAGGGCTGAGGATATCGCACCTTGAAGTTTGCATCGACCCGTCATGCACGCCGCGGCTGTCCCTCTACTTGCGTCGCTTCTGTGTTATGTCGTGGCCGCTGCCGCTGTGACGGAGGAACCGCTGCACACTTTGAAGAAGTCATGTCAATTCACTCTGGGTAATCGGCGCTTCGACCTCTGCCCGGTCTTCGAAGGGAATGAGGGCGGCTGGAACGTTGCGTACGATCGACAGACACCACCAACGGTCACGAAGACAGAGTACAAGATCTCGTTCGCGGGCGCGCTCAAGAAGAGCAAGAAGGTCCCGAGTCATGAACAGGTACGTCAGGTGCTTTCGATTGGTTCAGATCTGCCGGTGTTCTATGGCGATTGTTGCGTACGATGGGTCTTAGTGCAGGTGTGCCTGCTTACGTTTTGGATTCGATGGATGTTCCATCGGTCAGCTGAAATAGCTCTCAACGGCGAGAAATTTATATGCCGTATCTGGCAGGCGAAGCCCTCGGTTTATGCCCAGAGCTCCAAGGGAGACTGCTCGCTCCCCGTCACATTATCGAACAACTGTTGCTTTACCTGTACCCACGCTAACATCGCCATGTAGTGCCCAGATGGAACGTGGATATGTCTCATCGGTCAGTGTTCTCGCGCTGTGTACGATGCCCGGCTCACGGAGCACAGTGAGCAACACCCGGCCCAAGCACGATGATGAGGACCCCCGTGTGCTGCAGGTCGTCCCAGTTGCTGGGGAGCTCTCCCTGCCCGATGAAGGAGACAGCTTTGCGCGCGATGATTATGTACCTGGCGTCAACATCACGGCAAAGCTCGTGCCCGCTAGGACGCAAACAAAGCATGGTACTGTCCTTCGCGCATGTCATATAGTGGTGGTTGTGAATTGTCTCTCTAGATATTCTGCACATACATTTGCATGGCGGTTACTATGTGTACAGGCAGCAGAAAGCAGACTTCCAGTTCGTTTGCGATCACCAGGTAGATGAGGTCAGTCCTTTTTCAACCCTCCGCAAGTCGTTCCGTCGCTGAGGTTCGTGTAGCCGTCTTCGCCCGGGATGCTCTGGAATTGGAACGGAACGCATACGTTTGAATGGCGGACGAAACATGCGTGCGGCGAGAGGCTGGCGACCCCTACGAAGCCAGCGTCGGAGCCCGAGCCTACAGATGAACCAAAGCCTGATGACGACGAGGAGCAGGACGCGGACGCTCCTCCGCAAGACGATGAGAACAAGAAAACTAAGGGCGAGCACAAGCTGCTCGATCCGGACTTGGTGGGCGCGCGCTCGCGGCAATACATGATGACCCTGGCCGCATCGTCTGCGTACGTGCACCTTATCCATCACTGCCACTTATGCCTTACCCCTCCCACAGCGCCGTTATGCTGGTACTTATGTACATACTGTACTTCCCGCCACCACGAGTCCGGCAGATGATCACAAAATACGTGAAGACGCATCCTTGGTTGCTGCGGTCGCGTGTCGGCGAGCGCGTGCTGGTCCGCTGGGCGTATGAGGATTTCTCTGTCGATGGGGCAGAAGAGGACACAATGGTCAATGATCGCGAGTTCGAGGGGATGATTGCGCTGGACGAGCAGATCCCGCTAAAGCCATCCCCGAGGCGCACGGTTACCGTCAGCTATGGTAGCGCATGATTCCTTCTTCACGATGTTCACGAATTACGGCTGTACCATTACACGCCCGCGCCAGCTTTTTCACTGTTGTATGTGTAGAACAAGTCTATATCATGTTGTGTACGATTCATGGGGCGTCCAGAATAACTAACATCCAATGAGTCGGAATAGACCCATTAACTGTGATGATATGTAACCTATCTCTGCTACTTTAGGAAACACGGAACAATTCGATTTTCCTATAATCGAGAAAATAGACTTCTTTGACAGCCTGTTCTGTAAGATAAACTATGAAATGAGCAAGAGTTTATTATGTCTTTTATGATACCTTTCGCTCTTGATTTTGGTCTCTTGTGCCCGCCAGAATTGTCTCTGAAGACATTTCGTCACGTGCCCGGGCGCTCCGTGACATTTGCTTGCTGGTTGCGCATGAGCCCATTCTTACATATCTCCCGTAGGATCCTTGGTGTATATATGTCACGGTGTCCAATCCACGTCTAATAATTGAGTGAGTGCTTACCGCAGTCTGCCAGTAGCACTGCCCCAACTTATCGCCATGGTCCAGGGCACGTGATCCAATGGCAAGCAACGAGGCTGGTGTGAGGCTGCTCCGAGTCCTTGATCATTGATGCACATTGTCGGCTTTTCCTTCTCCACCACTTCGAACTAATTTACTATCGCTTTTTGGAGGCTGCAGGCGCACTGCCACTGCTACTGCTACTAGGATCGTCCTGGATTTCCATCTCACAGCATCCGAGACATCCCGCAGAGCGACTTGTATGACTCCGACCCCGACACGGGCCGACCAAATCGAGGCAGCTCACGGCTTGACCCTATCCCACTATATGCACGACTCGAACACGTTCTCTTAAGGACTCTCGTCTCTAATCTGTCGCAACTTATCCACTATTGTATAATGGTCCAGTCAGTCTCGGATTCCGCATTCTCGCCGGCCCCGTTCAGTCCTTTCTCGTCCTATTCTGTCGCTAGTGGCGTAACATCTGATGGTGAGCCCCTCTTATAGTCTTACTATACCGGGTGATCCTTAGACAACATCAGACGCACCTGACCTAGGAGCGTTCACGACTGTGTTTCGTGCTTTAAACACTTTCCAACCACGGACAGGCGGCCCCGTCCACCCCGCGGATGTGGTCAATGCCACGGCATCTTCACTCGGATTCTCGCTTTCGGACTATGATTCTGAGGTTGCCCAAATATCGCCCGTGTGGTCCCGTGGGCAGCTCTCTGCTTATTTGTCCTACTCCTCGCCGGAGAGCGTTTCGCGCGGCCGATCACCACCCTCCGATTCTGATTCCACAGCATCTGACGTCGAGAGACGCACCCTGCTCGAGATGGACGACCCGATTGCTGGCACGATAGGCGAGCCGTCACTGGGTTATCTAGACGAGGCACTCGAATTCCTCGCTGCGGAGCGCGCCAAGCTGCTCGCGCAGCGCGAACTGGGCTTAAAGGGGAATAGCAGTTCGACGACGACAACAACAACATCAGATGGCGTTTGGCGGCATGTTATCCAGCCACGGCGCAAGCGACGCAGAAAGAAGAACCGGTCGGTGCAGGAGGTTTCCCGCGTGCGCATCTCCGAGCGAGATCAGGAAACTCTTACAGAGTCCACCACGGCTGATGACCATGACGGTGACGCGGACGATGGGTATGACTCTTCGTCCTCTGTTGATGTTACTTCCTCCCCTCAAGCACGGGCCAAGGCTGCTGCATCGTTCCACGATAAACAAGACAAACAAGGCAAACGGCGACCGCGCCCGCTGGCTCCCACAGAGAAATTACGACTACATCACAGTAAATCAACACCCAATCTAATACCCCCTGTATCCATACCTCTCGATGCCCGAGCATTACATCTGCGCAATCTTGCACACAAGCTCCGTCTGTTCTTCCCTCAAGATGTTGTCGCGCTACGGACGATTCTTTCACCGGAGTCGGCGAACCAAGGCTTTGTAGATACACGAGGTCCCGAGCCCCGCTCGCAGGACACTCTCATCCATGTATTTATTGATCAGTACGTGACCTGCCTGTCCGCGCGTTCGTTGACTTACGATCTTTACAGTTCGAACATTCTCATTGGATTTCTTTCGTACCTTCGGCGCCACGCACATCGTGTGACCCATATCAGGAGCAGGTATATGTCTCACGCCGCTCTCGCGCTTATCCTGGAACGCGGCCGGCCGATTACTCGCCGCGTACTGGTGGCATCGTCGCCGTTATATCAGCCGGTCAACACTGCCGAACAGCTGGGTTATGAAGTACGCGTCTATGCGCGCGTGCCCGACACTGGTGACGGCGCCGACCGGCAACCCCATATCTCTCACACCGACCACCACACTCCCAGCCGCATTCGTGGCCGCAAGGGCGGTCCCTCTCAGTCTCAGAAACATTCCCATCGAACTTCTATGGGTGGCGGTACATCCACGGAGTCTGACGCCGGAGGCAATGGGAACGGAAACGGTGTTGCAGGCGGTAACGCAACGCGCGTGCGGTACCGCGAGCAAGGCGTGGACGAGCTGCTGCAGCTGAAGCTACACCAGGCGATCGCGGACGCTGACGAAGTCCCGCCGGGCGCGACAATCGTGCTCGCGACGGGCGACGGGAACGTCGGACAGTTCAACGAGGAAGGGTTCCTAGGGTGTGTTCGGACGGCGCTGAAGAAGGGATGGCGCGTGGAGCTGTATGCGTGGGAGGGCGGGCTAAGCCGGGCGTGGATGCGCGAATTTGGGGAAGGATCGTTCAGCAGCAGGTTCGAGGTTCACATGCTGGATCGGTTCGCTGCGGATCTGCTTGAGGTGTAGGTGCATCGGGGGAGAGGCGTCTGACATATTACAACAAACTCAACATGGTAAGAGATATTGTATTTTATTGATGTACCATTCACACACTGTAATGTTACCACAAAGCTACGCAAGATCTCACATCACAAAGTTTGACAAGCGAGCGACAAGCTCTCGAGCACTGCTCTCCATCTCATCTGATCGCCAAACTATCACTCACATAAGCGACGGCTTGAGAAATTCTTTGAGTCGAGTCCAATTAGTGACATCCAGTATCGAAGCCTACAGGGGCACTGTTGTTCACCTCATGACATCTCGTTGATGTTAGGAGAAGAGCGGTCGAAGATTCATCTCAGTCAGAAGGTTGCTTTAGGGTGCGTGTATTCTGCCCGCATCATAACATCAATATTGTTCATGGATGACATGACCGGCGTCCTAGTCCTTAATGAGCTCATGGGTTTCGTCATGCTGACCTAGTCGCCGAGTAACAATGTTGATAGGCAGCCGCAGCCAGAACGTCGACTCTGGAACCATGAGGATTACGGGTGAGTGTGTATGGTTGTTGTCGTTGACTCAACGCTCGACGATTTGATGCGGCAGCTCATCGCAAGGCGTGCGTCATTGGAGCGCACGAGGCCTCTTATTGAAACATCATCTATCAAGTGACCTAGCCCACACAGGACGTATTACCAAATCCGAAAACGGGCTACCCAGGGCATACTGCAAGCCGAAGGGTGTTCATGCGCAGGCGTACATCCAGGCCTGAAAGTCGTGCATCTCTGTTGTCCTCAGCCTGCCTAAGTAGTCTGCACGCTCACCATCTGATGACCCATATGGCTTCCATTGATCAAAATAGGGTCGGTCTGGAAACTGCTTGAAGGAGCTTTATCGCAATATCACGATACCGTTGGCGTTCCGGTTGCAATGTACGATTCATGCCAGGAAATAAACTGAACCAACTAACTATATCGCGCTCATCATGCCGGAATCTCTCTTGTCTCTGATCAGTCCTTGAGGCCCCTGTGCTCCCGTAAGTTCCGCGCTTACACTACATGTGTTCGTGTATTAGGTTTCCGCGAGGCCTGCGCCCACAACGACATACAGTGGCAAAGTGCGTGCTGTTTATACGCGCGCGATATGAGGATGCCTTCTGGAAATCCTTCTCGCTTACAATGACCATGGCCCAGCTTCCAGCCATACCTTCTTTAACCTCCGTTACACAGGTCGACGAATACGTGGATAATCACTCATTTGAGCTACGGCACGATGCAGTCGTCAAATTGAACTCGTTCGAAGTCGATTTTTGGGACATGACAATCTCACTCCGTCGTCTCCTCCTCCTTAAGGCATTGTACCGCTCAAATCCAGCAGTGGACGAACGATTCCACGAGCGACGCGACATCCATCTGCACGCTATCGAGTCAACTGATGAGCCTTCACCTATGCATTTGTACGCATTCGCGAAAGCGTTCTCGCTGATCAACCGCGCAAACAACGGCTGTTTTGGCGGCGGGAAAGTGCATCGATTCCTCGATCTCGGTTGCTCGCCCGGTGGATTTTCGTCGTATCTACTCAGACACAATCGAGGAGTACAGGGCGTCGGGATCGATCTGCCCAACGAAGAAGCGAAGTTCCCCCTCCAGATTGATCCCACTTTTCGGGAGAGCTACCGCATGCGATACGATGATATAATGGCCTTCGTCTCCCGATCTGTGAATGCGGGCACTCCCCTCGTCATCCCTAACCATGACGACCCCTCTACGCATTACGACCTCGTCATCGCCGGTGCCTTCCCTGTGCTGCAAGGTCCGATTCCGTGGTGGCATCGAATCCAGCTGGTCTTATCCCAAATCCTCATCGTCTTCGCCAACATCGAAACGGGTGGTTCCGCCGTCATCGCAATCACTACGAAGGCGTTTCTCTGGATTGTGGACGTCATTGGATTGCTCCGACAGTCGTTCGCGGCGGTAACGGCGCACAAGACCGGCAAGCTCCACGCCGTCCGGACGTCGTGCTACCTCGTCTGCAGAGGCTTCCGGGCCACTCCAGAAGAGGTAGATCGATTCACCGGACGGTTGCACAGCGCGCTTCGTTATTTGATGGAGGTCTCAGATGGATCGTCCATAGACAACAACGGCCGGTGGCACAGTGACGGGAACCCAGAGGAGTTGCCGCTCATCACCGGAGAGTCAGCCGCTGAGATCTTCAATGCCCAGCATCAGCATGTGCTGGGTTTGTTTGAGCCTCTATGGGATTATCAGTACGCTGCGATTCGTGAAGACTTCGCTCAAGTGCTCGTCGGCAAATACGGAGGTACGTCTGCTGCCCTTCTGTTTTACTCGCGTCATCATAATGTTCTATAGAAGGGGATGCTATCGAAGAACAGTCTCCCAGGGGTGATAACAATGCCAATAACACAGATTTATCCCAAGTCATGGCGCAGCCAGCAGCATCTCCGCAGTCTCCCATTCGCGAATGGCGTCCTCGGCTACCCCAGACAACCTCCGATGTAGGCGCCGGATCCCGACCTGGTGCTAGTTGGCGCACGCGCGAACGAGCTAGGACCTTCAGTCAGGCCCCGCACGGTAGCGACTTGCCGCAAGACTTCTTTAGGAATAATCAGAGACGCAGTAGTGCCGCTGATTCCAGTTCATGGTGGCGCCCTACATGACAGAAATGTGCCTGCTGGTGACGGTTCGAATAGCTATGCATTTGAAGCCCCGCGCTGACGAACAACAGTCCAGGTGCTCCTTATTCACACACTTGAAAGTAGCTCTTTTCAAACGATGTGGGTCTTCGTACAGAGATTCGGAGAAAGGAATGTGTTTCACGGATGAGTACGGTAGCGTATCACGAGTATGGTGTTTGTTTTCCTTAGCACCGCCTGAGATGTTTCATCGCCAATGTATATCATTATGCAATATGACTCGAATTGCACAACAGCTCGTCCGAGGCTACACGTTGGAGTACCCGTTACCGTTACGACAACACTTCCCGACCTGCTAGTGTTCCCTAGGCTCTCTTACCGCGTTTGGTGCGTACCCGACGCTGTTTGGGCTCGTCAGTACCAGAGTGTGTTGCAACAGAACCAGCCGTCGCTGTATGAGCCATGTCAGTTGGAAGAAGTCTTACATGTGTATAGTTGTTACTCCTTACCTCCGTACTCGGCGACTAGCACCTTAGCGAGATCCGTATGAATTGCATCATATTGCGACTTCCAAACAGGTCGCAGAAGGTTTAGCACAAAGCGATCGTTTGTGTCGAAGACCTGTTCCGGCGAATCGGCAGAAAGTAAGAAGTTGTAGCCCGCCGTGCTGCTGCCACCGGTCTCCGACGACATCGCCAGCGCCTTCTCCCCCAGCCACTGAAGCGCATAGCGCAGCTTGCCCGCCATGCGTTCTATCTCTTCGGCAGAGGCATGGAATCCCCTGCAGACGAGGTAGCACGATGATCGTACTGCATGCAATTTGCCAGCTTTATGCGCGCTGATCGAGTCGAAAGCTTGCCGAAGCAGACCAATGATGTCGAGATGCAATAGAATGGGCTTGGTCTTGATGAGCACGATGGCGGAGCCACCAGGGGCGGTGTTAGCGATGATAAGAAAAACTTGGGCGACGAGTAGTTGGGTGCGATAGCCCCATGGGGTGCTGTCCTGCATGGTCGGGAACGCACCTGCGATGACGAGATCGTAGGGCTGGCGGAGACTGTGCTTGGATTCGATGATAGGTAACGCGCCATCGCCCGGCGAAACCGAGACGATATCGATGATGTCGGCGTAGCGCACCTGATATTTGCCGATAGTAAGGAAGGCGGGATCAATCTGCAGGGGGAACTGGGAACGTTCGTCGGGCAGAGTGATCCCGACACCCTCCACACCGGGATTGTTCTTCAGCAGCCACGATGAAAACCCGCCAGGGGAGCATCCAAGGTCAAGGAACCGTACTATTCTTCCGCCGCCGAAGCAGCGGGAGTTGGCGTTGTTAATAGCAGAGAATCCATACTCGAAGGCTTGCGCGTGGATACGAATGTGACTGCCGTTTTCCATATGACTATCTCGAGGAATAGTATCGCGATTTTCATTAATCCTGCGCAGGTGCGCCTGGCGGTTACTGTCAAAACGCTTATCGACGGCGGGGTTTTGGCCGTATATCTGCTTGAGGAGACGCAGGCGTCGGTATAGCACGGACTCATTCCAGAATCGTCCCTCGAGACGCTTCACGTCTACTCCGTCTTCATCGAGCTGGATGTCCAACGACTGCGCGATGAATGAGTCAACCTCGTGTATGGAGGTGAAGGAGGGGACTTCAATGTGAAGAATAGACATAAGTGGGGGCTGGCGGTCGAATAGGGCCAATGCGGGCTGCTGACCCTGAAAGCCCTTGGCCCCTTAAGTGGATCTGGTATGCCTTGCATGTGCCGTGGGGACTACCATAAAGGAAGCACAACAGCCGTGTAGATTGACACGGGCGGTAAGATACTACTCCTGTGGGAATCAGTCGCCATATACTACGAGTAATGAAATGGACTGTTTTACTCAAACTGAATGAGTTCCCTGAACGATAACTGTACATCGAAACATGAAGTAGCATATGGTTTGTATACGGCCCACTCACCAGTCGCTGTAACGTGCTGAGATGTGGTACAACATCGTCGGCTGTCTTCCGCGTCAAGCTTGTTCTTCTATTTTAGCTCAGAGTTAAGACCACAAATCGACACCAGATATTCTTTTTTGACCCGAATGCATTCGGTAAAAACGTGTATCTAGATCTCACGCATAATTGGACTCGGAGTGCAGATTCCAGAACGAGCAGTAAATACCTACGCCTGATCAGGTGACCTCCTGTGGCGCCCGCGAACCGAGCCAGACCTTCATTTACTATGGCGCCGCTGTCTGCCTAGGTAGAAACGCGGAGACTGCGCGCGCTGTCATCAAAGACTATCGAAGACATGTGAAATGGAAGTAAGCCTCTATCTCGTCAGATCACAGTGCAGCTGGTGCTGTTCTTGACAGATATGGCGCTTTCATAGCCTTGTGTTTCTCAACTTCTCGGCGCCCATGCCTCATGTACTCTGTATTAGCTTTGCGCGAGGCATACGCCCGCAGATGTACACAAAGACAAAGCGGAACTTGCGACTGATAAGACGGCGGTCTGCCTTCTGCAGGTTGTCGTCCACCTTACACGAATAGCCCCCATGACCCAGCTGGCGCTCCCCTCCGTTACCTCCATTGTCGAGGCCGACGAATTTATAGTAGGCCACTCAGATGCAGTGCAGCATGCCGCAATCATTCATCTCAATGCATTTGAAGTCGATTTCTGGAACAAATCACTCTCACTTCGCCGTCTCCTCCTGCTGAAGCGATTATTCCGTTCAAACCCGGCTGTGGAAACGCGATTCCGTGAGCGACGGGATATCCACCTGCAAGCTATCGGCGGGAACGAGGAGCCTTCTCGCGTACATTTATTTGCATACGCAAAGGCGTTCTCGCTGATCAATCGCGCGAATGGGGGTTGTTTCGGCGGGGGAAAGGTGCACCGCTTCCTCGATCTTGGTTGCTCTCCTGGAGGCTTCTCCTCATATGTGCTTAAGCACAATTGGGGAGCGCAGGGTGTCGGCGTCACTCTGCCGGATGAAGAAGACAGGATACCCGTGCAGATTGACTCCGATCTCCTTGCCAACTACGATGTGCGATACACCGATGTCGTCGCCTTCGTAGCACGCTCCACAGAGACTGATACTCCCCCGGCGATTCTCGCGCATGACGGCAGCCCCGTGCGCTACGATCTCGTTATCGCCGGAGCCTTTCCGGTATTGCAAGGGGCCATTCCTTGGTGGCGTCGGACTCAGCTGGTATTCGCCCAGTTGATCCTGATATTCGCCAACATCTCCAAGGGCGGCTCAGCTATCGTAGCGATCAACACCAAAGCATTCCTATGGACGGTAGACGTCATAGGAATGCTCCGTCAGTGTTTCGAGACAGTGACGGCGCACAAGACGGGAAGGTTGCACGCGGTCCGGACATCGTGCTACCTGGTCTGTAGGGGCTTCCGAGCCACTTCAGAAGAGGTAGACCGGTTCACCGGTAGGCTGCATGGAGCGCTGCTGTTCCTGGCCGCAGTACCTATGGAGAGCTCCCAAGATGACAACGGGCGATGGGAGTACAAGCACGGCCCAGAAGATACACCACTGGTCTCCGGACAGTCAGCTGCCGAGATCTTCACTGCCCACCACCGGTTCGTGCTCGATCTATTCGAGCCCTTGTGGGAGGTACAGTACAATGCCATACGGGTAGACTTGGCCGGCGTCCTTGTTGACTTGTATGGAGGTGAGCCCATCAGTCCATTTTCTCAACTCTCCCGTTCATGGCAGCTGTGTACAGCCGAGGCTGGCATCCCGAAGTATGCGGAGAGCGATGGCTTCGACAGCCCAACGGACGTCCAACATGAGGCCGTAGAGCATTCCCTGGCGACCTCATTTCGACCGTGGCCTCATCGGCAGCCCACAGCATCGCCCGACGATTACACCGCGCATCACCCTGATACTATCTGGCGCTCTCGCGGACGCGGTCAGGCGTTCAGTCAAAGCGGACAGGGCCCTCCAGAGGGCTTATTCGGGCGCAGGAGGAGTCAGACGAGCGCAGCGAACAGTAGTTCGTGGTGGAGGTCTACGTGATATCGGACTCACGGGGATGCATTCAGTCGTAAGTGGTGATAATCTAGCAAACCTGCCCCGCGGTCGCGTTGAACCTATGCATAGTTGATTTCTACGTGACAGTAATTGCATGAACTATGTCACTACATGGATTCGTGTTCTGAAATTTTGACATTGTATATCACCTGCTCGCAGGCTCGACAGGCTACCACCCTGTGGAGAAGTTGTGGGATTCTACTTCACGTCATCGTTGAACAGTGTACAATATGACGATATGGGTGTGGCATTATAAGGCCATAATATTAGTCAGCTACGGAGACTTGAATCAACAAACGGTCTAAAACAAGTTTGCAAAATCGAGAACAAAGTACATACAGTACGAAGCAAAAGTGTTGCTATATCATTCCATGCGCGGCCGGGCTCGCCAAGTCGTACTCAGTTCTGCAACACTGAGTCGACCACTGCCCCTCTTGCGGCCAAATAAGTCACCAGGAACTACGGCACCATCCGTGCAAGGGCGTGCCCGCCAGCTGGCAGTTTTTTCGGCGTTGCTCGGAGATCGCGTCAATTGGAGCAACGAGCCTGACTTTGAGGACGTCTTGCTTCCTATGTGCTTGTGACTTTGCGTTGCGGATTTGTGATTTCTGCCATGAGGTCGACCAACGCCGACGTTCACAGTACTAGCGACACCAGACATCGCCCGAGAAGTCGTGGCTTCTTTTTCCGGCGCCAATATACGTGCGAGGTCCTTCCGGATCGCCTTGTACTGCAACTCCCACACAGGTTGGAGGAGCTGCAGGAGAGATCGGTATTGATTGTCGAAGACCTGTTCCGCCGAATCGGCCGAGAGCAGCGGCATACGGTTCGCGAGGTTGAGTGCAGGATCTGTAGGGGATGCGAGCATTGACGATTGGCAATACTTCAAGGCGTGGCAGATGCGTGTAGAAAGATGCATCACCTGCTCCGTCGTCCCATGAAATCCATGGCACACGAGGTAACAGGACGAACGCACGGAATGCAGCCCACCGGCCTTGTGCGCAAGGACGAATCTGAAGACCTGCTGGAGCACACCTAAGATATCCATGGTCAAAAGCTGCGGCTTTGTTTTTACCAACACGAGGACGGAGCCACCCTGTGCCACATGGGTCAAGACAATAAGCAGTTGGGAAAGGAGTAGCTGAACCCGATGCCACCATGGCGCGCGGCCCTGCATCGTTGGGAAGGCCCCAGCAATGACGAGGTCGTAAAGCCCAGTAAAACTGTCGTCCAGCGGGATCGACGGACACATATTCTGCTCCAACGCTTTCACGCCAATGTCGATGATGTCTTCGTAGATCACCTGATACCGTCCATGAGAGCGCAACGCTGGTTCAACCTGCACAGGGAGCTTGGCGTGCTCCTCAGGCAGGGTAACACCTGTACCCTTCGTGTCGGGGTTATTCTTCAAAAGCCAGGAGGAGAAACCGCCAGGAGAGCAGCCGAGGTCAAGGAACCGCTTGACGCGCCCGCCACCGAAACAGCCCGCGTTAGCATCGTTGAGAGCTCCAAAGCCAGTTTCGAACGCGCGCAGATGGAACAGGTCCGAGGTTGCGCTCGTCTCTTCAAGAGAACGCGCATTACGTTCGAAACCTTCGCGGAACCGCCTGTCGACAGTAGGATTCGAGCCATACACGTGCTTGAGGAGGCGCAAACAGCGATATCTGTAGGACTCGTTCCAAATGCGTTTTTCGAACAACTTGCCCTGCTCTTCGCCTTGGATGAGTGTTTGGGCTGCGACTTTGATGAATGCATCGACTTCTGCAATGGAGGCGAGGGTGGGGACCTGGAGGAGAGGCGGGAACATGGTAGTGAACAAACGACCGACTTGTGGCCAGGGGCTTAATATTACCTATCACGGCGCTTAGGCCTTGCTTGACAAAAGAACATTCGTTCAAAGCGCAGCAGTCAACATAAGCGCCCTCATGTTTGTTGCATTTCACTGTCAACTGAGCTCATGAACCCGTTATGTCAGTAGCAGCTGTGAATAGTGAATATCGGCAGTAATGTGAGATTTACAGCAAAGCTCGTGATGCAAGACAACGACGTGACTTGCTAAAGCAGCGCGACTTCGATAGCAGAAGACTTGAAACTTGTGCGAAGGCCTCGATGTAAAGCTTGTGTAAATTATTCATGTGAATGACCGAACAACCAGCCAATGCAGATATGACGCATCTTTGCGCCTACTGTGGAAAGCACCATTGGCTCCATTCGTTGCCCGTAGCAGCTCAACATGGACGTAGCACAAGTGGACGGAATGTACTTACTCTGATGTTTTCTGTACTCCTGGACGATGCATAAATTGTCAATTGAGGAATTGTTTCAGCTTTAGCGCCGACGTGACTGCCTCAGTAGCGTCACGTGTGACTTGACGCGTCGCGTCAGTCTGTGGTACCTAAAGACGCGCTAGGGGCCGACGCGCGATAAATCACGACTGTCACGATATCGCGGACTGTAGAAGGAGTCTTCTTTACGATAGCACAATATATTACAGCTTGAACTGCAGGCAACGGAACGGTCCGCATAGTCATGAACTCATGGAGTAGAAGAAGTACAAGGTGCGTGGTCATCGATTAAGCAAAACTGTACTCTGTGTCCGTTGTGCAAGCTCCTGTGCAAGCTGTGCCATCATTGAGATTTTCTGCATCGTCACCAGCGTGATTCCGCATCTCCCCTGTGCAAGGTGTGAGCTTATACATCTCACTGTCTTCCAGGTAGACCGTGCACCTATCTGCGTGCCGTCAGCAAAGCCAACCGTTGTCATCTCATGCGCATCCTGTGACTCAGTCGTGTCGCCCGACGAAGCCTCCATTCCTGTCTCCGGTCCAAGATAAACATGTGACGATTGACCAACCTCTTGCAGGTTGAGGAAGAATCGCGATACAATGATGCTTGTCAGACTGACTCTCGAGGCTTCAGCACACATAAAGGCAACAGATGGCTGCACGCACGGAGCTATGAAAACAATTCCCACGTCGAGATTGTCGTTCTGCATTTTTTATGGATGTTATCTACTTAGCATGGCCAGACCAGACCGAACAATGGAAGACATACTGCATGCACGTTAACCAAAACCACGTTGACAGCAGCAAGAAGCATAAACAAGCTGTTATAGATGTCGATGTGCGCTGCGGGATTATGCGTGCTTATAGACGACGTACAGGAAATATACGAATCCTGACACAATCTTTGATGAGGAACTACATGCCTCGAGCATTTGAAGGTGCTCACCGTCTCGTAAGAGCAACATGGGAAGTGAGAGCCTCCTGCCAATCTCCAAGAGATGCCTGTATTGACCACGCGTGTGGTGACAGGTCACAACAAGGACCATGAAGTCAGCAGCCATCGCAAATGCCCGAGTGGTAGGTTCTACTACAAGTTCGGTTAGCCGAGAAGAACACACATGAGAGATATCGTCGGCTTCTACATCTGCAGATGTCACTGCTTAGTATACGTCATAAGAAAGAAGCAGAATCTTTACTTTGTGCCCAAGCTAGGAGAAATATTGGTGAATACATCGCACGCCATCGGGCCTGACGGGAAAAGTTCCACCATGGTGAACGAGGTACGTGCCCAGTTGAACTGTGCAATATTCAAAGCGGGTTAAGCGACTTCAACTGGAAATATATAACATACCAAGTTCAAGCCGGCCGGTACCAAACCCATTGCCAACGTCAGGAGGGATAGCACCCAGTTCCGGCCACTCAACGCGTGGACACGCAATGCCGAGAGCACTGAGTCAAGCGTCGGAAACATCTTCAGTCAAGCAGAACAATAACACATACCGGGCCATATAATATATAGCAAGAGTTCGAAGATATAGAGCGCGACATTCACGCCCTCACAACTGCAAGCAAGAGCCAGCTTCAGCACACTTCAATAGTGTCACGCAGGTTTGGAAAATACCTCTGATGACAGTGCGCTTTGTGAGAAAATTGAACTCCAAAGTCCGCTGAGCTCAAACACGCACCTCGACTGTATCTAGTGGTAGGATGACGGAAAGGATATACGTGATTGCTAGCCCCAGCATGACAAGTCGATTGAGGATGAAAACAACGAATGGAAGCTTGAGACAGGAGTCCTTTCGCCATATCCATCGTAACTCGCTGCTGATTGTGATCGAGTATTCATATAGCAATAGTGCTGAAGGTAAGTGGTGAGCACTGTTTATTTCGCGACTCGTTACAAGATGAAAGCACCGGCGACAGAGACCGTGCAACAGTTGCCCACGAAGCTACGTAACCTGCGTCAGGAGATCTCTGTGCGATGGACGTCAGGGCGCACTTGGCCTGAGTATATGACGCGAGTATTGCAGCATTGATATCCGACATCTGAATAGTTCAATATTTTAGTGTGCTGTGTCGCTCAGTAAAAAAGGAAGACAGAGCTCTTACGGGAGACGAGCTGAGAATGCACGATAGATGAGGGCCAGAGGGAGCCTTTATGCGTGTTCCCTTCAGTAACACCTGGCTATGTCCGAACGATAGGATAGCACAAGAATGTCCGCGACTTCTTAATCAGCTTGCTGTAACCCCCTTCTGCTAATTATATTCTGAATCTTATCGGCTATCAGTGGAGCACAGCAGCGCGATATTCCAGCTCCGCGACTCTACATCAATATGATCAGGCTATGACGATCCCGTATCGAGCAGCAATGGACACTAGATCGAAAGCTGTACACGAGAGGAAACGTTCTCGGTGAACCTTCAATGATATGGTCTTTGTCGATGAGCCAGATCAAAAAGAGTTTACGATGATGCTCACCCCGAGTGCATTCAACAAATAGGCAGTTTTCCGGTCATAGGTCGCGCCAAATGGATGATAGCCTGGCAGGGCGGCTGAAATATCGAGAGAGACCAGACCATTACAGAAAATAATCACAGAAAAGGAGTCATCCCGTCGCTGTTCACGACACCTGAGTTGGCAATCGGTTCTCGCCGGAAGTCGTATTCCATCAGGTTCATGCAACACACATACAGTCACCGCAGCGTTTTAACCCCGGCCGCGACAGAGATAGAGTTGAGCGGTGCATGACCAATCATCCGGGATGAACGTGAAGAAGAAACAAACCAGTTTGAGACTCCGAGTGCGCCGGACTGAACATCTCCATAAGGAATGCAGAGGCCTTACGCCGTCACCCGTTCACTGATTCTCTATCGAAGAGGCCAGGCGTCCAAACGTTTGCGTCATGTAGATATTCGCCGGCGTCCGTCAATACACAACCCCTTCAGATCTTTCAGCATTAATACCACGCGAATTCACAGGTGAGGTCTTACATTGCTCTGCACGCTCCGTGAGACCGCTCCTAACGACATTCATACAAATGGAATAGAGTGACTCGATCTTTAGTGCAAGAAGGAAGTATGGCGGGACGCGTGCGAACCGAGGCTTCGGACAATCATAATCCGAAGTCAAGCTTCATGTCAAGAAAATGATTTCTCTGGATGCGATACTCGTCGTGCGCATGGATGGTGATGAAAATAATCCCCGACAACGTATGACGCAGTCGTCAAACGCCTAAAAGCAAAGGTACGGGGCTGATAATTAGAAGACTTTGCGAGTTGTTCAAGGATATGTGAGAGCATCATCCACCTTCCCTTGAGCGCTCGGGGGCACGTCCCAAAAGCTGTGCAGTGATGGATTTGCATCTAACTCCCCTGACTGGGACCGTCATCATGTTTTGACCTGCCGACTCGTTGAAGATTGAAGAGTTGACGACACTATAGCTACAATCAAACTGCAGGCACTCACATCCTCCCTACTGCGTCTCGATTTCACAAAGGCCAAGTCCTGCAGGATCGCTAGCGCACAGATAGCCATCAGTATAAGTGAAGAACTAGCCGAAACATCAAATTGGCTGGGCGGCGGTCCAGACGAATCAGTAATCAATGTCTTGGCAGGATGGAGAGAGATGCGCGCCCGCAGTGCCCACGTAACCATGCTCCTCATAAACATGGATCGCCGACTTGTCCTCGTCTCGTCTCGTCTTGTCTCTTTTTTTCATTTCATTTCCCCCTTCTCTTTGCGTCTGCTTGCTCGCCCTAGAATCTGCTCGCAAGTGCAGTCAAAATGGAGACGTCCTTCATGCACGCTGTTGACCCCTTCTCGCATACTAGTGGCGGGTTCTTCGTCCAGCTTCTAAATGCCATCTCGGCAACCGCGCTCATCCGATGCTGGCCTCTGCTCGTGTTCTTCACTGCCTGGGCGACAGCGATCAGTGTCATCAGCCACTCGGTGCATAATCTTGGGATACAAAGCACGTTGTTGACAGTGTGAGTGTGAAACCTCATTTTACTTTTTATCCGTTCTGCTCCCGGTCCGTATCGTTTTCGTTTCGATTTGCTTCCGTTTCTTTTTTCTTCCGTTCTTGAATGGGTGGATATTGTGGAAGGGACGCAGATAAACGGTATTCGGTACACCTTTGGCCGGGAAGCTGGGTCGTGTGAGCCGGCGGTCGCGCGGCGTATATGCGACGCCGGCCCCATCTGGGCTGTGCTCATGTTGAAAATCTCACATGTGCAAGACTGCTCGCCAAAGCGGAGGCCGAGAACGTGATCCGCCGCTCAGCTCTTGCTCGCAGCTTTCACTCGTCGGAGGCCGGGCATTGAGAGAGACCGCTGAGCTCTGAATGCGAAGGCAGCCTGGACCATCATGGATGCTACTTCTATCATATGTCATAAGGGGGGCACGATGCTGCGCTTCTCCGCTTCTCTTCGTGACGCCTAATTCCTGCGAGGTCATGCTGCTTCATGGTACACTCCGTGGTAGTTCTCGCCGAATCCGACGCGCCTTCATTGATTTCGTTCATCATTTCTGTTCATCTACGTGGCTCTCCTCGTGCACTCACGGCTAGGCGGTGACGTGGAGATCATGAACTGCAGCGCACAAAGTAGTGTGTCCGACCTGCACGGGATACAGCAACAGAGAAGTTTCGACCCATGTTATAGAGAAGTCTCGCTGCTGGGCTTCCTGATGTATCTTGGCCATGCTTATTTCCTACGAGGTCACGCACACTCGTGTCATCCAGCACTATCATTCTCACTGGCTTCAGGAAGCCCAGACACGGGCACATTTTGGCTCATGTTGGTACCCATTCCAGGCAGAATTCTCACTCGTGATCTTCCCACAGCATCGGTACCGTTCTGGGTTTTGTGGTGTCATATCGAACCACGTCAAGCTTCGAACGGTACAATGAAGGTCGCAAGCTCTGGTCGCAAATCGTCCTAGCCAGCCGGACGTTCTCCCGCACTGTCTGGTTCCACGTCCCCGGTGAGCTTTTCCCCTCCGCCGGTCCCCACGCACGCGCCTGCTGTATACCCATGTCCTCGCACTGACGCGTTGTTCGTCGGATGCAGAGGTCATGCCTACGGCCGCCGACGACAAGTCCACGCTCGAACAGCGCAAGCAGCGCGTGATCATCGAGAAGAAGACCGTCATCAATCTTGTCGAAGCGTTCGCTGTCTCCGTCAAGCACTACCTGCGCGGCGAGGAGGGTGTGTACTACGTTGACCTCTACCACCTCGTCAAGTACCTGCCATCGTACGCGCTTCCGCCGGGCATTCCCTCGCAGCTCGACGTGTCCGATGTCGCAAGCACAGGCGCGGGCGGGGCGTCCGAGGGCGAGCGCGATCGCCGCCTGTCCGATGTGCGCTCGTTCCGCAGCGTCGCGCAGTCCGCGCGTTCGCCAGTGTCGCCGCGCTCGCAGCACCTCCCGCTGCCTGTCACGTCTCCGAATCGCCGCACCACGTTCGCGCCGAACGGGCTGCCGAAACCAAGTCTCGAGCGCGAGGTGTCGGAGGGCGAGATGAAGGAGGAGAAAAGCTCGATGGCGATGTTTGTCGACGAGAGCTTCTTGCTTCCTGCGCGCAACCCGCCGAAGTACCACCTCCTGGATCTGTTCCCGTTGTCGTTGATTGTGCGGCTACTCACGAAGAAAGGGAAGGATGTCAAGGTTCGTCATGGCCTTCCTTGTGTTCTGGGATGGGCCGATAACCACGTGTTGATAGGGCAAGACAGCGGCGAAAATCAGGGCCAAACTGCGGAGCAAGACGGTCACGCATAACTTGCCGCTGGAAATCTCGTTCTACCTTGTATGTCTACTCTATCTGAACATTCGACCTGTATCTTCATCTCCTCCAGAGTTCATACGTAGCGACTCTCCAAAACCGCAAGGTCGTGGATGCACCAACATCAAGTAAGTACGCTAAGACATATTCAAGGGTCTAGCTGCTTATGCGTTATTGCTTAGCCGCGCTCCTCAACTCACTCCTCCAGCTTGTGGATGCGCTGACGGGTCTCGAGCGTATTCTGACTACGCCGATCCCCTTCTCGTAAGGCGTTCCTTCGTGACGACTGTCATAGTGATTGACATGGTGTAGGTATCGCGTGCACTTGTGGACGGTTACTGTCCTGTACAATCTCTTCTTGGTGCGTATCTCGTCCTTTGGAAAGAGAGCTTGTAGCATGTATTAAACAAGCACATTCTGCAGCCCTTCCAGATCTGGAACACCCTCGGATGGCTAACAATCCCGGCAACAACTCTGCTTGTACGTATCTCTGGCTCACGTGGTACGTTTGCTGCACATGACTGAATGTCTCGCAGAGCTTCATCTTCTTTGGTTTCTTGGTTGCCGGAGAGGAGATTGAGAGTGCGTTATAGAACTATCGCTTGCATATGTCTTCTCACTTTGCCATGCGTATCGAACAGATCCGTTCGGTTACGACAAGAATGACCTGGTGAGGAATTTCCACTTCCTCTTTGTCGCCCAATCTAATGTACATTCGGCATCTCGTAGAACATGGACCACTTCACGAACAATATCATCCGCAGTGAACTCCGCGCACTGACAGCACTCCCAGTCCCTGATCCCACGGTTTGGGCGTTCTCGCAGTACAACGACCAGATCTTCGGCTCGCACCCCACAGAGCGCATATCGCCCGAGGAATGGATGCGCCGCGGCTATGGCAGTATGCAGGCCGCACTTTACGAAGCGGCATAAGGCCTTGTACTCGGCATTGCATCAAAAAGGTCGTGGAGCACGGACGCCAGGTCCGGGTGCGTTCGGCCCCTCTATCCCTGGCAGTACCTGTTAGGATCGGAGTCACATCGTCATGGTAATCGGACTTTCTTATAGCATTTCTGCGCATTGCATTCACGTACATTCACGGCATGAGCTCACAGTCGCCCTGTTCTTCCTATTAAACGCATACATACATACATATGATATATACATAGCAACATACTTATACCGCAGTCCTTGTGCATCACTCACTGTTATTTATCATCCGCTGGGCTGAACGCTTGTGAAGCGCTGGCGCCGTAAAAGCAGATCATTTGGTTTATAATACTTCACGGCAGCTCTGGGAAGTCCTCTTGTATATCCGGGCTGCTGCGTCGTGAGCTAGGTTTACTATAGTCAGTACAATGCAAGCGTAACTTACTCGTAGCAGAGCCGATGGCATCGCATCAGCCACTCCCAGTCCTCGCACCCGAAATCTTCGACCGTCCGGAACTCGACTTTGCTCCGCGACCAATAGCACAGCGAGGGCTCGTTTTCCTCGTGCTCGACGTCTGCGAAGCGGCCGTTGTGCCCCACAAGCTCGAGGCTGCACGACTCCTCGGCAAGCTCCTGCATAGTCAGCCAGGGTGGGATATCGCGGTCGTCGACGTATGTAAATCGGATAATTGGACGTTTTCCCCACTGGCAGGGTACAAAGACGTGATTAGTACGTCCCGCGTGAAGGTTGAGATCATGGAGACGAGTGAGCAGCTCACCAGGTCTAGGACTGAGACATACCCGCCGAAGAGTACGTCGGTGGCTGTCGCTTTGATACGAAGGGCAGTGATGCCGTGCGGGATTAGTCTGAGCAGATCTTCCAAGTGTCTCCAACCCAATGAGTGATACTGCAGGTCTACCCCGAGCACCTCTAGGCTTTGCAGCTTGGAGATCCGCTCAAGCACAGGCGTTGTCTCGCGATGGGTCCACCCCGCGCCAGCGGCGATATCGAGCCTACGCAGGCTTTTCTTTTGCTGTAGGAAGTCGAATAGCACAGTGGCCATGGATTCCGTGACGGTAGTGTTCGGAGAAATGTGCAACTTGAAAGAGGTCAGGCCGGGAAGGGCCGATGCGTGTTCCATAAGTACGGTCCAGAGCCCCGTGTCCTCTACCACGCCGCATATCAGCGTGAGCGACTGCAGTCCAGCGCTATGGCGGAAGAGCAAATCGATATTGGATAATGGGACGGGCAACTCGAGGTGCAGGTGCGTGACGTCGCGCAGCGTGTGGATAGGGCTATCCCAGACGAGACCGCCGACAATGGACAGCTCCGTCAGTGAATCACGGGTTGCTTCCATAAAGGCATGGTACGCGTCTTTCACGTTGGATTTCTCGATGTGTTCCCCGGTCGGTCTGACGTCATTCGAGAGTGTAATGGACTTCAGGCGGGGTAGCTGGCAGAAGGACGCTCGATACACCAATCGCAACCTGCGTGCGTGTTTATTAGCGTGGTGCAGGGGACAGTCTCTCATACGTACGGTATCGTCAATCGCTCAAGCGCAGGGTTCGCTGTGGACAATGACTCGAAGATTGTGAGCGTCGGCTCAGGACGGATCCCGTACCAATGCAGACCACGCAGATTGTGAAGCAGCTGGATTGCAGCGCAGAGACATGCTGCAGCAAGATAAGTACACTTCCATATTATGAACAGCTATACAAATGGAGCACGCACTCTCTTCAAAAGTAGCACGGGTTTTGGCAAAGGCATATATATGCAGGATTTTGACGTTTAGAGCAAACGAAGGGTCCCGTATGATGTGTGACAGGATCTCGCCGGCCATGACCGCGTTATGCTCGCAGTCGAACTCATAGCCCACTTCGTCGTAGTTTTTCTCCAGCGAGCCAAAGGAAAGGTGAATGGTTGAAAAGAGCTGCTCCAGTGCCAAGTCATGGAGCATCCAACAAACGGACAGGCATGTGCGTTTACTGTCTCGAGTCAATTCTTGAACAATCATACGCCATACTTCAACTGGCAGCGGAAGATGCGTGGAGAGCTGTAGTCGCAATGTCATATATGTGCTTCGACAGGTTTGGTCGTTGATCCACGAGAGGCGGCCGGATGTATTCCTTCGTTGTGTGGGGGTCTAGTACGAGATCTTGACAATCCAATTATGGTGCTGTTATGCCAGGCCAGTCAGGAAGGTCAGAAACCCCGCCAGAAGAGATTCCCCTTACTATTGTGCCCCACTACATAAGTGTAAGGTTGTGGGATTCCTTGAGGTCACTGTAGTAAGAATAAGTACACCCAAGTTACAGTGCAAGAAATCATAAATCGGGTCGAGCAACCTGAGAATCGGCGGATGCCGAGATCAAGATAAGGTTACTGGTAATCATAGGCGCCCATGTTTGTTACTTTTGATAAAGGCGTTGCTCAAATTGGTGATCATGATTGAGTCGCTACATTGGTGGTGGATGGATTTATTGTAACAGAGTAGTGTATCAATTGTTTGATCCACTGATCATAGAATCATCTTGCACACATTTGAGGCCGTCTTGTCCTACGAAGACAGTCGACTAGGTACATATAAGGACACCGTGCAATATGAACTCGGAGGAAATGTGTTACAACAAAGAGATCCAAATTTGAGATCACGCATTCAAGAGTGAGAATTACAGGTCGTTATTTGCGCGTATGGACACAGCCACAACCGCGCGTTGCTACACCGTGGCCACCTGCTGCCTCATGGAGAACGCGTCATTTGCCACACACCATGATGAACGCGACGACCGCGCTCGCTCTCGCTCGCTGCACTTCCCATCCACCAACTCCGACGCCCCCGACCTCGTAAAGATGTACAAACCACTCTTTTCCGCTAGCTACTCAGACCGATTCGACGTTCACCGCATTCAAGAAGCCACGCGCAAGCGACCGCTCGCGCACTGGCGGAGAGGATATATGAAGGACGGGCTCAACACACCTCTCGGTTACTACCTCGAACCCGCGCCACCAAGCCCCGACTCCGCGAGTTCCTCGTCGCGCCCAACTACTCCAGACGCGACAGATGTCAATCGTGAGATCGTGCACGGGGGAGTCTCGCCTCCAAGCAAGCCCGGTTCCCACGGCTTCAGTGTCTACATCCACAAGCTGCAGGTGATCCTGCCGAGAATACCGTTCCTCTCGCCACGACAACCGCGACGGATGGCTGCGACTCCTCGGCGGACGCCACTTTGGGTTTCACTTTGGTGCGTGTCTATGGTTCTCTCATACTCGTGTTCCGTGGGGAATGCCTTCAGGTCTGCTTGCGGACACTGACTCCCCCATTCGCAACTGTGGTTGGTAGGCCGGCATCGAGCTTGAGGTCAGAACACGACAAGCCAACGCCACAAGCACCGGACGACAGGGCTTATCTTGCAGTAGTAAAACATGCTGCCGGTATTAGTGAAGGCCTTTGGCGTTTGAACTCGCTTCCTCATATGTCTCTGTGAACACGTATTGCCCGTGGTGGCTGCGCCTTGGTCGGCCACTTGTCTTGAGCTGCGCAGGGTACGAGGCCGCAAGGCAAGCTTTTCTGCCTTCAAGTATTGTGGCTGGTATTCGAGATGTCATGCTTGCCTTATCATCTCAGCTTCCAACTTAGCCACTAGCCACAAGGCGGATTTCCCAATGTGTATGGCGTCCGTCACGCATGTAGCGCTCAAATCCTGGCATCATTGGAAAGGGTGGGAACTTGTATTGTTCCCTTGATGCTGGATATTCCGTGATGAGCAGGGTGCAGGACTCTGTCCCCGAGATACCCTACCGGTATCCGGGCAGCGATAATAGACTTCATGAGATCTGAAGTTGGCATGAGAGTGAGGACTGCAACAGTGGCCCTTAAAGTTATTAGACCCGATTTAGGAGGTGCCGCACTGCGGTGATAACCACCATACAGGACGCCTGGAGCATTTTCCGCGAAATACTTTCTCGCACTCTCGCGTCCAATTAGCTGACAGATTCGTCTGGACCAGGTTCGCACTCACTATCCCACTTGTCTTCTGGGATTCTGGGTTCCTTCTGATGCGGTGAGTGCGATCTGTCTATGGTATGTCGTAACACACCTGATGAAGCCTCGTGGCGCCTCGTGCCTGCAGCCCCCGGTCAATGGTGGGCGGAGACTTGCATTTTCTCTGGAAACCCTATGCGATATACCAGAACGTGGATAGGGTACGTCGTAGTGCGAGCTCAGCCTGACGGCCGGTCTCATGCCGCTTTTGCAGAACTACGGCGTGCAGGCATACGAAAAGGGCCATGGCTTTCCAAACGCGCAAGGTGAGCGTGTTGATAATGCCGCCGCAAGGCGCTCCGTCTCATCACGCAGTAGCATTCCTCACGCTCGTCGAAAACTTCATGAACATCGGCTACCTCTGGCTCGTGCATGCCCAGGGCTCGCCGGCCGCCCCGCTGCTGGGCTTCGCCAGCGCGCTCATGACCCTGTCAAAAACAGCCCTCTATTGGCTGATCGAGTACTACTGCGGTGGCTGCTCGATCATGCACAACGACCTGCAGACGCTCGTGGCGTACTGGGTCCTACCAATGGGGTATGTGTTCGCCATCCTGGAGACACCTCTCGTAATGAGCTCACGAAAATTTCCTGCAGGCTCTGGCTTCTCGTCCCGGCGTGCATCGTGTGGCGTCTAGGCCAGGATATCGCTACCGTGCTCCACGCGGCGAATGCTGGCAGCCAGAAGGCGGCGTCGGGAAAGACACAGTGAGAACGGCGGGTTCATACGGACACCCGTCTGCTGCCTGCAGGTCGCGGATCGCATGCTCATCTCTACACGAACATTCCCGGCGAATGCACACATGTTGGAAAACGCACTGATGTTACGACATTGTTATTTATCTACTCATAGGCTTGTAATTGACCCCGGGGCTCGACCCGTCATTGCATCGATACTTACTCCAGGATTGTGATTGCGCTTACGCTAAGAGGCCATTGCTTGCGAGATCTGCTACGAGAGGCAGCGGCATTCAGGTCGCTCCGCAATGATAGGACGGGTGAGCGTAAATGGGCGTTTGCACCCCTGCAAGTTAAGCGAGATAGGCATTGGCGAGACTTGCTGAAGAGGCTCCGAGCCTCGTTACCGCTCCGAGCGATGGACGCCGGCACTGACGGATCGAACATGCAGCGCGAGTCGGGTCGAGTCGGTGCTCGAGCAGATCTGCCCGAACGAGTTCGCTGCCTCTGGGGCTGAGTTTGTTCCTGCGGAGCTTGCAGCGAATGGGAGAGGCATGCATAGGCAAGCCCCGAAGGCCGTCCCCGTCCGACTGACCCTCGGGCCTCAGGGTCGCGCGGGGACGGCTCTAATTGCTTATCAGGTAGCCATCCTGGGCAGCACACACCGCAGCGGATACGGCGGGGCGGATCGCGTCCCATTGGCCAGGCGCGACGCACCGCGTCCCGGCGGGGGCCCTCTGGCGACCGGCGCGGGCGACGGCATCCGCAGAACCTGGATCACCAGTGCACCGCGGCCTGATCGCGATTCGCAGGGCTACTGCCCCCGCGGGGCGTCCTGGGCATATGGCCGTACGAGGCAGGTAATGAAGCGCGGCGCCTGCACCGCGAGATAGAGTTGCGCAGGCGTACCGCACCCTCGTCTCGCGTCGTCCGGATCAGCGGGCGCAGAAGGCGCGGGGGCAATCGTGGCTGGCACGTCCGCGTCCCCGTGCGCGTCGAGGACCACAGAGACCTAGGGCTGTCCCGCGAAGCGAGCGATAAGACGCTTCTCGGCGACACAGTAGTGCTGGCCTGCCTCGCGCCCTCTCGCCAGGCGGAGGCTTATCTGGGCCGCGACGACGCGCCGGGGGATGGGGGGATGGGGGGAGCGGAGGTTCCGACAAACATTGCCAGTTGCGGCAATATGTCGCACCTTGCCAGAAGACGGGGGCGTTCGCAGGCCACGCAGGACGTGGAAGCGTCTCCGCTGATGGGCCTCTCGTCATGATCGGGGTGCCGTGTCCTCGCACGATGATACCGGTGGCTGATCGACGACGTTTCGGTGCGTCCGCCCCAGCGTCCCACGGCCCTCCGCCCAACTGAGCAAGTGAGCCTGGATCACCGCGCCGGGCTGGCAGAACATAGCACGCCGCGGGGCGGGTCGTGGCCCGTGATTCACCACGGTCCACGAACGTTGCCAGGCGAGTGGCCACGCCCCGGAACCTTGTTCGGTGCCCCGCGGGGGCGGTTGCGTCGCGTGTGGAGGTGCGGGTTTCGTGGCCCACTGGCCACCTTCGGACCTCGGACGAGTGCGTGCGCGAGATCGTCGACCCCCTTTATGCCAGGTCTATTGCTGTCCACCATGGTGCCGCGGTTGGTGATCTATAGAAGGTGGCTTGACCACCTTGAAACGCGCTTGTACACAAGATATTAGCCGCACCGCAGGAGCATCCACCCCGGAGGAGCCGCCGTGCCCGCCCTAGCGACGCACGTCTGCGGCGGATGTATGACAGATGACGGGATGCGGTACCGTTGGACATCCTGGACACAGATGCGTGCTGCATGGATGGGCCGCTGTTGCCGGAGAGGGCCGCTGGCCCAGTTTCTCGCTATGGGCTATGGGCGCGTCGGCGCGCCGACGTCAGATGACGCGCCGCTCACCCCGTGGGCCACCTGCATCTCGCGCGATGCACGATGCACGATCCATCGGTGCCCCGCGCACGATCGGGCCCGATCGCGACGACACAACACACGGCGCGGCGCGGCGCGTCGTCATGCGGGGGAGGAACTGAACGTCTGCGTCATGCAGAACGCAGAACGCAGCGCAGGCCGGCGAGGAGCGATAGGAGCGATAGAGATAGGACGGCGCACCGGCACACGGCGGCACGGCCAGCGGCAGGGGCGGCCGGGGACGACCACTGATAGACGTGAGTCTGGCGGAGGGAGCGATATGTCGGACGTGTTACGGAAGCCCCGTACACGTGGGGCCCCCCCTCTGAGCTTGCCCGGCGCTGGCGCTGGCGCATAACGCATTACAAGCGGGTGCATGCATCGCGTCGCGTCCCTCGCTCTGTATCTGAATATGAATCGCGGAGACACGTCGGACATGGTCCATGGCTCATGGCACACGGAATCCTCCGCCCCAGGCTGACCGAGGAGACGCGCCTCGCAGCACGGACGGATCGCGCGGCGGGGCATCCGGGGCACGCTGTGATTGCAGCACAGCAGTGCGCAAGCGCGCTGCAATCTGCTGATTCGGAGGCAGATAATTGCGCGCTGCTGGTAGGCCCGGGGAGTTCTAGGCGATATTGCAGGCGGGCGCGATCCGGGCGACGAGCGCCTCGATTAGGGACTAGGAGAAACAGGAGAAACAGAACCAGAACCAGAACCAGAAACAGCAACAGAGCAAGAGGAGGCCTATTGAAAGGGCGCATGTATGATGCAGTTCACTAATAGAGATCGCGGACGCACTCGCAGCTGGGCGCCAGCGGGGGGCATCACCAATAGCAATAGCAATACCAAGGTGGCCGTGCCACCGCAGACTGGCTGCGCTGCGATCGACGCAGCGTACAGGTCGCGCATTGCATTGCATCGCCACGTCCGAGCACAGGCTCGATCCTGCTCCGTCACGTATGTCCACATCCACATTAACTTCCAGCGATCGATAGGGCCCGCGCCGGCCTGGCGGGAAGGCTGGAGCCCCGCAGCTGCCGCTCGCACCCTTTCATATGCTCATATGCCCAGCATTCATCATGCACCACGCATCGTGAACTCTGTCGCCACCTGCCATCGCCATGCGCGGCGGACATGGCGCGGCCGGGGACTGTGACAGCGCCCGCGCCCGCGTGTGCTGCCTATGCGGGCGATCGTCCGCGCCCGGCGCGCATGCTATAGCGCGCGAAATTGGCTGCAGGCCCGGACGCGGGGGACGCTAGAACGCGGCGTTCGAGGACGCGCGGGAGCGCGGCGTTCGAGGACACGCGGTCAGGTGCGCAGAAGACGGGCGCGGGCATTTCGAGGGTGGGCGGGCCTGCTCGCGGAGTATCATCTCAGTGGACGAGGTCACACAGGAAAGTGGACGGGATCATAGATCACACAGGAAGACAGAGGACAGAGGACAGAGGCAGGCGAAAGGACGGCGGAGCGCGAATCGCCATCGCCGCACGTGAGGCGCCCGCCGCGCATTCGTCATGGGCACCGGGGACCGCGGACGGCAGGCTGCAGCTAGCCGCCGGGCTGATGCTGACGCAACGGGGGGAGGGGCGCGCCCTGTGTTCTGTTCATGGTCACTGTCAGAGCGGCAAGGAGACGAGTCTAGGGCGCACGTATCGGGGCTCGGGGCTTGGGGCTCGGGGCTCGGGGCTCGGGCGTTGCGCTTAGCGGGGTGCAGCTGCAGCGGACAGGATGTACGGGTGCAGCGGACAGAATGTACAGCAGCGGGGCGCGGCGCGCGCCGGGAGGCAATATATTCCACATGTATGTAGGGCGAGCAGCGACAGGAAGACAGAGTGCGACTAATAATGAGAGAGAAACACCAGGGGCCCCAGACAGAAGACTGATATGATGCGAGAGAGAGTGCGGAGCGACGAAGAAAACCGATTGTGCGAACGTGAACGTGATGCAAGAAGGAGGGACGGGGAGGGCGGGGAGCGGGGTGGGGGATATAGATGCGGGAGGGATATAAGGGTGATAGTAGGTACGAGGTAGAGGCAGCGGGACGTCTAGTGATGCAGAGCGAAGTATAGAGATGGAGACGGCGAGGAACGGACATGGAGGGGGAGGAAGAGGAAGTGGTGTGCGTGCGACAGCTTTTGGGTCGTGGGCGCGGGCAGGGAGAGGAGGAAAGGCGGCTGCGGCGCGCGCAGTTGTCCGTGCAACTGCACTGCAAAGTCCCATGTGGATAGATATAGACGGGGGAACGGAAACCGGGCGGACGTCTATGGGTGCGCACTGCGCCGGGAGGAGCGGCGGGCGGCTTCTCATACGGGGATTTTGGACGGTTTCGTCTGCGACGCAGCGTGTCAGACTACGACTGCGTGCGGGACGGGCACACGCGCGCGACTCACAGACTTGCGCATCATCAGCGGCGTCGAGCTGGAGCCGGGCGAGTACGATGCCGCGGGCTGGATGCGCAGCACGTGGTCAGCGGCGGTTCAGAGCGGCGGAGGGCCTATCTGTGATGCTCACCGGTGGTGCGTACTGGGGGAAGCTGCTTGGTGGCGAGGCGGCAGACTTGGAGAGCGCTTTTCGCAGCTGGGCATGCGTGTAAGCACGAGCGGTCTACGATAAGACGCGGTGTAGTCACCTTTGCCTCGCTCTCTGCGTTGCGCTGTGCCGACATCGACGTCGGGTGGAGGGACACGCTGTCGACGCTCTTGGCGTGTGGTAGTGAGGAGAGCTGGCAGGAGAGGCTCGGGAGCGCGATAAGCTGGTCCGGGGCGGAGCGCGTGCTCGAGGAGGAGGAGGTGGAGGAGGAGGACTTCTTGATTTGCGAAGACATGGTGCGGTGGGTGGGGGTGGGCGAGCGTGGGACGTGCAGGAGGTGCGGGGGAGGATGGAAGGGGCGAACGCGGTTGGAAACGCGACGGGCGAGGCACGCAGGGACGCAGCGGCGGACGGTGGGCGCGGCAGCAGGAGGATGGGAGGGCTGGTAGGGAGGAGAGGGAGACTTTATATGCGGTCGGGCCCAGGCCTGTTTGCAGTGGAAGCGACGGACTCGGCATTCATCTCGCGTATACGTTTAAAATTGGGAGGTGCACATCGGGCTGCCCATCTGCGCGTGTATGTCTGATCGACCAATCCCCGCGCGCGAACCGCATCCGAGTCGAGCTGTCGCAGCGCGATAAGCACAGCCGAGCCGCACCAGCCAGCGCCGCCAGCGCCCAGCACGGCCGTCCAATATCCTCGAGAGGCCCCTGCACTGGCACGCCTCGGTCCCGGCCGCACTCTCCGTCGCCCTGCGAGGCCCACTTTCGCTATATCATCCGCGCTCGCACGCCTGCACCCCGCCTCGCGGCACCCACAGATATCTCCCCGCTTTCCCCGTCAATACAGCACATCATCACCTCGCGGCATCCCAGCTATCACGAATCCGCGAATTTCTGCGTTTATTCCCGCCCAGACACGCCATGATGCAACGATTCTAGAGCGACGCCTCCAATCAATTCAGTCGACCGGTCGCTTCGCAGCCTGCGGCCCACCTGACAGCCCCCTTCCCCCCCGGATCGACCACTCATCTCGCCGGCCTTATGCCCTGCCCTATCGGGTCGCCATCCTCACGCCTCCTCGCGGCGTCCTTTGCGCCATCCTGCCTCGACGCTTCCCTCTCCTCGTCAAACAGCCTCCCACTCTGTCATAAGACCCAGCGGCGCCTCCCCCTCAGCCGATCCCCTTGCCCCTGTCCAACACAACCATTGGTCGTGAACCGGCGTGCCCATCACGTTCCCGGGGCCGCCCTGGCCCGGCGAATGCGGCGCGCGCTATTATTCGCGCTTTCTTGTCCTCACCATTGCCTCCTAGGGCCGCGGACGCATACAATTGCAGCAGCCGTCTGCCCGCTCGCGTGCCCGCCTGGGCCTGAACCTTGCCAGGCGTCGCTCCACTAGCACTATCGAACATTGAATGGCGCTTCCCCGGGGCACTCGCAGACGCATATGCGGGCTGCCCAGGCTCGCCTTCGCGAACCGCGCGTGCCAGCCTATGCTGGGTCATCTGCCGTCCCAGCAGCCTATCGAGCGACCGCGACCGCCCATCTTGTCGCGCAGCAGCTATATCGCTCGTGCAGGCCGAGCTTCGCGCTGCAGGCCGGCCGTGCACCGCGATATGAGCTCGAGATCGCGTCTTGCGAAGCGTCTTGTCTTCGCCCCCCGCTTCTGCCAACGCTGCGTCTGCGAGCTAATCCGGCGCCGCATCGCCGTCCGGCTGGCTCTGGCTCTGGCTCTGCGTGCCCGCTTCTCGCCTTCGCGCTTCCACGATACGCGATCCTGCCCCCCTTCCCCTTCCCCTTCCCTTCGCGTGCTTCGTTTCGCCTCCTGCCTCCTGCCCGTTCGGGCGCACGCGTCTCCCAGTCTGCCCCGGGGCGTGCGCGGTCTCCGCGGCGGTGACTGACCAAGCTCGATCGGGCTGCGCGCGGCATGTGTCGCGCCGCGTGCCCGCCATTATTATGGCAACGGGCGTTCCGCGGGCGAGAACGCGAATGTGCGCTGAGAACGAAGAGAAGGACGGGGCCACCGCGTCATTCGTCATTGTCCCACCGTCCATCACCGTCCGCCGGCCGTGCTTCGCGCGTGCGACTCAGATCCCTGCAACGTTCCTGACCCAGGGCCCATCACCCTATGACGAGCCCGCAGGCCGCAGCCCGTACTACTTAATAGTGCGCCAAGTCGACAAAGTGTTCGCAGTCACGCATCACGGGCACCTCGGGTTCGTGTGTCACAATCACTGCCAGCCATGAGCTGGGCACGGAATCTGTTATTACGGTGGCCGGCAACCTGTTTGTTTTGCTTGTTCAACCTGCAGAGCGGGAGCCCGCGATGTATCGGACGTATTCTGGTTTACCGATGCCATGGATTTACCCTGGAGGCTCGCTGTTTACTATATACGGTGTTTCCCACCAGTGCTCACCTCAAATCTGATCCTCCGATTGGGCAAACCACAGTTCGAACTGCCGCGATGCGGCTGAACTGTCAAGTAGCGCGTCACGGTCACAAGGCCTGAAACACTTGGCCGAGCTGGTACGGTATCTACGCGCTGCGCTGGGGCGGGGATGCGCCTCGGGCGACAGGCAGCCCCGGAGCGCGCTGCAGCCTGCAGCGACTTGATACGCAGTTAGCTGCTGCTCTCCGTCCTGACGCACGCCCGCGAACACTGATTGCGAGCGAGCTCACCCCCATCGCTGCGTGTTCGTCGAACGTCTCGTCCCCGAGATGCTCACGCCGCTCGCCCGATCGCGCTGCGCGATCTGCCACACACGCTCGCGCGCCGGGAACCCCTGCCCCGCGCACGCTTCTCACGCCCGGCAGACCCGCTTACCTCACGCCGGTGCCCGCAGCGTCTGCTGACCGCTGGCCGCCGGCCGCCCCCGTCCCGCGGCATGTCCGAGGCGCGTGCCGCCGGGCGCTGTCTGTCGGGGCCTTTGCGCCGCAGCCTGCAGCCCGGGAAAGAGTCGAGAATCGAGATGCGCGCCGTCGCCCGCGCCCGAGTGCTAGGACGGCTGCTGCTCGCCCGTGCGGTTTTGCCGTGCGCATGAAGCTCGGGGCCTGGGACTGGAGCCTGGACCGCCGCGCGCGCGCAATGTTGGCGTTGGACGCCACGCCCACGGGCCACGCTCGACGTGGGGTGGTGTCCCACCCTCATTTCTCCGCCTATCGTGGCACCCGGTGTCCGTGTCCCGTGTCGCCTGGAATATTAACGTTATCTACCGCATACCGCTGGCAGTCGGGATCCAGGACCCTCCCCATCGGCATCACATCTCGCGTAGCCCGGGGCTGATTGGGTTGCAGGTGCGGCCCCAGGTGCGTATAAACGCGGCCCTGCGCGCGCGACGCGAGGTGCGCCGTCGTCATGCAGCGTAAGCAGAATATTGATGCGTGATGCGTGGCGTGAAACGCCCGCCGCCACGGGCCCGCGCTGCCTCTCTCGGTGCGCCCCTCTTACCTGGCCGGGCTTAGCCTCCCTGCGCGCGCGGCAACCGCCGCGCGTGCTGTCGCAGCTCGGACTCGTGGCGCGCCACGGCCGCGATGCTGGGCACGGCCCGTGCGACACGGCGTCCTGCAGCCAATCGTCGCGCGCACATACCTCCGGTGCGACCACGGCCTGCCAGCGACGCTTGCGTCTCAGTACGCGAGCACGCAGGAAAAGGAAGGGAGAGAACAAGCTCGCCCCACACACGTCTAGGCTCGATACGGTCAAGACACGTCGGTCTTCGGAATACAATATTAATGCCATTTTGTCAGTTCGCTAGGAGACAGGCGCCGTCGTGCGCGCCTTAACGTTTATTCGGCCTGGACACCCTCGTACACGGGCAGCCTGCGGCACGCCTCTGCCCAGTCGATCGTGCCCTCCACGAGCTCGGTGACTATGGCGACGACGTCGTCTGCAGGCCCGATGAGCTGGATGGTCGTGTCACGCTCACTGCAAGCACGCGGCCGTCAGCAAGTGCATAGGAAAGGGTGAGAAAAATAGCCGCCAGGCAGCTCACCGTAATGTCGCTGTGTGGTGCTTAACAGCTACGCGGAAGGGAAGGTATGTAGTCAGAGGCGTGGCGGCCTACAGTCTCGGGAAGACGTACAAGCAAAGTCGACAGTGATGCCGAAGGGCGTGCCCAGCTCGTCGTTCCGGGCATAGCGCTTGCCAATGGACTGGCTCGAGTCGTCTACGTGCGCGAACACGCCGGCCTTGCGCAGTTTCAGAGCTGTGGGAGAGTGCATCCTGGCGTGTCAGCCTAGCCAACCTGGTGCGCGGCGTGCGCAGATGACCACGGGTGGTACGCACAAATCTCCTTAACGAGCGGCTTGAACTCGTCCTTCGCGCTCAAGGGAACGATCAGAACCTTGGTGGGAGCGACGACGGGCGGCAGGGAGAGTACCTGGATGGGGTTGGTGGCGGCGGAGAAGTTGGGGAGACGTGTCAGACGTGCATGATCTCATGGGAAGCGGACGGGGACGCTCACCCCACGCTCGACGTCCTGCTCTCGACTCCAGAAGCAGTGCTCTAGCAGCGAGTATAGAATACGGCCGAGGCCGAAGGAAGGTTCGATGACGTTGGGAGTGTACTCTCGCGCTGAATGGCAGGGTCAGATGATGCTGCATGCGGCAATGACACACGACGTACTGGACTGTTTGAATGTCTTCCGCTCAATGGTCAGAAGATCGGGAGTCAATTTGAATTCTCGCCCGTCAGGCGACTGGATCGTGGCAGAGCTGCATTGCAATACAGATCAGAATAGCCTGGGCAGGAGGCGCAACGAGGGGGTGCCTAGATGCCTACCCGTGTGAGAGCTCGTCCTTGAGCTTGACCATCTGCGCCTCGTCGAACGCGTCGATGGCCTGCGTGATCGTGGCGAGATCCTTGCCAAACGTCTTGCCGAGCGCCTTCTTGTTGTACTCTGCGACATCGCGCTCCGTGACGATCGGTTCGGGAAGCTGCGCGCGTACGACGAGCGGGTGACCCGTCTTCTTCGAGTGCACGGACAGGTCGTACGCGGCGCGATCCGCGCAGCCGACGCACTCCGTCCAGCCGTACGAGTTCTCGATCTCCGCGTCCCAGCAGTCCGCCGCATAGTGCGCCATCTCGTTCGCCATGTGCTGGCGGAAGCGCAGGCGCTCGGGGTCGATCCCGATCTTGGTGAGGAAGAGGTGGATCCGCGCGAGGAAGTATCCGAGAGTCTCGTTCGCGATCACGCCACGCGCGACCGCGTCGCCTATGCGCATTCGCGAAACCTGGGTGCTGCCCGCCTGCTGCACGTGCCGATCGAGAAGGTCCAGCTCGACGTCACGCACCTCGGCGAACCGCTCGTGATTCTTGTCCTCCGGGTCAACAAAGTGCTCGATCTCCGCCATCGTGAACTCGCGCACGCGCAGCAGACCCGCGCGCGGCGAGATTTCGTTGCGGAACGAGCGCCCGATTTGCGCGGATGCAAATGGCAGGCGGCCGTTATTGTAATCAAGCAGGCGCGAGAAGTTTAGGAAGTGGCCCTGCGCGGTCTCCGGGCGCAGGAAACTAGGGTCTACGTGAGGTTGGGCCCAGGCGATTGCAGCAGGAATCTCACCCTGGATGCTGACCAGTGGGACCGATGCTACTGGCGAACATCAGATTGAACTGTTGGGGCTCGGTCACTTCATTGCCTGAATCGGGGTTGGTGATATTGTATTTCCTGCATAGCTCGCCCAGTTCAGGACCAGAGTAGTTGTCCAGCTATGTGGGGCATCAATAACCCGAGCCAAGACGCGGGGGGCTGTCACGTACTTGCGCCAGGATGTTCTCGTACTCCGCAGCGAGCTCATCAGGCAACTGCACAGGGGCGGGCTTGCCCTTGTCCTTTTTCGCCTTCTTCTTCGCCTTCTCGTCTTCTTTCTGAGGCTGAGCAGCCAATGCCCGCGCTTCTTTATTCGACACTAGGCGTGCGGAGAGCACGTTTTTCACAAGGTGGTCGGCGCGCAGCACTGCACCCGTCTTGATGTCCTTGACCATCCAATCCGCAAAACGCGCGACGTGGCCAGACGTCTCGAAGACAGGTGCTGGGGTCATGATGGTCGTGTCAAGCTCGAGCATGTGCTCTTCGACAATGAAATGCTTGCGCCATTCCAAGATGATATTGCTTTGCAGGGCCGAGCCCGGCGGACCGTAGTCGTAGAGACCAGCAATACCTATAGGGAAGCAACCCAAATGTCAGCAAATGCGATCGATACACATTGCATCGCGCCGGAGAGCAATCGGAGAACTCGTATTGCGAGTGTGGAGCACCCATAGTAATATGGCTATTTATAGAGAACGCTAGTATGGCTGCAAGCTGCGATATAAGCTCGCCATGAGCGGTCGGAGTGGCTGTCTGGTTTCATATTTTGCGGTAGAATAGGCTATCCCGAGGCGCCTCTGCATCGTGGGCATAGTTACAATTGACTTCTGTCACCTAGAACGATTGCGAATTGACTCATTATCTTAGTGAAATTTCACCGGGCCGTGCTGAGTTTCCCTGACCAGGCGGATGATTCTCTGTAAAAAGGAAGCCGCGCAGGCAGCGGCGCCTTTCATACACAACTGGGGGCACTAATGTCTCAGCAACGGTGGTTGTTATCGCGTAGTGAAAGCCTCCATTCAAGGCAGCCACGCACTCGCATTCACCCCGCGATGCCAGGTAAAAAGTAATCTCCATTCTCGGGTTGGTTGAAGTTCAGCTCCTCAGTGCTGATCGGGAACAAGGCCGCACAGAACAGACCTTTTGAGCAGCGAAGTACACAGGGACAGATCGTGACCAACAGGTTCAACAGTAGGAATGCGAATCACGAAACACACGACGATGCGAAACGTAAAGACTCACCTCCATAGATCTCGAACGCTGGTGCATAGAAGAACCTGTGCGCGAGCACCGACTCCAGTCGTGCCTTGTCAAACGGATGCGCAGTCTTGTTTACCACAGGGTTTGTCATGGTGTGGATGTGATGGAAGCGAACAGTAAATGTACAGCGTTGGATAAGTTTAGCAGGCCGGAGGCAAAGGCGCATTCAATTTGAGGATGACTCGATGATGCTGGCTTGTATTTGGCGCAAAATCGATTGGATCTTGGACAAGAAACGGCAGTCTTCCGGCACGAGGGATCCGTCGACTTGTACCCTTCTTTTCCAAGAGCACGCGGGGCAATCAGTGGATAATGAAAGCTAGGAAATCCGTGAACTTGAAAGTATCGACCGAGACGTGAAGAAAACAATTCGGCTAGATTTAGTCACATCATAGCGTTAGATCTAATCTAATCGCGCCTAGATAAGTGAAGATCATTTATAGAAATGACGATCATTATTATTTTGACTTGACATGGAATAAGGACAACTACCGTCACTCGTCTATTCCGAATGTACCATCATCGACAAGCTTGTCATGTTAATTGGCGACGATATTTTGCATGGACTTTTGCCGCCAGACCAATGTTCCTCGCCGACCAATCTTCGAGAGATTAGATTAGATGGCGGGACATGCGGCGATAGAGTCTGGGCTGATCCTCGAGAGACTCCCCAGCAGGGCCAGCACCCCGGTCCACCCCAGACTCGTCTTGAACCCCCATCGACTTCGCATAAAGCGACACGAAAACCTCTCCCTCGATCTGTACCAACCGTCTGAATAGCCATGTCTCGTCAATTCTTTGTCGGCGGAAACTTCAAGATGAATCCTGCAACGCAGGAGCAAAAGCGGTCACTTGTGAAGGTTTTGAATGAAGCAACGATTGACCCCTCTGTTGGTGAGCATAATCTTCGAAATTCCCACCTGCTTTCAACTGATTGGGACTTCCACAGAGGTCGTGCTTGCCCCTCCCGCGATCTACTTGCTTACTCTGAAGGAAATTCTCCGCAAAGAGATCAAGATCGCTGCTCAGAACTGCTACGTGAAAGCATCTGGAGCATTCACGGGAGAGATCAGGTGAGATCGCGGTGCGTTAATGGTTCCCAAATCATCGCCAATCTTGCGCATCGGGCAGCCCTGCGCAACTTGTAGATGCCGACATTCCCTATGTCGTCCTTGGTATGTTCGCGTTTATGTTTGCTACGGGATAATCTCATTGGATGGATCAGGTCACTCCGAGCGCCGCACACTCTTCCACGAGACATCTGCGTTAGTTGCCCAGAAGACCCGCGTCGCCATCGACACCGGACTCTCTGTCATCCTCTGTGTCGGCGAGACGCTCGAGGAGCGGGAAGCGGGAAGGACCGCCCAGGTTGTGGAGGAGCAGCTCAAGCCTGTGATCGAGTTGCTGACCCCGAAGGACTGGAGGTACGATCCACGAAGCACACAGTGTTCGTATCACTCACGATCCATGCCCGTGCCCGTGCAGCAAGGTCGTGATTGCGTACGAGCCCGTGTGGGCCATTGGTACCGGCAAGGTCGCGACCTCTGCCCAGGCGCAAGAGGCACATGCCAACATCCGCAGTTTCCTGGGCAAGGCTGTCTCTGCCGCCGTTGCGGAGAGCACGCGGATCATCTACGGAGGCAGCGTCACGGCCTCGAACTGCAAAGAACTCGGTGAGTCTCAACTGTTATCGAAGAATGTACGGAGCGCGGACTGGAATGCGAATGTATCTTTTCCCGCAGCCACCCAACCAGATGTAGATGGGTTCCTTGTCGGCGGGGCCTCTCTGAAGCCTGAGTTCGTCGACATCATCAATGCAAAGAAGGCGTAATCCCCGGTTCCGGTGGCCGCCGAGTGTGGAAGGTGGTCATAGTGCTATATGTCCAATAGATCAAGGAAGAAGAGAAGCATACAAATGCGTAATGTATTCTGTACCTCGGAAGTTTAAACATGATGACAGCGCATGAGCGTCGAGGTTTCTCCTGCGAGAATGCAAGCCAACCTACTTATTTTAGGTGCGCAGATCACATCGAGCCATACCCTGTGCCGTTTCCTTGGCGGTCTCGCCTCAGCTTTTGCGCTGCGGCAAACTTCCTTTCGTTCTCAGACCATTACGTGGAATGCACCCTCAACGTTGCTCTTGATTGCCAGCGAGACTTCGGCAAGATTGCATTGTCTGTGGCCTTCCCATGGTCAGCCCTGTAATGCATCCGGCGACCTCACAGCGATGTCATCGCTATCCATCGCACTATATCGCCGCAGCGGGAAGGTTGCCGGAAGTGGGCGAGACGCCTCGTCGCTCGAGGCTGATGGCTAGACGTCACGCATGAACGTTGGTAAGCTCGGCAGTGCTTACTAACGTGATGCCCGACTCATTAACTTCACACTCGTGCACGGAGGTAAGTCACCTACTCATACGAGCAGACATGCGAGACGAACCGATCTAATTTTTGCACGACGTGACGCCCGTGCGCTTTGATGTAATGTAGATCCCACCAAGATGATTCTCGACCGAGCATGAGCAACCTGAGGCTGACTGAGCATTTCCAAGAATGTCAGGCTAACGTTCCACAAGGATTTGTTTATGAGCATGCTTAGCCTGCGACGTCATCATCACTCATCACACCGACGTTGTAAGTACCGCGATGTTGATATAAATAAAGAACAGCCTCCTGCATGCGTTCGAGGGGGCGCTCTTCGCTTCCTACCACCACCATCCCGAGTAGAGGCGCACCGTCATGACGGCCTTTTTCCAATTTCACTTCTTGTGGCTGCCAGCCGAAACTTGATTGTTCGTTATCAAGCGTTTGCCTCGCGCGGCGAAGTTATCTCGTGTGAGCGTCTGCATTGCCTTACATGACGCCGAGCCTGCCATTCGCGTCCTCACCCGTCTGTCTCTTCTTCGACTAATGGAAATACCCCTGCAACCATGACCGATGTCCGAGTGGCCGCCGAGAGGACCTGCCAGAGGAATGCGGGGAAGTCGGGTGCTGTCCTGATGAAGATCCGCCATGGTGCGTCGTTCGCGTTCTCGTGAGGAAGCTGCACGTTCATGGTGACGAAACGAACGGATTATCCGGCGTGGAGCGCGATTGAGATACGATCCTGATGGAGGAACTCTATACGCTTATTGACTCGCCGTTCGATGTGCAAGGTCCCTTCGTCGATGCGGCCAGGAATCAGGATGTTGGCGAACCTACGCATCCATCAAATAGGCGTTCGCCGAGACACAAACCGTCCGGCCGTCTAATCCAGGATCTCACGACGTCCTGCCCTCGATAACGGCGTATCACGCTGCCGTACGTTCCTTACATGATGTGTTACGTTTGCACAAGCTGGCGGTATTGTGATATAGCTCCAGACTCCTCAGAGATTCCTCCGACCGGGATCCGATACCATCACGCTCATATAAAGTAACAAAATGACACTGAGCTGGCAGAGGAATATGAAAATACGTTCGGTAATCTCCTCGGTTGTGAAATATGTCACAGTATCGGATCTCGACATTGTCATTGATTTGCTTCGAAATACTCCCCTACCGAATTTGTCCCTCACAGATCTTCGACGTCATTACCTCATTTCCGACATAGAGGCTATCTGACAGCATTGTAACCGATTATGAGCCTTTTCTGTCATATGCGTAACCGAGGTATTTGGAGCCCGCGAGGTCAATTCAGGACTTGTGGCCGTTCCTCGACAAGCACGCCAATTCCCTTCAATGGCTGACTTTACTCAGACTTGTCCCGAGAAGCCCTCCTGTCGGCCACGTTAGAGTCACTAAGTCGTACGCTCTCGGGCTCACACTCGCCGTATACCCTGGTAAAGGTAACAGCTACCCAAGAGGGGCTCCCTACTTGTCTGACTGCCCCTTCTGTATCACTCACTCTTGGTAGGTGATCATGGTGACAACTCTTGAATCGATTGGTACGTCTGAGCCGTTGCTGGGCTCTGCAACGGAAGCGCTCACCACTAATTGTTGGACAGCCTGTCCGCAGTAAAGGGTTCGCGTGTTTCGAAAACATCACGATGCGTACGGGTGCTCTCAGAACCATCACTTTAAGGCGTTGAAGTAACTTGAACTATGTGGATCGCTCAACTTGAAGCGGCGCTATTGAGTAGAGGACAAACATGTCATCGGAGTGATCAGATGCGGACGCATTCACTCCAGCGTGCATCACGGAATCACAACGAGGATCAAGACTCTTCCGCCTGGATTCTGGTATAGCGTCTCTTACAAGCTCTGGAACCACGGCTTCATACCTTCAGCTTCGCATTTGAGGGACGTTTCTTTCATCCCTTCCATAACGCAGCTCTGGGTAAGTTTCCTCCTGCGTGACAGAATGTGGACCCGGTGGTACAGTCAAGTTTCCGTGATCGGGAGCTGCATTACCTTTTTCGATCGGTGAACGCACGTGACATCGCGCGCCTTGCACGTCATAACTTCTGTAGGTGCTCAGCTTCCCCCAGTCCGCGACTCTGCTCGTGCGTATCGCCCAGCATACGCTTGCGGCCTCGCTGATAAGTATTCCGCTGCAGATCGACCGTGCGTCCGACGACTCGCCGAATGATGTCCAGATTCCTAATCAGTGACATCGTCCCGATCTCACGATCTCGAGTATTTCAGGTCGTACCTGTCGACGAGCGGTCGGACCGTGCTCCCACTTCTCCTTCGACGTTTCCTCCGACTCGCGCTGTGCTCACAGTAGTCTTGCGCTGACATGGCCAAGGTTTTCAAGATCGTGCCGACGACGCAGAAGTATGACTGGGGAAAGATAGGGAAGACGTCCAAGGTCGCGCAGTACGCTGCTGCTGCCAAAATCCCTGGTTTCACCCTGGATGAGAACGCGCCGTATGCTGAGGTAAGTGTATGCACTGTCTCCTCGGGGCACTGGCTGATATCTGGTCGCGAAGCTGTGGATGGGGACTCATCCGAGCGGCCCCTCTCGTCTATCTGGCTCCGATACGACGCTCTTGGAGTATTTATCTTCTCATCAGGATCTAATTGGAGAAAAGGTTGCGGAGAGATTTAAGGAGGCGGGTGCTACCAAGGGCAACCTTCCCTTTCTGTTCAAGGTGCTTGCGATCGAGAAAGCGCTCAGCATACAGACGCACCCAGACAAGAAGACGGCAGAAAAGTTACATGAGGCGCAACCTAACGTATACAAGGGTGCGTCGTGCCAAGATGCATGCGCATTTATCGAGCTAAACTCGTCACAATGCAGATGCCAACCATAAGCCAGAAATGGCACTCGCGCTGACCCCGTTCACTGCAATGTGCGGTTTCGTCCCCTTACCTCAAATCGCGACGTACTTGAAGTCAACTCCCGAATTATCTGCCTTAATCCCCCCTACCATTTCCAAGCGTTTCGTCTCAATTGTCTCCTCTCCAGAAGCTCCAGAAGCGGAGGCGAAACAGGCACTGAAGGACGTCTTCTCGGCAGTGATGTCTGCGGAGGAGTCCCTTTTCAAGGCGCAGCTCGAAAGGCTCGTCCAGCGATACGAAGCAGGTCAGGAGCAGGAGGCTGAAAAGGGCATCAAGGAGCTGGTATTGCGTTTGAATAGCCAGTTCCCGGGTGATATTGGCGTGTTCTGCGCGTTCTTGCTCAACTACGTTAAGATGAACCCAGGCGAGGCTATCTTCCTCGCGGCGGGCGAACCGCACGCCTACGTCTCCGGAGGCGCGTCTAGTCCACACTAGATTATCACAGCGGCTGACAGCTCTTGTCTCACAGATATCATGGAATGCATGGCAACGTCCGACAACGTTATACGCGCGGGCCTGACGCCGAAACTGCGGGACATCCCGAACCTGGTGTCTGGGCTCACATACGGTGCAGGCGACGCGCGCAGGCACATGGTGGCACCCGCGAAGTTTGGCCTTGCGGCGCACACGCAGTTGTACGACCCCCCCATCCCCGAGTTCGCGGTGCTGCAGGTGCAGGTGCCGGCGGGCGAGACGGAGGTGCACCCGCCAATCGACGGGCCTAGCATTGCGATCGTGACGGAGGGGCAGGGTGCGCTGGAGTGGGATGGAGAGGAGCGGCTGGATGTCTCGGAGGGCGATGTGGTGTTTGTGGGCGCGGAAGCCGGGCTCAAGATTGTTGCCGGCAGCGGTGGGCGGCTGACGGTGTATCGGGCATATGTGGAAGTGTAGGCGATCGTCCACCTCGGATGACGACGTTTACTGTGCAGAGAAGTGTATGAATTTTTAAGCTTTCGACTTTCGAAGAAGAAGAGTGGCAGAAAAAAATCGCGCTTTTTGGACCATGCATGATCCGAATGAAGTGTATGTCCTCACACTTTCCGATCTCCCCGTTATGATTCTGGCCATCCGGTCATCCGATGACGCCTGGACGTGAAAACTTACTTTATACACTGCAATAATTTTGCAACAGCTACGTTTGTTCAGAGCCTGCCTATTTGTATCCTTTTTGTATGCATGAAAGGGAACACCGGTACATATGTGACAGACCTGTGACGGCACACGCCGAGAACTCGAACTCGCTCAGACTGTCCGGTCCAAAAATGGTCTCCCTGTTCTTTCATCTTCAATATACTGGGAAATAGACCCCCTTTACTATGCAGGAGACATACGCGCTTGCCGTCGGTAGCAACCACCATCCGCGCCGAGGTCGAGTCACGAGATGGTGATCCAGTCTCGAGCGACGTAGCCTCAGCCTGCTGATTCGGACAACAATCATCAACTAGCATTGGAATCTGGTCTGTTGCACACCTGAGCCCACAATAATCTCACTGCATATGCCAGACTCAGTGTGATCTTCTCCAATACGTCGTGACGAGAGATGAGGCCACCAATCCATCGTTTCGTTGCCGTTGCAAAGCCGACCCCGCGACGGATTCGTCACGGGGACGAGTCCACTTATTCGAGTGAGTTTCTTGAGAGCGTACAGTCTCGGCCCTAGATCGAACGCGGGGCAGACGGACAGAATGCAAATGTCAGCGCATTGGGGCCCGAGCCGGTCGGCTAACAGTATTTGCAGTAATGAAAAACGCGGCGTTCCTAGCGGAAGCATCTTCATCACGGCAGCAATTCAAATCCACAATGAAAAGGATCTGAGTGTCTCACGGAGACGCACGCGATGACGGGAAGATGATCGTGCTGAAGCGCGGAAGCAAATTTATATGGGCTCGCCTCATGCTTCCTCCATGTCACCCTCTGCTTACAACCCCCTATGCGCCGGCATCGGTTGCGGTGACCACCACCTCTTTCCTCCCCGTCTCTTGTCGATTGCACTATGGCCAACGAGACGACCGCCGCACTCCTAAGGACGTTCCTGGAGGATGTGCGCACTATTCGGTATTCGGAATGTGAGTATGCTTTCGAAAGCTCACAAAGTGTGGCGTTCTGACTCTGCGCGCAGTGGCTTCTAGCACTATCATTGTCTTCGATCATCGTGCGTCCCTGAACGCATTGTTGAATGAATAGTGCTGATGGCGCAGCTATAGTAATCACGCTGGACCAGGAGGTGCGTCATCGTGACCATGCTTCTGTTCCATGAGGAGCGAAGCTAAGCTACCCCCTAGTACAATCTGATATGGGTAAGCACAAGCGTTCCATGCGGTCGCCCGCGGGCTGTAAGCTATCGCCGGTAGACGTCGTCGTGGACACTGGGAAAATGTCTATTCTTGGTTGTGAGCTGGCTGCGTTCTGCCCAGGCGACAGAATTGTGACCGTACGTGGTTTGGTCCCAGAATCGCTACTACACGCTCCTTACATTGGTGTACGTTGCCTGATGCTACGTATCAAATCCCATCTAACTGTATGTGATGAATAGGTTCAACAACTATGGTGAATTGACTCATTAGATGGGGAACTCTGCGGTTCTGACGATTAAATATTCTCCACATAGCTCTTTTTAGCCCCAACATGACCGATTCAGTGAGTTGGATAATCATATATTCGAAGGCTCAACGATTGACAGCGCATTCGACAGCTGTGCGTGTGACTAGCTACTGAATTGTATGGCTAATGGTACTGAGGGCATATTTGCAGCTGTGCATATCCCTCTCTCCATTCTTTGCTCGTCGGAGATTGACATTTATTCAGGTCTATCGTGGTATATGTGGCAAGGTTGGACAGGAGTCATCGCGTTCGTAATCGCCGAGAGTAAGCGATCTGCTATTCAGCATCATCGTATTTCTCCAATTGGCAAACCCCCAGTGATCCTACAGCTCCGATTATATGCGTTGTATTTGCTAGACAAGCGCGTACTCGCCTTCATGGTGACGGTCTCATTGTGCGCCGCGGCGGCATCCGCAAGCGTCATGGGCTCCGTTCTATCTAAAATTACCGGTGCGTAACCACCATTTCCGTACCTTGCACCTACGCCTCTAATATCTAGGTATTCCTACTTCACAGCAACCGCCCATCCATTCCCAGGCCACAACTTCTGCGTTGTGGGAAACGTTTCGGACCACTTCTATGCGTTCTGGATACCAATGCTCGCGTCGGAGAGTGTGCTGTGCGGCCTTGCGGTGTACCGCTTTATGCAGAACCACCGTTCGAGGTCCACGTTGTTCCAGACGGGGCGGCGACTTGTTGAGAACCTGATCCGTGATTCTGTTTTTTACTTCGTTGTGTGAGCACCGCTTGACATTATTGTCAAATGCACCCAGGTCTCATGATTCCACGCTGTGTAGGATGTTTGCGACGTACTTCACCAACACGCTCATCTTTATCTTCGGGGCGGTACGTCTGTCACGCCTATTTGGGGGCCACGCTCTAATACGAACAGCTACAGGCGGCGAAGATGGAGATACCGATCGGATTTGCGGTCGCGCTGTCGTGCGTCATGGGCAATCGGCTCTGCCTGAATGTGCGTGGGATGGTCCGCGGCGAGGACCCGCTCCCGTCAGAGTCGGGCTTGCTGTCCGAGTCTAGCGACGACATGCCAGTGTTCACCGTCGAGTGTGGGACGCCGCTGTCGGCGATGCAGATGACGGAACTGCGATCGATGCGATCGATGCGATCGGTGCGGTCTGCGCGGTCTGCGCGGTCTATGAGTGGATGGTCCACGCCTGTGTAAGTATAACTTATGTATGGAGAATTTTGACGTAATACTTTGACATGGGTTGCTCGGAGGGCTCATGCTATCCGATGAACCGGGAGGCTCCAGGCCGCCTTCAAAGTGGCTGACTCAATGCCGTAGGACCACATGCCGTAGGATTGGAAAGCCAATGCGGCTGCCTTCATTTCTTACACGTCAGCGGCGATCAAGCACCCATGTCCGTAATGATTCGTGTTATTTAACCCCCCCTTCAGCTTCCGCATATCGGTGAACTGAAATTGACTTGCCTTGCTTTCGCATGATGCGCTTTAATTGATTCATGAGCTCGATATTTGTGCAATCTTCTGCTCATTTGATGTCGGAGAAACACCCAACTGTCGCTTACCAGCATTGACTTTAGAGCTATGAGGAGAGATTCTCGCCCGTTACGTTCGGGATACCTAGGTAAGCTGATTTCATATTGCTTTGTCTTCTGTTCGGAAGGTTGGTCGCACCCCTCGGTTCCATTCGACTATCTCTATTGGCGAGGAGCGTACTTCGGCTAACTGTCACAGCGTGCGCCGCACGAGTCTATCGAAATGAGATTCGCCACAAGGCTCCACTACTCATCTGGATGTCCTGAATGATGACAAGGTGTGATTCAGCTTCTCCATTGATAGGTCCGTCCATTCAGGTGCGTCATCATGATTCCTGAGCTGAAATGCTTCAATAATTTGATGAGTCCTCTTTGATCGGATATCTGCCTCTTATCTATCGCGTGTTTAGAACAGCTCCTCTGAAAAGGACTCCTGCTGCGTCTAACCCTGCTCCTTGCGTTACTGGACTACTCAGATGTCAGATGCGGATGCTGCTATACTCGCCTCGTTAACTCAGGCGAAGTAAGCCCCTGATGTCCTTCACTCAAAAATCTCTTGACTCAGGTTGTGCAGCTTCGTAGGCAACTGTTGCACGGTCTCTGTCACCGGTGGTTTCATTCTGTAACGAGTCGCAAAGTAAACAGTGCTAATTACATACCTTCAGCACTATTGCTGTATGAATACTCGATCACTATCAGCAGCGAGTCGCGATGGATGTGGCGAAGGGGTTCCTATCTCAAGCTTCCATTCGTCGTTTTCATCCTCAATCGACTTGTCATGCTGGGGCTAGCAGTCGCAAATATCCTTTCCGTCATCTTACCACTGGATACAGTCGAGGTGTGTGTTTGAGTCCAGCGGACTTTGACGTTCCAATCAACCTTCTCACAAAGCGCATTATCATCAGAGGTATTCGCAAAACCTGCATGGCGCTTCTGAAGTGTGCTGAAGCTGGCTCTTACAGTTGTAAGAACGTGAATGTCGCGCTTTATATCTTCACCCTCTTGCTCTATATTATATGGCCCGGTATGCATTATTGTTCTGCCTGACTAAACATGTTCTCGACGCTTGACTCAGTGCTCTCGGCGTTGCGTGTCCACGCGTTGAGTGGCCTGAACTGGATGCTATCCCTCCTGACGTTGGCACTGGGTTTAGTACCGGCCGGTGTGAACTTGGTACGTTGTATGTTTCGAGTCAAAGTCGCTTATCCGCTCTAACAGTTACACAGTTTGATTGGGCACGTACCTCGTTCACCTTCGTGGAGCTGTTCCCCTCAGGCCCGATGGTGTGTGATGTATTCACCAATATTTCTACTAGCTTGTACACAGAGTAAAGATTCTGCTTCTTTCTTATGACGTATACTAAGCCGCGACATTTGCAGATGTAGAAGCCGACGATATCCTTTATGTGTATTCTCGGCTAACCAAACTTATAGTAGAACCTATCACTCGGGCATTTGCGATGGCTGCTGACTTCATGGTCCTTGCCGTGACCTGTCACTACACGCATGGTCAATACAGGCATCTCATGGAGATTGGCAGGAGGCTCTCACTTCCCATGTTATTCCTACGAGACGGTGAGCATCTTCGAATGCTCAAGGCGTGTAGTTCCTCATCAAAGATTGTGTTAGGATTCGTATATTTCTTGTACGCCGTCTACAAGCACGCATCATCACGCAATGCATATAGACACCTATAACAGCTTGTTTATGCTTCTTTCCGCCGTCAACGTGGTTTTGGTTAATGTGCACGCAGTACGTCTTCCATTGTTCGGTCTGGTCTGGCCATACTAGGTAGATAACCTCCACGAACATGCAGAATGACAATCTCAACGTGGGGCTTGTTTTCATACCTCCGTGCGTGCAGCCATCTGTCGCTATTATGTCCGCTGAAGCCGCGAGAGTCAGTCTGACCAGCATCATCGTATCGCGATTTTTCCTCAACATACAGGAGGCTGGTCAACCGTCACATGTTTATCATGGACCGGAAACAGGAACGGAGGTTTCTTTGGGCGACGCGACAGAGTCACAGGACGCGCATGAGATGACAACGATTGGCTTTGCTGATGGCACGCAGATAGGTGCACGGTCTACCTGCGAGGCATTCAAATGTATAAGCTCACACCTTGCACAGCGGAGATATGGACCCACAACGGCAACAATGCAGAATTCAACGATGACAACTTGGGTACATAATTTCAGAAGACCCACACCTTGAGGCTCGCATCCCCACCCTCCATAACTCGCAATTCTGTAAATGATATATTCATCACGCTTGTGGTGGATTACAGAGAAACAGTAAACAGTGTGTTCGATGGCTTCTAGAGAGAAGCGAGTAGGTGCACCCTCTCGAGCCTCCGGGATAGTATGTACTAGTACGAAGCACCAGAACCTTGTAATATTGATGTAAGTAATATATGCTGCTGCGACGCCGACAGTACGAGATTGACGAAATCACGTCCACGTGACCGCGTCTGCCTCCGATTATCTCCCTCTCGGTCCTTCCGCATCATTTCGCTCTAGCAACAACAGTCTCATCTATTTCTGAGTCGATACGCCCGTCGAACTCCGAGCCATTCGCAATGGAGACGAGGTCATACTTGTCATATTGCCCATGAAAAGGCCTCGACAGTCATATGGTACGTGACTGGCACCGCACAATCCGCTCCGCTAAGTAGGCTTTGTATGTTCACTAGGTCGCCGGATGTCTTTGCACAGAACAGGTTAGTAGTCGAAGCTCAGACAAGATGAGATAATCGAACACTCATATGGGGCTCATTGAGTTTGGGCCGGATTGGTATGAGCGGTCCGGTCGCGCTAGTCGGGATCCACGGTTGGATACAGCGCTCAAGAAGGTTATAGCCCTATCACATCCTCCGATCTGTCAGACCTGTCAGGCTGGCGTTCCTCACTATGTGCCGCCTTTTTGGTGAAGCATCGCTCGCCCCCAGTCGCGTTTACCTACTGCATTCTCCGTCTATGTGCGTTGTATCTCACTCGTGTCTTCTCTTTTCTCATGAGGCATTTTTGTTGGGAATAGCTGTAGCGAGATCTTTCGTCGCGGACGTACGCCGTCCGGATGGGCGGCAGTTCCCCCACACCAAGCCAAGCGCACTTGGAGAGCTGTTCCTTCTTTCCCCATGTATCTCCGATGCATCAGGGCTAGTTGGCTCCAGTCCAATGACCGGAATTCACTTATCAGTGTGCATCCAAAAAGGCAATGCGATGTTCGCAACCAATTTCCGATAACTCACTACAGACGCTGTGGACTGCACGAGTCGAAGATATAAGCAGGCGCAGATTCAGACAGTTCCGTAAGATGCGCGTCCCTCTTCTACAGTTCATCCCTGGCATTGTTCGCTTTGATCATGTCGACAGCCGCTGATAATGGTGTCAATGATACGACTCGCAAGAAGTGAGGCATGTCTCTGCTCACTGGATTTGCTGACCATTGACACTGCAAGCCTAATTCTCAATTATTGCTTCATCGCTCTCTCCGGTAAGACTTCGGACAACCTACATCATGTTCGACTTCGAAATAACTTTCTCGCAGGCCTGGTGCTCTATGAATATATCATCACAATTAGCGACGAAATACAACTATTTTGGGACCGGCGTCCTACCACCTGGTCGTTCTTCCTGTTCACTTCCAACCGACTCATCATGATTGGTCTGGTCGTTACTGGGGCTTTAACGGTGGCACCGGCCGATCGTGTGACGGTATGTGTTTCGGACTCTCTCTGAGCTCACGCTCATAACAATGATTATGATAGAGGTACATTTGGCCTGCAACGTAATATTGCTCTTGCTAAACGCTTTATCGGGCAGCTGCAAGGCTATTTCGTTGCCGTATGGAATACTACAGCTAGCGACCTATACACTATGGGCAGGTCGGTCATCATTATCCGTATCAATGGCATCTACTTAAGCCGAAGTAGTCGTATCGACGCTGCGGGTTTATGCTCTTAGCCGTCATAGTCGTCACAGCTGGTACCTGAGTACGGCTACGTTAGGAACTGGGTTGGTCCCACTGGGAATCAATATCGTGAGTTCTCCGATGATCAAGGGATTGCTCATGGACGCTAACGTCACTGGGACAGTTTGACCTTGTCAAGTTGACCTATTCGGTTCTGCCGGGAACGAATGAGTGCCAAGACATCTACAACTATTCAAACGCGCTTCCTCCAGGGTGCTTGTCTCTACTTCCGATGCTCCTCGTATCTTGCACTGCTTCTTATACTGACGAGTATTCGATTTTAGTGACCATCGCTTCTCGCACCAGCGCCATGGTCTCCGACATCATAGTCATTGTGGTGACTTGGTACTACACTTACAACCGATACCGATACCCGCTCCAACTGCAAGATCAACCATCACTTACATTACTGATGCTCAGAGATGGTGCGTGACCGACGGCTTCCTGGCCATGTATTCATTGAATCCCCACATTCACATCCATCCGTAGGAACCCTGTACTTCATGTAATACACTCTCATTTCCTCATTCTAGCTATCTGAAACAGGATTGAACAGAATTTTCCTTGTGATGAATATCCTGCGAATTGTCTTAGATCATCTTAATGTTGGCACAATCCTCTGACGCACAGTGGAGGCTTGCTGACTACATATGATCTGCAGACTATTCAAGTCCTACAGATCTTCATGATTCCGTGAGTAGACTGTTGGGCGATAAGACAAGGTAGCCCTGACAGTACCGGTTCCCAAGTATCTCGTCTATCCTGATCTCCCGATTCCTCCTCAATATTCGCGCCGTCGTGCACTCTATGCAGGAAGGCTCCTCCACAGACTTGCAGGATTTATCGTTTATTGATGCGTCGACTCGCCTACATCAACAACTAGAGCTTGGTGATGATGAGAGCGTTACGCTTGCAGGTACTTGGCCGACGTGGAATCCTTCAACTTCATCTGACTGTATCATGCAGGAACAATCGAGCTGGATGATGTGGTAGACCGGGACCAGCTCGACTTGAAAAGTGGATCCGTTTTCGGAAAGAGTGATAGCCCAGTGGGAACTGGTGACAATGTATGATTTATCTTCGAAGTTTGCGAAAGATACACCACAAAGTAATTTTCTCGTGCTGTAGTGTTTGTGGACTAATCGGATCTCGTATTCTGGCAACGAGATTATCAAGCTGTCAGTCTTCGCGCAACAACTCACGAAGGTGACAGAAGGCCGATTCAATGGGACGCAGCGGCTTTGCTTTCTATAAGCTGGCCTCTCCATTGACACGATTGACTCCCACGTTAATTGAGGAGCGCGCACTTTTCTTATCTCTGTGCCGGTATGACCGGTGCGCTTTTGACAGGATGTATGGCAGGTGTCTTGAACACGAGTTTGCGTGAGATCAGTGGTCAACTGATCTCGGAAGTTGTCCACAATCTAACGCCAGTATTCGAAGCGCACCGTGACACATATGTTGCTATGGCGTTGCACGCTTGCTCATACTTCACTGCTGGTAGCAAGTTCCACCAGAGCTTGGAGATGGCTAGGGCAAGTCTTGCCAACGTCAGATATCGGATCGCATCCGGGCGATTTCTGACCATCCGATGCGCTCCGAGTTAAGGTTTGCTGCGCCCCATGAAAAGCTGCGCAGGACCGGGTATATTGACCTTCATTGTCATTGGGACAACAATCGTGGAAGTAAAATGTCACTTCGTCTTCTACGCATTCCCCGGCCCCGCACCCAAAGCCACAGCCTACAGCACGACATTTGCATGTGCTTGCCCGGCATTGTCCATGTAGTTTTTCCCGAAGTACCAAGAGTGGAATGAAGCTGCCAAATTGCACGTGTGGGTGTCTCAAGATGCAGACGGTTCGTCCACCTGCGGCCAATCGAACGAACTGTTAAATAGTTGCTAACAGTCTGCGTTAGCCCCCATCCGTGCTCCCAGTGCTGCTATGGCGACTTCCCACTACGACTCCATCGTTGCTTCCGACCAAGAGAGGTCAGATATCGTGTGCTATCATCATGCGAGCGGCCGTAGTCTCACACTTTCGGTTGTCCAGCACTGCGCTCAGATATTGCTACATCTCCATGTCTAGTTGGTGATCGCTCGACTACGACCTGCAATACAAAGCTAAAGGAACAATTTTCTCCAATTGGACAGCTATTCTGCTCTACGAGTACATCATCACTATCTGGCGGGAAGTGACGCTGGTTTGGAATCGCCGTCACGGTTCTGCCTGTTTCATCCTTTTTCAATTAAATCGGCTTGTCATGCTTGGGTTGATAATCACCGGGGCATTGATTGTGGTACCTGCGAGCCAGCTAATGGTGAGTTTTCCTGCTACATGAGTTCCTCGCCCATGGCCTGAACCCTCCTACAGAGGTATTGCGCACAATTCTGGCAACATGATGTATCACATCTGATGTATATCCAGTTGCAAGGCGGTGGTATTTCCTTACAGCATCCTGATACAGGCTACCTATGCTCTTTGGGCTGGTACTTTACTTATCGTTGTTTTGCCGTTGCTTATGCTCACTTTGTGTCATGCAACTTCTAGGTTTGTCAGCAATTCGTGTCTTTGCTCTTAGCAGTCGTCATCTAATTCTCACTGCGGTGACACTCATCACGGGCCTAATTCCTTTTGGAATCAATATAGTGAGTGCAATTGCATATTACGTTGATTTCCTGTGGCTGCACGTTGATGCGTAGTACTTAACCTGCAGTCTCCAGTACCCGATGTCCCCCAATATGGATGTTTGCGAATTTGAATACAACTATTACGTTCCCCCGCAGTGTTCGTCCAATTTGAATGTCCATCTGTAATATGTACCGCTCATTACTTTTGCAACACACAGTTTCCACAGTGGCCAGGGCGAGCTCGATGATTTCAGATGCAATTGTCATCATTGTGACCTGGTACTACACCTACACGCGGCATCGCAATGTGTTTAGACTGGACTGCCAAGCGTCACTGGCTGCGTTGCTCATTCAAGACGGTATGTAATGACGTTCTCTACGCCCTTAATATACCCTTACGACAAATTTGGTGACAGGGACATTATACTTCGTGTATGTTCATTCGCAGACCTCTCGTTGTGTGTCTTGTCTAACATGCATGCAGAATATTCCTGATTATGAACATCGCCAGGATCATTGTGGTTTGCACACATGTGCGTGTCATAACGGTTTTGGCGGTCCTTCTCTGACCTGATTCGTCCATGATATTTCAGATCATCGACATCGTTCCAGAATTCATGGTTACGTGCGTGTGCCAGGCTTTCTGCATGCCGTGGCAAGTATTCTAACACTCGTGTGCGCCTCAAGCCTCTCGACCGTCCTCGTATGTAGATTTTTCTTAGATGTCCGGACCGTTGCTATCTGCATGGCAGATCCAAGCTCCTCTGATCTACGGATCCTGTCCTTTCCCCCCAACGCAAGTCGCGAATGTGGGTCGCCGATTGGCTGTGAGCCTCCATCTCAATCTGGGCCTCAGAGGTCCGTCAGTTTGCGTAAGTGCTGTGCTGCGGTATCCAACCCCTACGTTACTGATGGTGAGGTGGCAGGGTATCTGGGTGGTATGGACGAGGACATGAACTTGGAGCATGGGAATAACGGAGATGCACTCGAGATTGAAGAGGAACTAAGATTTTGCGAGACGCAATCTGATATGTCCAGGTGCGCATGATAACGTCATAGCATGGTTTATGAATGTGACGGACAGGCTGTATGGAGGGAGAGATACATGGACGCCCCTGTGTATCATTGGACATTGGCATTTCACGCGCGAGAATCATGATAACGACACTGGCCATACACTCTAGCGACTCACGACCCTTACAATCACTATTTCATAACATTCTCATTCGTCCCGTCAAAGATGAACAAGGCTCGGGGGCAAGACTCCCACAGGGTCCGTCAGACGATAGGAATCGATCATGCTCGACGAGTGTGTCCCCCACTCTACTGGCCTCAAATCGATATGGCGGTGTTAAGAGGCAGCTAAGGAAGACGCGTGGGTAACTTCTGGGACATGCTCTACTTCACGTGCGCGGACACCAGATTGATCTATCCACCTGCACGCACATCAGGGACACCCCACCCCGACTTACTGGGGGCCATCCATATAACGTTCACATTCATCGAGAGAGTTATGTCAGCCTTAAAGCGTATCGCCCATAAGTATGTGGCTATTATTACCTCCAATAGTGAAGCGGAGTCCACAGAAGCTCCAGCACGCGGGTGTCCAGGATACTCAAACACGTTTGCAATCTGACATTATCGTATGTATGCCCCCTCCTGTGGTTGATGGAGCTTATATTTAAGTAGTATGGAGGAAGCCCGACACCTGCCCTCCTCGCATGAACGATCCTGCGCTCGCTATGCCAACACCGACTCAAGACCAAATCATCGAGACGGCGCGTAAAAAGTAAGACATAGTAGCTGCATACTGTTGCGATTGCGCTGACGCCCAGGCTTATAGTGCCGCCCTCCAATATTGCTATGTGGCAATGTCGGGTTAGCGCCCTGATCTCCCGTAGGCCCCAACGTGACGGCTTGGCCTGATGTTGGTGTTCGTGGTCGCACAGGTCATCTATCCTATGAATATTTCATCACAATCGGGAGCGAAATCAACATGATATGGTGCCATCGACGCACTACGCCGTCCTTCTGCCTGTTCCTGATCAATCGAGTGAACATGCTTGGCCTCATCGTCACTGGGGTGTTCATCACTATGCCTGCGAGTAAACTCACAGTACGTGCCCCTTCTAGTAGTACGGTGCATATCTGATTGCAGGTCCAGAGGTAGGATGAGTGCCATTCTGTCGCTGCGTGGACATATGGCTAAGATATTCACAGCTGCGAGGCAGCTGTCCTGCCCTACAACGTGTTTCACGTAGCTACCTATGCTACGTGGGCCGGTACACTCTCCTTGGCACCTAATTTCGTATCCCATGACTCATGAGCTGAGATCTTCACAGGCCTGTCTACGCTCCGGGTGTTTGCACTGAGCGGTCGGAATGTCCTCCTCACGGGAATTACGCTGATCACAGCTCTATTCACCCTTTCCATTAATATAGTGAGTCTCAGCGCCGTCCTGGATCGTGTGGCTGTTGCCACGGAACACTCAATGTGATGAGCACGTGCAGATATTGAATATAAGACTCACATATCCCTCCTTTCTTGGCCTGGATGCGTGCGACTTTACCTACAACTGGTCTATGCCGACGAAGTGGTCGTGCCGTTCCTGTTTTTTGTTCATCGTGAGCGGTTTGTTGCAGCTTGCTGAGTGCTACCGGCTTCCAGTGTGCACCGCGTCTGGGCTGAGCTCGATGATCTCAGACACCATCGTGGTGGTCATCACATGGTACTACACGTATGCACAGTATCGAAACACACACATGCTCAAGATGCAGGCATCGCTTACCGGGATGCTTCTCAGAGACGGTATGCCCCTTTACACTCGGAGCGGGCTTTTTCGCTTACAACGAGCATGGATACAGGGACGATGTATTTTGTGTATGTGGCTCTGGTGCCATCGTCAGTTTCCCGTTGCCGTCTTATTCTTGCATAGGATATTCCTCGCAATGAACACCCTTAGAATCTCGTTGAACTACCTCCACGTTCGCAGTCTCTGTGTCCTCCAGCGATCTCAGTCCGACTGACCCGCTTCCTCCGACGATCTCCAGATCATCAATATAATCCCGGAGTTCATGATGTCGTAAGCACGATCGAGAATCCGCCGTACGGTGTGGGAGATGACGGACTGGACGGCGGCAGGATATCGACCGTCCTTGTGTCGAGATACTTTCTGGATCTGCGGGAAGTGGCCTATGACTCGACGCTCGCAGATCCGTGGTCTGGGTCTGGACTGTATAGTCTTCCGTTCCTTCGTCCGCCGTTTGGAGGACGTGAACGGTGCGCCCAGCGGGAACCGGCCATGTATGTGGCAGATGCCACCGCGGGTATATGTGAGTGCACGTCTGCGCTCGCACAGTGTCGACCTGACGACTTCCATGTACAGCGGAGGGACACGGAGGGACGAACACGCCCGATGGTGTGCGTGAAGGCACGAACGACGAAATGGTGTAAGCCCACTCCGAGTAATCCGGAACCAGCGTAGGTTGAAGGAGCCGTCTATCAGTCTGCTCTCAGTAGACTGACTCCGAGCCGAGCTTACATTAACTGTCCATTTGTCGCGCGCATACGCTCTTGGGCTCGCTCATTGGTCCCCTCCGGGTATTTACTGGTGTTTGTGGTCTCTCTTGTAGTTCGTTTGAGTCTTCGTCGCCGTACTCTTTACTTCTTACTATCGCGGCGACGAAGGTATCTCTCTCTCGTGTATAGTATCAGTACGACTTCTTAATATTGTAGTAACGAGGGCATACCTTTCGCTAGTTATATGCTATACGTGAATAGCGACGTCGGGTTACAAATGGTACTAAAGACTGACTTTGATATTTGAGATACTCACCGGGAACTTTATTGCGGCAAAAGAAAATCTTTGGGCGTTTTCTCCGGAAGCAAAGGCTATTCTAGATATCCATCCCTGGTTGTCAGAATGAGGCAATGCAGTCAGCGGCTCGGAGGTTCCTGAGGTAGGACACCCAGGTGTCCACAGACATATATGAAATCAGAACGTCGCCTCCCATTCCACGTACTTACTACCGTCCAAGGCTTCCACGCAACGTGATGATACAGCGCACCTGTGCGAGTCAATGCCCAACTGCCACTCGTGGCATTTCAGTTGAAAATGGACCAGAATGTTGAGACGTGAAACCTAGCGCTTACATCGCGCACCTGAGTCCCCGAGTTGGTGCGGTCGCTCTTCCTCTATCTGCTGCACGTCGCGGCCTACCCCTCTGTTGACTAGAGCTCTCAGACGCATGGAATATTTTTGACGATGCTTTATATACGATGTAAAACCTGTATATCAACGCCGTCGGTTGATGTTGCTCACAGAATGCAGATCACTTGACGAGGTGACTCCTTCGCTTCTCTTTAAATTCCTGCCTCGTTGGCAATTCCGGATATCTCTGCGTCTAGATGTGCACCAAAAAGTGGCGTAACCCAAGGTTGAGAAGAAACGCTAGATAAGCGGCAACCTACTCGCCCAAAGGAACAAGCATAAAATCATCCAATTCTGTTAACTATCAGCTGGCCACAATGCTTGACCGTTGTGGCACGAGTGGGCTGCAGGATTATCCTTCCACAACTGAGGACGTAGTACATACCAGCGAGTTGGATCAAATTAGCATGGCATGACGTAGTCTCAGCCGCATTTGGCGCTCTCTGAGGGTTAGCCGCATCGCTGTCAGTCAGCGGTCAGCAACCACAAGCTAGAAGAGCGAGCACATATTATATATACATACAGCGTCCACACTCTGGATAGCCCCTACACTATACTGTGAAACCAGACGGCCAGCTTCAAGTTGGAGTCAGTCTCCGGTTCACCCGCGCCGCCATCAATCGGCATCTGAAGGCGATCTCGCTTGCTGAGCCCTCCGGGAGCACACACCGGCTCAGCGTTCCAGCCAGAGCGACCACACCTCCGGTGCTGATACTAGTACTAGTGCCCCTTGAGGCCGCTGTTCGCGATACCGCATACCCACCTCGCCTGCATCCTCCTATCCCTATCTCGCGCACATGTTCGACCCGCGCTCGCCGACGTCACCGTGCCAAAAATACCGGGCCTGCTGCATCGTGTACGGGCTGCGCTGACGCTCGCACACCCAGCCCGGCACGCACCAGCGCACCAACGCACCAACGCACTGGCGACGGTACCGGTCCTCCCCACCCAGCCACCCAACCGCGACTGCCCCGCACGCAACTTGAACGTCTTCGGAGCAGCTGAGGACGACGGACGCACACTCGAACTCGAAGCGGCACCGTGATCCCACACTCACAGCATCAGCGATACCGTGCCCGCGCGCTCTAGGCTCTAGATCTTACGGTTACTCACACTGCCAGCCCTCGGGCCTCAGTCGTCAGTCCTAGTTAGCCGTGCATTCCGACCGGCCGCACCCTGTCCACTGAGACCGAAAGCGAAACGGGAGCCCTCTCTATCTCCCTGCGCGAGTCTCGAGTCTCGAGTCTCGCCGCGCTCGAAACCCGAGAACCTTAGACTCTGGCTTCCGGATCGCGCACGCGCCCGTGCCCTGGAACTTTCCTGTCTCTCCGTCTCCGTCGATTAAGAACCTTAGCCTCTTACAGGGGCCGACATCGCAAGGACAGAGCAACGTGCACCCGCCGACCGTCGACCGTCGCACGTCGCACAGCGCCGCCGAGCACACTGCACACAGCCCGATCGTTGACTGCCGCCTCCGACATCCGAGCGTCTGCGGTCACCGCGCGGAAGAGTTGGAATTGGAAGCGCGAGAGGTCCTTCGCAGTGCATCGTGCGCACAGAGATTAAGAGGCTGGACCAGACGCACGCGTCCCGTCCCCGTCCAATCGCGCAAAGTTAGGACGAGTGGGACGAGAATAGACGTAGCTCACGGTGAGTACCAGAGTACTGCGGCTGTCTCGACCTTCGACCTCGCGTCGTACGTATCTGCGCTGACCCCAGGCCCGCGTAGGACCATCTGCAGCACCGCGTTCCAAGTGCACTCTTGTTGTACCGCACCGCGTCCCATCAGTGCTGCTGCTGCATCTTCTATACACACGACACCACAAAACCTGCCGCGCCGCCGTGCTTCGTGCTTGCGCGTATCGCGCGGAGACATCCCGCTACACGCCCGTATCCATCACGGCATTCTGCATTCTTGGTGCGCCTCCCTCCGCCCCTGTGCATAGTGCGACCGATCGCCTCCTGACTATACCCCTGTCCCGCTCTCCAGACACATCGCCACCATCGCACCATCGCACCATCGCACTCTACACACACCTCAGGCTCATCGTTTCTCTCCCCGGCCTACTTTATCTGCACCCCTGCATCATACACTGCACCGGGTCGCCGTCGATCCCCACCACCACCACTAATACACCCACACATACCAGACCACCACGGCGACGCTCACGCTCACGCGTCCTCCTCCCGCCTCCGCCTCCGCCTCCGCCGCCACCCGTGATCGCCATCGCCGCGGGACGGACACACACACCGCTCCCCCCACCCCTACCACCGCCCCCAGCACGCGCGCCGACCCCGCCGAGATGCCCCTCCTGAGCCGCAAACATGCGTCCTCGAACGACCGCCCCCCGATCTCGGCGCCCCGCGCGCGCACGCACTCGCAGACGTCGCAGGCCCCGGCGCACCCCGCAAAAACTCCCAGCGCGCACTCCGCAAAAGCCGCCGTCGTGCACCCTGCTGCGAGCGCACACCCGACTACCAGCGCACACCCGACTACCAGCGCACACCCGACTACCAGCGCACGCCCAGCAGCCCGCGCGTACGCCCCGTCCGCAAGCGCACACGCATACTCCACCGCCCCGGCGCCCGCATACTCCGCTGCCCCTGCGCACGCATATTCAGCTGCCCCGGCGCATGCATACTCTGCTCCCACGACGCACGCGGCGGGCGGCGTGCCCCCGGTGTACGCGCGCTTTGCGCGCACGCCGTCGCTGAACGCGGACGCGAAGGGCCGCGAGACGGACGCGGAGCGTGCGAGGCAGCGCGAGCGCGAGGAGGGCCGTGCGAGGGAGAAGGCGCGCGCGGGAGGGCCCGAGCGCGCGGCGACCGCGAACGCGAGTTCGAGCGCAGACGAGAGGAAGAGGGCAGACGAGAGGGACAAGGAGAAAGAGAAAGAGAAGGACAAGGACAAGGACAAGGAGAGGGAGCGGGAGGAGCGGCGCGCGCGGCGGCGCGAGCGCGAGCGCGTGCGGCAGGAGGAGGAGAGCCGGGAGGAGGAGCGCCAGGCGCGGCGGCGCGAGCGGGCGCAGGGTCTGGAGCGGGATGAGACGCGGGCGAGGGAGAAGAAGAGGGAGCGGGAGAGGGATAGGGAGCGAGAACGAGAACGAGAGCGGGAGAGAGAGAAGGAGCGAGAGCGGGAGAAGGAGCGAGAGCGGGAGCGGCGCGCGGAGCCCGTGTCGCAGGCACCATCGCAGCCCGCGCCAGCAGTGCCCCCCGACGCGCACACGCACACGCACACGCAGGGGCAGGGGCAGGCGCCGTCGCGCCCACCGCCGGAGCCGCATGCTCGCCCGGCGCACCCCGCCGAGCCCGCCGCTGCCCTCGACGGCCCGCCCGCGCCCGCGCTCCTGCCCGCGCCGCGCTTCTCGCCGTTCTCGCTTGCCGCGCCGCTCCCGCCCGGCTCGCACAGCGTCGATGTGGGCGCGCCTGCCGAGCCTGCGCCGGTGTACGCGCAGGCGCAGATGCAGGCGCAGGTGCATGTGCAGGCGGACGCGGTGCAGTCGCAGGCGGACGCATCGCAGGCCCTGGCAGACACCCAGTCAGACACATCGCCGTGCCAGACAGACACATCGCCGCGCCAGACAAACACAACGCCGGCCGACGCTGTGCCGCCCGCGAGAGGACAGCGCGGAGCACACACGCGGGAGGCGGCAGCGACGGGGGAAGCCCACGGCGCGCGGCCGCAGGTGCAGGTGCAGGTGGCGGGGCGCCCGCGGCACGCGAGCGGGGGCGGGCCGCCGCTGTCGCCGTCGTCGGGCGCGCGGGAGGGCGGGAGGGGGGAGAGGGAGCGTAGGGGGGAGGGGGAACACGTGCGGCAGAGGGAGAGAGAGCGGGAGAGGGGGAAGGAGAGGGAGCCCGTGCGCGCGGCGCTGCCGACGCCGCCGCCGTCGAGCAGCGGGGCGTCTGTGGGCGGCGGGCATGGGGGGGCGGGGGGCGGTGTGGGTCGGCAGAGGGGGGCGGTGAACGACGCGCATGGGGCGGGATCGGGCCATGGGCGCGAACCGGAGTCAAGCCATGGACGCGGAGCAGCGTCAAGTGATGGGCACGATGCAGCGTCAAGCCATGGACACAATGCAGCGTCGAGCCATGGGCACGGCACGGGGGCGCCAGTGATGAAGGCGGCGAGCGCAGGGCGGGAGAAGCCGCAGCCACCGCTGCCGCCGGCGGAGGACGCGGTGGCGACGCGGACGGCTGTGCGCGATGTGGACGTGGGGGCGTCGTTGAAGACGGCGGCGGGGGGCGTGCTTCCGTCCGTGCAATCGCCGCTGACACCGCGGCAAGACGCGACTGCGGGCGGTATGCACGACGCGTCGGCTAGCGGTATACAGGACGCGTCGGCGAGCGCTGCACAGGACGCGTCGATTAGCGCTACGCCGGACGCGACGGCGACGCGGACGCGTGTGGAGAGCGCGGGCGCGACCGGGAAGCCGCGGCGGAAGTACTCGCTGCTGGCGGCGTTCGGGCTGGTGAAGGGGAGGGACAAGGAGAAGGCGGAAGAGGTGAGTGCATTGTCCCATTCTGCTTGGGCGCCTGCTATGGCCCTGTATTGCTTGGCGGCCCGACGGAGGCATATTGGGCGTCGGCTGTGGCGTGCTTCGCGCGAAGAGTGTCCGCCGCTGTCGGTGTCACCGCTGTCAGGGCTGATGGGGGTGCGCTCGATCGGGGCGGGGCGTGGGGGAGGCGACGGGCGCTCCGTTGATCTGCGAGGGCGTCTGCATGGCAGGAGAGGCGCTGGAGAAGGCGTTGTGCCGGATGCGGATGACGCGTGGTGGGCGTCATCGAGGGCGAGGTTAACGGGCAGGGCCTGGGCTGCCGGGGCCTGTGCACGGGCTGCGTCTCCCAGGACAGGACGAATGCCTGATTGTGTGTCGATTGGCAATGGGCGGTCTCGATTGGCAATGGGCGGTGGACGTGTCTGGCAGGGGGCGCGCGGCGCATGGCAGGGGCGCGCGGTGGCTGGCAGCGGGGGACAGTCCCTGCGACGCGTGCGTTCCTGGGGAAGGCGTGGCGGGGGAGATGGAATGCTGCTCCGCGTGCTGGCGACCAATTGTGCCCGTGCCCGTGCCCGTGCCCGTCGCAATGCCGGCTCCTCTGCGCGCGGGCACCAGGAAGGAAGCCCCGCGCGTGCCCTGCCCTTGCCGGTGCACCCTCCCCTTCTTCCTTCTTATACCCCGCCCGCGCAGCCCTTTGCCTTTCCCTCTCTGCCGTCGTGTCTCTCAGTCACGCCGTCCGTGTCTCCCATCCACGCCGCCGTTCCGTGCCCCGCGTCATGCCCGTCCTCACGCCCGTCTATCCGTCCTTCCAGCCCGACCCCGCCGCCCGCGCCCTCCAGCCCGCGCCCAAACGGGACGCAGACGTCCGCCGTGTCAAGCTCACCAGGCGCCAGACCGCCACCCCCAAGCGCAGTGAGCCCGCCCCCTCGGTGCGTCCCCTCCCGTGTCCTGCCCTCTTCCCTTTCCTTTCTCCTTTTCTCTCCTTGCAAATGTTCCTTGTCTGTGCAAATATGGCTTGCCCGTGCAAATATGGCTTGTCCGTGCAAATATTCCTTGCCCGTGCAAATACTCCTTGTCCGTGACGCCCCCTCCCGCGCGCCCCCTCGTCTCGTCTCGCCAACGTGTCTCGCGTCGCCCGCGCGATCCTGCCGCTCCCCATGGCGATCCTGTCTTCTCCGGGCGCCTACGCGACGCCCCTTGGCCGCGTGCACGCGGGCTTCGTCTCCGTCCATGGCGAACGCTCGCACGCTCGCACGCCGATCACGACACGCACAACGTGCGTGGCGGCGATCCCCCCTACCTCTGCCTCTGCCCCCGCGCCGCGATCGCGATCGCCGCGCACACCCACCCACGTGCCTTGCCCTGCGTCCGTGCTGCTCTCCCGTTCACCGTCCGCCGTCCGCCGTCCAGCACACCTGCGTTGCCCGCCGTCTCCCATCTCTCTCCGCGACCGACGCTCATCCACACCCCTTGCCGCTCTCGGTCTCTCGTCCACGCGCCTTTCCTTGCCCGTTTGCTTTCTTTGGTTTTATTTGCTTTGAACCCGCTTCTCGCCCTCCCGCTAACCTTGCCGATGCTGACCCTGCTGCCCCCCACAGCCCCTCGCCCTCTCCGCCGCCCCGGGCCCGGGCCCGACGCGCTCCGCCTCGCAGACCACACCCCACCAGCCGCCGCCCCAATACCACCAGCCGCCGCTCCAATTCCAGCACCAGCCGCTCCAGCACCAGCACCAGCCGTACCAACTCCAGCATCAACAGCTGCCATACCAATACCAGCATCCGCAGCCGCCGTACCAGCAGCCGCCATACCAGCCGTTCGCATACCCCCAGCAGCAGCTCCGCCAAGAGGCACCCGCGCCTGCATCCCCGACCCACGCTTACCCCCACCCCCACCCCCACCCACAACCACACGCGCACGCATACCCGCCCTCCGCGCACTCGCGCACGGGCTCCGCGCCGGCGCCCGTAGGCTCGTCCCGCGCGGCGTCCTCGCGCACGGGCTCGTCCTACCCCGCATCGTCCGCCTATCCCGCGTCTTCGCGCGCGGGCTCCTCGTACCCCGCGTCGTCCGCCTACCCCGCGTCCTCGGCGGCCTACCCCGCGTCCTCGCGCGCGCCGTCCTCGCAGGCGAGCGTCGTGAGCCCGCGCTCGGTGCACCGCAAGCTGCCCCCTGCGCTCGACGCGGAGAGCCTGCGGCCGGGCGTGCAGCGGGACCAGGACGGAGAGGGCGCGCGACAGCGCGGACAGGGGGAAGAGGATGCGCGACAGCACGAACAGCAGGAGGGAGCGGGGAGCGCGCAACGGCATGGAGAAGAAGCCGCGCGCAGAACGGACACGGACGTGCAGGACGGCCCGCAGCAGGCGCGCGCACAGGGCTCGCCCGTGCCCTCGAGCAGCTCCGGCGTGCACACGCAGCGCGCGCACGCGTCGGCCTTCGTCGCACCTGCACCCGCACCCGCCCCCGCGCCCCCGCGCTCAGATCCACCCGCACTCCAGGATCCAGACACGCTCCAGGATCCAGACACGCGCCCGCACGCGCACGCGCAACATGTGCACGTCCCCGGCGCGGAGCTGCACCCCGACCCGTACGAGGGCGTGTACGCGTCCGCGAGTGAATCCGGACATGGGCACGGGCACGGGCACGGGCATGGCGATGTGCCCCCGCGAGGACCCGTGCGCGGCCGGCCGAGGATCTTTGCCGCGATGGGCGAGGAGTGCGAGCGCGAGACGGGGTTCAAGGAGCGCGAGGCGGGGTTCAAGGAGCGCGAGGCGCGCGCGATGAGTGACGAGGAGCAAGGAGAGGGGGGAGGGGAGGCGGTGCGTGGGCGCCCGCTCGCGGTGGGCCCCGGGCTGGGGGCTGGAGACGGCGCGCAGGGCGGATTTGGCGAGGACGTGCAGGGGGGACAAGGAAGATCTGGTGAGGACGCGCAGGGGACGGTTCGTGAGGACGCGCAAGGGATGTTTGGTGAGAACGCGCAGGGGATGTTCGGCGACGACGCGCAGGGGATGTTTGGCGACGACGCGGGCCGCGGGTATGCGCACACGCACGGCTACCCAACGCCACGCTCGCGTTCGCCGGCGGGACCGGGACCGGGATCGGAAGCAGAAGACGTGCGGGGGCGCGTGGAGGACGCGCAGCGGGAGGAACACGACAGGGCGGCGCAGCGAGAGGAGCAGAGCAGGACGGCGGCGCCGTCGTCGTCGCTGCCGCCCGGGGGGCGCTCGGTGAGCGTGGAGCGCGAGGATGAGCGGGAGCATGAGGGCGGGAGGAGGCTGCGCAAGTTAAATAAGCTCCGGCGCGGGTGGTCGCAGGATCGTCGCGGACGGTCGCGCAGCGCGGACAAGGGCATGGACGTCGACAGCGACAAGGACCAGGGCAAGGACAAGGACAGGGAGAAGGACAAAGATAATAGCAAGGACGAGGGACGCGCGCGCGACGGGCACCGCCTGTTCGGGATCCGCATCGGGGCGTCGTCCTCAGGCTCCAACTCCGGCTCCGGCTCTGGTTCTGGTTCTGGTTCTGCATCTGCGTCCGCATCCGCCTCCGCGTCAGGGTCCGCAGACGGGCACGCGCCGCGAGCGAAGCACGGGCTGGGCATCCTAGGCATCGGGTTCGGCGTGAAGGCGATGACCGAGCGGCAGGTCGAGCGGCTGGGCGTCGCGCGCGGCGCCGAGAGCGGGAGCGAGGGCGAGAGCGACGACGTGCGGGACAGGGACACAGACAGGGACAGGGACAACCATGGGGACAGGGACAGGGGGCGGCGGACGGGGAAGCTGAGGAAGGAGCGCGGGCGGCACGGCCGGGAGCGGGGGGAGTCGGTTCAGCGCGGTGAGCGAGGGGAGTCGGCCCAGCGCAGTGGGAATGAGGCACAGCACGCGCCGAGGGAGGCTCAGGGCGCGCTCGAGGCGGGGCAGACGGTTGGCGGCGATACGGGCGCGGAGCGCGAACGGCGCGTGGACCCCCCGCCGACGCCGGTGACGCCAGAGGAGTACGCGCGTGCACGCACACGGCGCCGGGGCGCACGGCTTCCCGCACGGCCTGCGCTCGAGCAGCAGCAGCAGCAACAACAGCAACAGCAGCGGGAAGAACAGCGCGCGGAGGAGCCGCCGAAGCCAAGTGGGCCGTACCCGCTCGTGCGGCACCTGCTCGCGCCGCCGTTGCTCGCGGGGCTGCTCGTGCACCTGAGTTTCGCGGAGTGGTGCGGGCTCGCGCGCGTGAGCAAGGGCGTGCGCGCGGCTGCGGAGGGCGAGGCGGCGCTGAGGGAGTGCGTGCTGGAGCGCTTTCTGGGCACGGTGGGCTATGTGCGGTGGGTGTGGGGCCCTCTTGACAGCGCGGAGGCAGGTGGGCGCGAGAGGGAACAAGGCGAGAGGGAGCCGCTGACGCTGAGCCTGAAGGTGTGTTTTTGCCCACATTCTTGCGCTCCTGGTACTTCTGGCTGTGGTTGTGGTCGCATCTATGCTGACGCGCGTTCCCACCTCAGGACCTCGGCAATTACATGCGCTGCGTATCGATACCGTCACACCAGTTCGAGGCGTACGCGGCCGCGTACCTCCGCGCACGAGGGGACCCTAAACAAATCGAGACGAAGGACGCGCTTGCGGCTGCGTGCCGTGCGTACACGCGCGTCGTGCTCCGTCTGCGCGCGCAGGCCGAGGCCGAGGCGCGCTACGCCCCGCCGCCGCCCCCTCAGCCTGCCTTCATGGAGCGCAGCACGAGCCAGGGCCGCCCCGGCGCGTCGCGGAGCCCGTCGGTGACGCACTACCGGCAGAAGTCACGCGGCTCGAGTCGCGCGCCGTCGCCGTCGTCCTCGTTCTCGCATTCGTACGCGCCGGCGTTTGGGCCGCGCGCGCGGAGCACGCAGACGCACGAGAGCAGCGGGGGCGGACGCGCGGACTTTCAGTCGCCGCTGGTCCGCCTCAGGCGCGCTCCCCTGCTGCAAGTGTTCGTGCCGTCGCCCGAGGGCGCGTGGCTGTCCGATGCGAACGTGCTGGCGTGTGAGGGCGAGCTGCAGGCGGCCGGTGTGATGCGTCTGATGCGCGCAGGAGACGTCGTGTGGGACATCGCGGTGGGCGACGAGGCGAACGTGGGGCGCATGGTCTGGGACGGGTCGTATCTGATTGTATGTCTTTCGCGCTTGATTCATTCGATATGTTCGCGAACTGACGGTTGCGGTGGCTGACAGGACTTGGACTACACATGGTCCCCGATCGGCGACGTGCCGCACTACCTGCCGACGCTGGCGTTCCCGCCGTCGTACTTCCACCGCGTAATTCGTACGGCAGGGGCGGGGAATCCGGTCTGCCATATCGACATCTCGTCGTGGGGCGAGGAGATCGCGAAAAACCTGAATATGGTGCAGGACAGGGCACGCACCGAGACGTAGGTCGCCCGCTTCGTGCGAGTGTGCTGGGTACTCACTAGGGCTTTTTGTTGGCATGCAGGCCGCAAGGTAGCCACCATACGGTCGTGCGGTGGATGAGTCGATCCAAGTTCACGATCCGCCCGCCCGCGCCGGGCAAGCCGATTCGCATCCAGGTCCCGCCGAGCGTCGGTCCTGGGCCTGGACCCGGTGGCGCGTGGGTCGTGGACCCGAGCTGGTATGGCACCGTCGTCGTCGAGACAGAGAGCACAAACGAAAGCATTGCGGATCTCCAGGCGCGCTGTGGCAACGCGTTCCCGCCGAGGGCGACAGGCTCGAATGCGCGAGGGAAGAGCGAGAACAAGAAAGTGGAGGACAGGCAGGTGTTCAGGATCTTGAGGGACAGAAGGTGAGCCGCAGTTCATTGCATACGTGGGTTCTTATGGTGTGCTGACAATGTTTGCGTGTCAGCCGTCCGGGCGAAATTTGGATTCGGACTGTCACTGACAAGGAGAGGCTGTTGCCCCGTTGAAGGTGCTTTGGTTCCTGCGTGAGAGGGATGCGGACGAGGTGTAATGAACATCGAGCAAAAGGTTCAATGTCATGGACTGCGCAAAAGTATATGCTGCTATTCTCTTCTTCGCTATATTGTATGTCCATAGATGTAGCCTTACCTGTAATATTTTGCTTCCTACACTTGTTTTTCAAATCTCTGTCATACTGTATCGAATGCCGTTGAATGTCTATCCTGCTTGGCAATTGACGATCATTGGGAGGATAGGACATCTTCCAAACAAGCGAGATCGGATGCAAGATCTCATATTGTTCGGCGAGGACTTTACAGCTAGAGGCGCCTAAGACTCGAAAACTATCCTACGCTCTGCCTATCTATGCCCGTTATCCATCCTCAATCCCTAGTAGACCACCTGCAGCTTCTTGGATGTGGTCAACTGTTTTGGGAATTATACTATAGTCTGTAGGATACACGAACCTCGCCCAGTGTTTCGTGGCGAGCCACGGATGATATAGCACAAGTCATACTTTGCGTTTGCGTCATAGTGAGTAATATGGATTCGTAAACAATGCTCTGTAAATTAAAGGCTAATCCCTCTTTGTGCGCAGCGTCGCCTATGTCGATTAGGAACAGCGAGAGCGATGATACACTACCGGAAGGTTTCATTAACATTACCAATGGACGAGCATGAAGTTGCCATTCCACGTACTCACGATACAGAGTAAGCCACCAGTTCAATCGACATATGTATAAACAAAGGTAATTGTGTTTTGAAGCCCGGCGAAGTTGCTCCCTATTTGTTGATTTATATCCTGATGAACCGCCGCCGAGTCGACCTCCCATCTTGTTTCGGGGAATACTAATTCTCCTAAGTTCTTCATGTCTTGTACTCCAGCACATATACTGTTCAATAGAACATATGCCTCAATAGGTCCAAGACCCGGTACCAACCACAAGCGAGAGTCACTATGTCCCATGTACGATACCGGTAGAAGACCAGTGTTGTCAAGTAAGCAAACCGAAGCACATTATCATCATCGTAGCTCATCTCTGTGCGTGCGGGCTTCAAGAGAGGTAAGGAAATTGTCGCGGGGTAACGAATAAGACCCCTTGTATCATACAAAAGTCTCCGCGGGCGAGGTACGGCTGCTGGCATAAACATTCGCATTGTTGCCACCTTTCGTGATTGTCGTGCCTTCATTGAGTTGGCCTATGTAAAATAGGTCAGGTATACACTGGGATACGCTAGCCCATTGAAATGGTGGGGTCTACCTGTCTCATGAGCTCCTACCGTAGGTCCGGCGAACTCGATGCTACTCATTGTAAGAATGCTTTGTAGCTCGAAGCTTTCTGTCGTTGCGAATAATCGATTCCGTTGAGCGGATTCGCTAATGTCCAAGAGAAAGCGGGATAGTAATACGGAGCACAAGCTACAAAAATGGCATTAGCAGGAGTAGTCTGAGATAAATGACGATGTATCCTCACGGAACACTCATAGGCATGAGGACGTCTGTCCAGCGCGACTGTATAGCGTTTAATGATGACTTGCGAGTCTAAGAGTCTAAGAGCTGACGAAGAACTCACGCATAGGTAGTACATCATGATGTCCACGATGTTCAGCACAGCGAGTGATCTGCACAGCACGGTGAATCGGGATTCAGAATAGGCATGGAGAACTCACAAGAAGTACCAAACGCCTGGGTTATGACACTGTGAGTAAAGACTGGAGACGATGACAGGAGAAAATGTGTTCATACCATGTACCATCACGACTTCTTTGAGCATATAGGGCCTACTTACAAAGGTAGTTCGTATTCCAGGATCGTCCCCATGCTTGAGTACTCTCCATAATGTTACAACGATAACAATGGAATCGCTTGCAATGACACAGAGACGTGCAGAGATCATTATCGCTGGGGCTATTATCAGAACTCGTGGACCGGGTGAGCTACCCATAGCATCAACAGTACCTCTGAGGCCATTTGTTAGTCATCCGAGAATGCACTGCGTGATCCACATACTGTTCAATGGTTCCCGTCCATTTAATAAGCGCTATATCGAAGATGCACTGCGTCTCTGTTGCGTATATTACAGACGCAGCTAGAATGATCTGTGTAGATGTTATGACGAGGACAGTGTTCATGATCGGACAGTGCCGGAAACATACAATGTCTTGGAAGCAGGGTACCAACGCTAAAACAAGGACCGTGATGCACAAGTACCACCTCTGTCCGCAGAGTGCGTAAGCTCTGAGAGTCCCAGAAACTTCGTGAAGGTTGATCAGTATAATGAACTGAGAGGTCAGAAGTTCACGTACAAGCGAGGATGGCGTATAGACTTATGAATGCGACAGTTTGGCTGGTGACAACTCCTTTGCAGCTATGCAAAATATCCCTCTGAGATATGCGAACGTAATTTATCAAGGCAGCCTACCTCTACATAGTACTCCTTGGTCCATATTAACCAAAAAACAGAGGTATTCATGACTACGCACATATGGCCCGTACAAATAATTCGTGGCAATCGCAAAAGCCAAAAGGACTTGACTTGAGCGATTGAGGTAAAATATGCAAATCGACTTCGGTCTTGGACGCTGTCTCCAAAGGATTTGCAATTCCTGCGCAGATGTCAGCACAGCATCGTAAAGGGGGAGTACTGCGGAAGAATTATTGAGTCATGGTGTTCGTATTCACGAGTGACCCTTCACACCGGTCATGAATGCAACATTGTAGTAGGAGAGGTCGACCCTGCGAGTAAGTCTCGTTATCAGGACATAAAGAACATTCGGGGTATTGCATACCCTTCCCGCACGTCTTGCAGCCACGAGGAGATGTCAGTACCGTTCACTCCCGACATCGGGACGAAGAAGGGTGGTAATATGAAGGAGCCTTACTACACGAATCCGCGATAGCAAGCTCTCTAGTAGCACTTATATCCTGCTTGCGTAATTGTATAATATTCTGCACATAATCTTATCAGTCTCTAGTTCCACGGGTCATAAAACAGCTTCCCGTTGCGAGATGAAACTATCATTGCAAACTACCAGCGTCTTGTGGTGATACATTGCGTTCCGGGAATCTGATGCCCGCATCACACTTGGCATCGGGGGCAACATAATGCAGGAATACTCTACAGTAAACCGCCCGGGCTTGCCATCGGACATACTGCTGCATGCTGAAGACACTGCCTGCAATCCACTGAAACAGTATGCCCTTCCCATGTCCTATCATGAGCGGCGATAAGGGTCGAACAGCGTCTGCTAGTTCTGGGATGTGGGTTGTGTCCACAAGAGGGGGCCGCGTGGACAGGGCCGCGTGGACGGATGCCCCCGCAATGGATGCCTGTACCTGGTAATACTTGAGAAACATTCATACACGAAAATCTGTATATTGGAAATCGGATTTCCTCTACCCCAAATGTTCGTAGTAAACCTTGAGGGAGACTATGCGGGAGCTCTGGGGCGAGCCTCTAGTAGCTCTAGGCGAAGGATTCTGATCGAGTGACGCGACCCTATAGTTCCGAAGGTATGCTTGCGGACGAAATCATGGTAATTAGTACACCATACTTGCCTTTATGTTTGATGGTGCCCGGTGCATTGGCAACCTTTCGGATTCAATGCAGAAGTTTTGTTCGGTAGTTATTCGTTGACCGTTCAGACCTCGCCCACTTTGGGCATCAAATTAAGGGTCCCTGAAACATTCATGAGTGGTTTGACTCCAGTAGATATATCACGAAGAAGCGGACCAACTTTGAGCACTAGTTGCGATTATGGTCAATGTGCAGTGGATGGTCTTGTTAACGGTCACGAGCCGTGGCACAGTGGTGAGCTACATTCCAAAGGAAAATAAGGGCTCATCAAAAAGATGTTCATAGCACAGTTGATCGGTGTATGAAAGCTCGAGGAACGCTGGCGCGTGGAACAAGGTGGAACAGTGCGCTAAAGCCGCTATCGAGATACGCAAGGCGTGTACGTAAACTCAGTGCCGAATTTGGCATATCGGTCAACACTATGGCGCGTTGAGGTCGCTATTTCTACCTTGTGCTATATGGTTATTTATAGAGACAGATCACGGAGCCAACGGATGAATTCCCGTCTCCTGATGTTGATATCCTCATGCGATCTTTCACAAATCTGCCAACAACCAAGTTGATCAGCAGCCGTACTGCACGGGGGACAATGTCGTATGGTCCCAGCTCCTGTGCACGTGGATTGTCTATGTGTTACAATACATAAAACGCTGAGAATTAGGTTGTATGAGATTGGCAGATGACTTCAATTCCTTGTTTGCCGAGGTGTCAAGTCGAGATCAATCTCGACTAGTTCCGAGTACGGGGGTGCTACTAGACGATGTCCCTCGGTACGTATCTGTTAAGCATACACAGCCGAGTATTGTATCATAGAAATACATGCTAGGGTGTACTTTGTATAGAAGAAGTAATTCATTGTACAATATCGTGTATGGCCACTGCTATTCCATCTCGATGGATCTGTCTGTTGTCACGCACTGTTGATAGGAGGGGTCACATCAGACTGTGTCTGTGCGCGATAGTGTCTAAGCTTCTGTTGCCACTAGAGTATCGATGTTCCTGACTTGCGGGCTTGTGAGGACGTCGGCCTCGCTAGATGACCTGATGCAACCTGTAGGTAGTAATGAATGAGCATCGGATGTATCATTCGGTGCGGATATCCGGCATTGAGAAGATTTACCTGTGTCATATGCATCCAGCATTGAATCCGAGGGGACAAAGAACTTCATGCTCTGCACTGTGTCTACCTCTGTCGCCTGCGAGAAGGTGTGTAGTTCGCTGCCATCGATGCCGTGTTGGTCTTCTCTCTTAACCGACGCCCCTAAGTCGAGCAGGAAGCGCGAAACAAGAATCGATGAAATCCTTTCAATATACTGTCAGCATAATGGTTAGGATGCGAGAGCGTCCATCGCGTACGGGAGTGTGAAGGACACCAAGGGCCCAACCCATACTGGCTACAAGTGAGATTGAGTCGTGATAAACGGAGATGAAGCACTGAGAGCTGACATCGGAGTAGTATAGAATGATCTCGAGGACATTGAGGAGAGTGAGAGACCTGTACACCCATGTGAGCTCAAGAGCAGAGGAATCGAATCGGTGTTTGACGCACACAAAGTACCCTATGCCTGAGGTGCGATACTCAGAATGGAGACTCAAACACTATTAGCCAGTTGAGGGTCAACGTACCGTGTTTTAACACGACTTTCTGGAGCAATGATTCTCCGTTTCTCTTCCCGAACAAAGTGCCTGTGTGTCGGATGCTAAGAATAGTTGAGGTTATGACTATGATTTCGCTTGCAATCGCACAGAGACGTGCAGTGATCATCAAGGCTGCAGCGCAGGAAACTTATTAGGCCGCGCATGTGCAAGGTTGTCAGAGGAAAGGTGAGATTACCTCTAGAGAATATCGTCAAACATGGGAGTATTTGATATGAACTATACATACCGGCCGACCAATGGTGTCCATAGTAGGTCCATTGTACACTGTTTGGTATTGTACGGGGGGGATACAGTCTGATAAATCTTGGATCTGCCTAACGCAACCTAGGTTTAGACCACAATGATCAAAACCCCCGATATTCAGAATGAATGCAAAGTCATACCGCATCTTGAAACCATGGAAGCAAAGCCAAGACGAAGGTGACCGTGCAAAGATACCAGCTATTACCACTGAGGGCATAGACTCGTGAAGCCCCGACCACTAATTGCTAATCAGACAATAGTCCAAAGCATCATGAGGAGCTTACCAGCTAGAGTTGCATATAAAATCATTCCAGAGACTCCTCTTCCGACGAAAGTGAAAGTGCACCTATATCAAGTATCACAGTCTCTCAGGGTGTGCCACAACCGAAAGAAAAACATATATACCCCTATAAATGTATCAGCTCAAACAATTCCGGTTGATTAGGTGAAACTACCGCACCGATTGTGTATTGTTGAATTCACCTTGGATGTACACCGCGATCAAGAATATGATCCCGAGACGGTTGAGATAGAACAGCAACATTGGCTTCAATCGTGACGACCCACTCCAGAAGACCTGCACTTCCTGCGCCAGTGTAAGGATCAAGTCATACGCGGGAAGTGCTACTCCAGCTATTTCAGCCGACATACCTCAGGAATAAAACACATTATAAGGACTCACCGATCATGAATGCCATGTCGACATAGCTTATAATAGCACTGTAGGAATAAAATATCAATTGCGAGTTTGTTTCAATCCATATAAAACTGTACCCCTGTTGGAGGGCTTGGATCGGCAGGCTGGGTGCAGGAACAGTCATATCTGATATCCACAATTGCTTGACTCGATAGCCGACTGGTGAATAAGCAGGCTAGGATCTTGTGCCGTGCCTACTCTTAATATATGTATCAAGTCATCTCCTTTCGCACGCAATACCATGTGGTAGTCAATTCCATCATCGGTCGTCCAGTGTCTCAATGGATGCGCAGCGTGCATAACCTTATCCACACTTCCCTGACATAGAGCATAGCGGGAATCAATTCCCAGCAGTGTGGAAATATCATGTTGCATAGCCCTTGTGGCTATGATCGCAAGGAAATCGAAACAACACGGCAGGATACAAGTCAACCTTGGTCGCACTACTCTTGCCAATGCAAAACAATCATGCAAAGCCACAGCTCTGTGTGTTAGCCCTACATAAAATGATACATCATGACTAGTACGAGTCCCAGAGTGAATCTAAAGGGCGTGTGTTAGTACCATATGTCGTATAGTTTCCGAGCGAAGGTGGTATCTATACCATCGATCATGAAGATTGATTAAAGAAAGAAGTCGGAGAAGCATTGGCACGAAGACACATATCATGAAACAGAGCGCCGTAAATCTGCAGACAGTTAGGGATACTCGGATGGTCACCGACTGGCCTATCGGACCTGTCGCCGCAGACAATGAAGACCATCTGCCTTAGCAGCATGCTTGCAGTCCACCGCGAGCCCCGGTGGATGGTGCAGGAGTCAAGGTCACAGGTGTGACGTTCCATAGTTCAAAAGCACTAACACGCGTTCTCAGTCGTACACCACTTTGGGTTGTCTGTGGTAGCATTAACCTGAATGAAAGGAATCGAGCGATGGTCTGCACCAGATCCTGCAGTGCAGATGTCCCGTATGCCACGTCATGTCCACAAAGCGGATGCGTATGATTGAAAGATCGGTGAGACATACTCCGCCTGTGCTCGACTTCGATGGGGGCAAGGTTCGCGGAGGAGAATATTGCGGGGATGAGGCCAGGGATAAGACTATTTACGATCAGTGTAGCCTCCACATAGGTGCGGCCTGCAAAAAAGACGGCGAATGACGACGATGATCAGGATTAACTGATGAAGATGTAATATTTAATGGTGACTGGCCCAAGTTTAGGACCAAATAGAACAAAACAAACCGAGGGGAGAATTATAATCACACGAGTTACACACCAGCGTTTACCGCCGCTGGGTTTGGACTCGATGATGATGACGATTTCTTCCGGATGAAGCCTTCACTTCAATGTGATTATGATGGATCGGTCATTATTGCACTTTTAGAACAAGGGTGTTATCGATACTCAGGATCAGTCTGGGAGGGCGGTATAGCAAGCCGAGCCATAAGAGTCAAGACAAGAGATATTTGAAAGTTACAATCGAATGATGATTTACGGCGAGGAATTGACTGAATGTATGTTAACGTCGACGAAGTCTCCAGTGCTGCAATAAATATTGTGCATCTCGAGACAGTTTTGGGCATTATGTTCACTGCATCCTATTCGCGTTATTGAAGATATTAGATTATTGAAGTGAAAATGGTGCGTGGATAGCAGACCTTCTTCGTAATCTTCTAATGCCATATTATCAGAAGGACTAACGAAACACATGCTCTGGGTTTGCGACAGGGTATTGTCCGACACTGTCTGAATGCTAGAATCCCCAGAGCGCAATTGGACGCGTCTCTTTTGAGTAGATTGTCCTACGTCGAGCAGGAATCGCGAGACCAAAATTGACGCGATACTTTTACGCGAATGTCAGCAGATAGTGGGCGAACTGATGGATACGAACATACGGCAGCGTCAACGATAACATGCTGTCATGGCTAACCTGGTTTTAAGGTTATGGAAATTACAATAACCTGTAGGACGGGTCACGACTTACATATGTTTCGACCAATACGATATCTGTCACGTATAACAGGGTAATAGATCTGCAGAACCAGGCCGGCTAATGAGAAGAGGCGCGACGTAATGCGATGAGAGGCGCACAAGAAGTACCAGAGGCCTGCCGCAAGTTGATTGCAATATCAGTGCCAATAGAACGAATGAGAAGAAAAAAGCGCACCGTGTCTGAAAATAACATTCGAGAGCATGTTCCTGTTGAGATTATAGTGCTCCCCGTTCCCGTAGGTTTTCAAGATAGTCGCCACTACCACCATCAACTCACTTGTGATGACACAGAGACGCCCGGTGATCAGAATGACTATAGTTTGAATCCCTGTTAGCTTGAGAACATGATTCACGCCGACAAACCATGATAGTACCTCTGGTAAAATTGAAGGAAGTAATCAGTACTAATACTAGAACTCTGAACTGATAGATATACCGATCTATTCGTTTTGACCAGTGCACTAAATCCACAATACACGACTCGATGTCTGGAGGGAACAGAGTGTACCAAATGACAGAGCGACCGAGATACACCTATGGAATCTACTTGTTAGCCTGTCGTTGATATAAAGGCAGTTATGTTCAGGCACGTACCGCATCTTCACAGGATGGGAATAATGCTAACAAAAATGTTAAAGCACAGAGATACCATCTATGTCCTCCAAGTGCATAGACGCGGAAAGCTGCCACCGCTTTCTCAATCGCGTGAGTTCGATTGGGAGTCGGGGCGAGCATCAGGGACGTACCCGCCAGGACCACATATTGCAGGATCTCGGCAATTGTTTGGATGAAGGTAGAGATCTTACAACTTGGCGGGCGTTACTACATTTCACGAGACTCATTCACGGTGAGCACGTACTCCTCCTATTCGTACAGATACGATTAGAAACGATGATGAGAGTTGCAGCTTAAGCACATACTGTACTTGTAAACAACCACTGATTCGCTAGATTCGTTGCGGCCAAAAATATCAAAGCGAAGCGGTTGAGGTAGAACAGGTACATGGATTTCGGTCGTGGATTTCGCGTCCAAAAGACATTGATTTCTTGTCCAAATGTGATTAAGCAATCATAGAGAGGGAGTGCTGGCAAAACGATGTTACATAACTACTTCTGAGCAACGTAGGGAGACTCACCAGTCATAGACGTCAAGTAGTAGTAGCTGAGATTGATCCTTCATACACAAACGAGCGGTCACGTCATATGACGGTTCATCGTCGACTGGTGCTGGCACCTACCCCTCCTGTAGCTCCAGGGCAATCGTACCATCTATGTAGGTGGTATTTTTCCCTGACATACTTGAGGGCGTAGCTCCGTACGGGAATTAGATATGCAGAGTGTTCGAGATGAGAAGGTTAATGGGGCACTGAGTACTGTAGTGAGCTCGTTCTTATATAAACAATGACCCGAACATGTCCTATATGGCGTAATGGGTGACCTTGCTTTCGCTTTTGGCAATTGAGACACAACGGCAGCCTTGAGATAAGACACCCAGAGCATCAGATCTTGACCAGAAAACAAGATCGCGTAAGCGAGGTGATCTTCGAACATGTCGACAGTAATAAACGTCTTACTGTTGAGCGAGGATTGGTCTTCAATATGACCCTTCCTGGTGAGCCCCTGTTAGTGCGCGTAGAGCATACGAGTCATACAAGTCACGCAGAGCCTCTCTGCGTTACGATACGTCTCGAGCACATTAGTGCGTGAGAAGGTGCGACGATCGAAGAGGACGACCGTTATCCCTGTAAAGATATTGATGTGGGACGTCAGTCCTTGTGGTTGTGGTACGGAATCACATATCCTGACCACCTTCCTGTAGACGTGATCAGCAAAACCTGAGTGCAGCGTGATGGTATTATCGGGCCAACCTGTAATGATGTAAGTGTGCCAGTAGACGACAGTGTAGGCCCATTCGCACTTACCACAGCTATTAGCGGAGTGGCAACTGAATTGCTAGGTGTCACTCGAGGGAGGTGGCACACATTGGACAAGAGTGTAGAGACGTGGTTCCTGACACAGCCGTTGATGAGGTAGGAAATCAATCGCCGTGTCCACGATCAGTCGATCGCCTTGACATGTATCCATCTTTCGGTCTCGGGACACAGGGACGAATCTACGTGCATCTATGCAGATGGAAGCACGGTATCGGACGCTCTCGGGAGCGTTTAATACAAACTATCTCCAATTGGCAGCAGATACCGACTCCCGAAGGTCAATATACGGCCAGCTCTCATGTCTGTGTATTTCGCCGTCGCGCCCTTCGCTCCATTATTGACTGGGGCTAACCGGGGAAATATGTTTAATCATACTATAGAAAAGCGTTCACTTAGCTTGAAAGAATACAATGGCGAGACACGGGCGTAAGTCGTGAAATACTGTGCATTCTGCATTTCCTAATTCGATATTCTGTGAACCTGAGTCAGACCGTGTGGGGCCAGATTACAAAGCTCATCGCCGAAACCAACGTACCGGATGCTACCCGCACGGAAATGAACGTGTTCCATTCCAAGGAACTCGGAAAAGATGATGAACAGCAGAGCCCTGTTCAAGATAAGCCACCACATGCCGATTTTCTCGCCCGGCCAAACGTTTCCCAACGATCCATTGCAACACAACAGCACGCCAGCACGATAAGAGGTGCTGACACGATCCCAGGATTCATGTTTCCATGCATGAACGTGCGGATAAAGTAGGGAAGGCGAGCTATCAGCATGGTCAGGCTGCAGATGCCGGGCGCTCGACTAGCAAGTGCATGCTCTTGTGGATTGTCTGAGTCATGGTGTACACAGCAATACTAATTGCTACAGCACACGATCGTCCTCTGTAACACGCGTCCCAGCCGCTCACAGAAAGAAACACAGAAATATTGGCTTCAGGCAGCCACTCGTAGAACGTTGAGAGCTCAGAGAACGTATGCAGGTACGTGAGCGTCCTGCCCCACACTGGACGGGCGCTGGGGGGGATGACGTGCGTCTGTGAGATAACAGGCGTCAACACGTGCACTGCTGTCCACTCGTCCCACTCAGACTGAGAGCGGAGCGTCGTTCACGTACCACCCAATAAACATATGCTTTCACGTTTTCCAGGCGCAAGGATCACGCAGGTCGGAAATGGACCACAGGTGGTCATCGATGATCCGTCCAATGGGGACGGGCATTGGACGTGGTACATAAGCGCAGTCTAGATATCATATCTGCTCACTTTGCCGCGGTACTGTATTCTGTCACTCGACGTTCAAAAAAAGTGCCTCTGTGTTGAGACACCTGCATTGTTGATTCGACAGCAGCTCAGCCAATGAATATGGTTGAAGTAATATCGCACTCTCGTTCAGAACGCTGAGAGCAAATCACTTTAATGCCGTTTCCAGTATTTCAACGTCTGGCGCACTGAAAAGACTTGCATGAACAATTATGATATGCAGACAACTATGCGGATCACTTCAACCTGCTACAGATGTCAGTGTGTGATCATACGATGTGCAGCGCTGTCGAGTACCTCTTCACACAACTGCATCAAGTAAGACTCATGAGAGCATTCCCGTGAGCCTCCTTGATACTACCGGCGATCTTTCTTATCGGAGTATTGGTCGAAGTACTAACTTGATAGAGTCCCTCGCACTCATAAGGATGAAATCCTGCAAGGTCACTAGTCAGAACACTGTGTCAGTCTAGATAGCTTAAAATATTTGTGTACCGGATACACTGAGATCCATTACAGACTCGGAGGAAATGGCAAACTGTATGCTTTCGCCTTCCGTGAGAATGTGAGGCTCATTTAGGCTGTCGTGGCAGTCAACGCTGTCTTCTTGCTGCGCGGCCTCGCCTATGTCGAGCAGGAATCGCGATACTAGGACAGAAGAAATGCTACGACGGGCTCCATTAGCCTGCAAAAGACAATGGTAGCTTGCGCCGCGTACGCACGGTAGTGCAAAGGATACCATGGGTCCAACCCATCGCGGCTGAAATAGTGTTGAGCATGATATACTATTTTATACGCTTTGACTGGTTGAGTTTTACTTACGTACAAGTGATTCAGAACAATCTCCAGTATATTCAATATGGAGAGAGATCTGGGCTACATCGTCGGTTCGAGACTTATTAATTTGATGAAGAACGTACAGAAAGTACCAAACACCTGAAGGGTTGCAATGTCCGGTGGGTGAATCAAGGTGAACGGTTCGGAGGAAGGAATACAACCCTACCATGTGCTAAAACCACGGACGGAAGCCCCGATATTACCCTTGAGGTTTCAAACACTCCATTATGATTGTATGACTTGTGAGTCCTCCAGATTATTACAGCAATGACGATGGTATTGCCAGCAATCGCAGAGATTCGTGCGGCGATCATTAGGGCTAGGGTACATCACTCCGTCAGATTGGACAGACCTACCCACCACGGGATCACGACAACTGTACCTCTTATAATAATGATCAGAATTCGAGCACACATTCGGGAGATTCAATGCTATGTACGTACCTTCCTATAGATGGCGTCCACAGCAAGTCTTCGGCGCACTCCTTCGTAACTCGTGTCACAGACAAGCCAGCCTATGGCCAAAGTTGTGTCAGATCACTCGCCTATCGCAAAGAACATATGAACAGATACAATGACTTCACAGCACTGGAGCACAGCGAGAACGAAGGCTGAAGCACTTATCAATATCCTCTTATTAGGTGGGCTGAGAGCATATACACGTGAAGCTTCAACCGCTGATATAGTGTGTTAGAGCAGAGGGAACTACTGGATAAACCTTTAGCTTCAGATGCGACTTACAGGCTCGTATTACATAGAGATATATCGCAGCAACGGTCCTGAGATCAAACCCATCTCGACAACTGCGCGCAAAGATATGCAATAAGTCGCCAAATAGAGAAACTATGGCATACCTCTGTGGCCTAGTCAGAGATTGTATGTTTGATTGATCGGTGACGTACCAAGTGCGGTGCTATATGTTCGATGATATACGTAACACCCAAAAGCATAATACCGAAGCGATTCATGTAAAATAGCAGAATAGACTTCGGCCGAGCAGTCTAACACCAGAGGACTTGCACTTCTTGCGAGAATGTTATGGCAGAGTCGTATAGGGGAAGAGCTGTTCATGTAAATTATAGCTTCAATATCGTATCAGATGGAACGTTATGTTGCATCACAACGTACCTGCCATGAAGGCAATGTAATAATGCAATATAGCTACCCTGGACGGGAATGCAATATAATCACTCCGCGAAACCATCAAAGTGGTAACAACTTACTTCTGGCGTAGGGATCCTGCTGAAAAATGAGGCGTCGGAGCATGTGGTCTTTCTAAGTCCATAGTAAATCGACCGGGCAGTCGTGAACTGAGAGGTCGAAAGCTTCCTGATTCGTGTCGTTGCAAGATTCGTCTGAACGGGTTTCTTTTGTATTCCGTAAACCCTAACATTCCGCGGCGGCACGGGGTGGTCTGTGGTGCAGTACCCAGAAGGCTTTGCGCATCTCGAAGCGCACCACAATCTTCATTGTAACGGTGGTCTCAAGTATCACGCTGTGCATCCATAGGCATGAAACCCTGTACCACACTGCGCGCTCTTTCTTTCTCCCGTTCATGAGCAATGGAACATAGCGAAGAGGAATTGCGCAGCTAGATATCAGAGAATCCACGGAGCGGATCCACAGCGATAGTTATCTGATAGATGTCGAAGTACAATATATCAGATAGTGACCACAGCGCGGTCAGATACAACTTACGACTGAGAAAGATTGAGTGCCTGCGTCGACGCGAGGCCATTCCTATTCGATGTGTTGATCTAAGTTGTGCCAGCGACATACGTTCTATGAAATAGAGAGGTAGATGAGCCATGCGAGGCCACAGTGCTGGACAGGCATCATGAACGCGGCTCAAGCTACCCGCAGACCACACTGAACCACCTACTGACGCTCGTAGGGAAAATGTGGCATGCAAACATTGGCCTTCTTGACCGGCACGTTGTGGTTGAATACAACGAGCTCTCTATCAACCAGTACGCCTACACAAGAAAGTTGAACATACTGTTGAAGATCTTGAAAATGGCACTAGATCAATGCAGCTTGGTCACAAAGCCCTCTGCGCAAGGACTACAGCCATCGGCCACTCAATCTCAATTTCCTCGTCCACCCCCTCCATATCACCGTCATCCGCTCTCCCCGTCTTCCCTAGCGCGCGCTTGTCCTCTGCAACCTGTGCGCGCAACTGCTCCCAGAAGCGCACCGCGATGTCTCCGCGCGGGTCCACCTTGTCCTCTGGGAACTGCTCGTGAAACGCATGCAGCGCCGAGAACGTGCGCAGATATGAGAGCACCCCGCCCCACGTCGTGCGCTTGCGCAGTAGTACTGGGCGCGGATTCGGGAGGTGTGGATAGTGTGCGCCTGCAGTACAGTAAGCATGAGCAACGACGCACCATCGTGCGCAGACTAGGCGCTAGGAGTAAATCTCAATGGACACGCACCGACAAAGTAAATACGCTCGCAGGTCTCCCAGGTTCCTGTTTCACAAACGTCGCGCGGGTCGGGGATGGGCTGCAGGTGATCGTCGACGATCGTGCGCCCAGGGCGTTCCCAGTGCGGCCCGAGACTCGTACGTGGGTCAGAACCCTGTGCGTACGCGTGAATGAGTGGTGTGCAGGACGGATGATTTGCTAGGCGGAACTCTGAGTAGCCCTACGGATAGTGAGGAGGTTAGAATCAATGCAAGACGTGATGACGAAAGAGAGGACACACCCAAATAGCGAGACTCCCACCGGGGCGCACAATGCGGGCCACCTCAGGCCAGAGGCGCGTCCAGTCAAACCAATGCGCGGCTTGGGCTATGTATACGTCAGGCTCCGGCTAACACGTAACACCGATGCGGTACATACCTGCGACAACCATGTCGACACTGCCGTCTTCCAGCCATCCGAGCTCCTCCGCTTTGCTCTGCACGAAGCTAACGCGGTCCTTCATTGCGTGCACAATCGCGACATCCACATCGGGCGGAAGAGCCGCGTTAGAGGCTCCAGGGTCGGCGAGGAGGGCGGAGGCCTGTGCGATCATGCGAGGGGAAGGATCCGCGCCGATGATACGTTTGTAGGGTGTGAGCGCAAATGTCGCCTGACCTGTGTATGCGCGGAATCAGATTCTGCATACAGCAGGTTCAAACAGTGAATATCCATACGTACCTGTACCACAGCCGAGATCCAGCGCAGTGTCCCATCGTGCGCGCGGCGAGCGGCCATGGAAGTCGAAGAGGAAGTTGTAGAGTTGCAGAGGGTATGTCGGACGCGCTGAACGCGTATGTCAGTGTCGTTAGCTAATTGAATGCGAGGATCTGGTGCACACCTGCTGCATACCGCGCCGCGTCAAACGTTGTCTTCGCGAATGTCGCCATCTCGCCGTAAATCAAGGAAGTCTGCAATTTCGGCCTGTTTCTATCGACGCTTTTATATGTCTCCTTCAACGAGTTGAAAACATGGACAAACCAGCAGACTCATGACGGGAGCGAAAGCCATGACACACGAAACAGCGGACAACGAGAACGATCGGCCGATGATGCGCGAGGATGAGCGTCAACAGGGCGCGTGAAGATCTCAGATCCGAGTCGGACTGACTGTGCCGCACAGGGCGGCGCTGTTGCAATGTCGCTAGCAAGAGGACTAATTCATGACAAGAATTGCCGACAGAATTCAGTTGACATGCGTGAGCTCGTTGTTTCAGGGGTTCATAGTGATACGGCATTATTGTACGGTGAGTCTGCTCGGAGTCCTGTCGATTGACTTTAAACAAGTCGTTACATCTACAGATCGAGCGTGATCTGGTAGTATTGACCCGCACTCGATGCCCTGAGCCTAGCATTCATCTTGGCTAAGCTCGAGTCCTTGACCTCTAATGGCGGGTATGCAGAGCGGTGATGCGTACGCGTCGAGTCTCCTCGAGCAACTCGTCCAGAAACTGGGCCCTCTGGCACCCGCTTGCGTCCAGCGCTGGATGTGCCTCCGTTTACGCATGTAAGTATCTCAGAGCACACCTGCGCAAAGCTAGGATGGTAACCTCCTCTCTCGGAAATGAGTCACGCCATCGTGATATTGCCCTGCAATATAGTCAGCAATGTGCCTGTATATTGTGTGGGAGTAGAGCTAGGTAGAGCTGCGGCTCAGAATACACGGGTATCTAAGCGCGTCCGAAGACAAAGTAGACTATCTCACGGCGCCTCGCACCGCTTCCATTTCGCTCGCCGAGTGTTCATCAAGCATCTGTCATTAAGCGCGTCTAAGTCCTCACCCTGTTACATACTTTGCAGAACGGATGCTCACCCAGCGCGATGACAGAGCTGGCAAGCTACACTCAGAAGCCCTCGCGTGTGGTCCGAATTACTGCGAAAACAGACAGGAGTGGCATGCTTTCTGGATATCGTTCGTAACTGCCTTGACTACACATGAGGCTGAGAAGGTAACACCCTCCTAGCAAAGTCGGTGTACCAAAACCCATTCGCCGGTCGGCATCTCTTCCGGTATCAGATGGCACGTCATGTTTGGTCACGGTCCTGGAATCTGGTAGTGATTCAATTCATTTGGTGTTTACAGATTGACGAGATAGATTTATCCCAGGTGAAGACATCATACCCGGTGGAAACTCCGCAATTCAGTGAGGGATCGGAACTGATCAACGAAGTTCCCCAACTAGTAACACTGTTGAGCAGTACACGGAAATTTGTTTTCACTTTCTGCATTAGTGAGTATAGCGAAATTTGATAATACATCGAGTAATGCTTTGACAGCAGGACGATAATGTGAAGTAGAACACCAAGCTTGCAGCTTGAAAAGCGGCTGAGGAAACCGACAACGGGGATGGTAGGGGTACAGATAATCTTGTTCCATTCGCGAATTGCGACGTCACAGACCATGCTGCCTGAATGTACTACGAAGGTGTCTGATCATGGGTTCTAACCCCGGTGCCAGACACCCCGGTACAGCCTGTATACAGGAATCCCTGATATTTTGTCAAATATATCATAAGCGGCCATGAACACCGGCGTGCTGTATTACTTATACCCTCGACCGCTACGAAACACAGAGACAGTCCTCTCCTGAACAGCCTACGTAACTCGAACTCGTCATTTTCTGTCCAAACGTCAAGACTACTTCGTACCACATGTCTAATCCCGAGTCAGTGATCATTTCAAACATTCAACAATCGTGAGTCAGAGTGGTGTTCAGTGTTTGCCGTCTTCCATCAATGGCGAACTAAATCAGGACTTCAGCCAGTCATACAGCTACTACTACATCTCACTTACCGGTGAGTAGTCCCCCACATAGATGCCAGTAGTATTTACTCATTCTGTGCACGCATATAGCCCTTCTCGTGTATGATTATGTGCTGACCATTCGCAGAGAAATCCAATTCATTTGGGGTAACGAACTAAGGCTCTGGTCGATCATTCTATTCTATCTCAACCGACTGGTGATGCTCCTCTTGGCTGCGTCCAGTTTGACGTCTGTAGTTCCGTGGACAACACAAGAGGTACACTCCAGCCTCTTCGATATCACAGGCGTCGACTGCTGACTCACTGTACCATCAGAGGTACGATTGAATGACATTCCAGTGACACGGTTCCTGAGACTTTCCTAATGACTCCGTAGCTGTAAAGGATCAGAGCTGGCATATCTGGCCGCTGGACTGATGACATATGTTATCTTGTCAGGTATGTCATGTCGCTCTGTGTAATATGTTTCTCAAATCAGGTTTAATTGTCTCCGCACTCCGCGTCCATGCTCTCAGTCATCAAAATTGGTACTTGTCGGTACTAACATTGGTTCTGGGAATGGAGTCGTTTGTTGTCCACTTGGTAAAGCACTAATCAAACATTAACAAACCTATGTGAACTTGATATCTTTGCAGTACTTCAGTGCCCATGGGGTGATCTATCTCCCACCAGTCACCATTGCGAAAACGATATCTGGATGCCAGCTCATTGAGCCATTCACTCAATCCACAGTTGTCAAGTATGCAAGATTATAAACTCTACTTCCGACTGCTAATGACAATACTACTGTTTCTGCTTCACAGAGGTACGCAATAGTCCTGCAGGTCCAACTACTTCTCGCTCATGATGTCCAACTAGTCGTGATCCCAACTCGTCTCTGTGTATTGATGTGCAATGCCATTGTCGTGATAGTGACATACCGCGGAACATACAACGGTGCAAACCGTGCAATCAGCCTGGAAAGGAAGCCTTTGCTTGCTGAGCTATTACTCCGGGATGGTCAGTACCCTCCAAATGTGTATCGAAAAATAACTCAATGCCATTCTGGCAGGGATTATGTATTTTCTGTAAGATCATTTTAGTTCACTTTGGCTAATATATTGACACTCTTCAGACTTCTTGGCATCATGAACATCATGGATATGTTTGTATATAGCATGACCGTAGGAATTTTCATGCTTCCGTCGTGTCCCGCACAAATATCTCATATATCTGGGTGATACAGGGCAATGGCGCTGTTATGGATTTGGCCTTACCGTAAGCATGTTATACCTGTTGCCATCTATTATACCAATATGCATACTTCCCTTAGGCTGTCGACTATGTTGATCTCCCGGCTTCTGTTCAACATCCATGAAGCTGCACACTCCATCTGGCGCTTAGACTCGCAAGGCAAATTGCACGCTACATCACTTGCTTGTTGCAGATCGCCATCTTCCGCTCGTGTGCCATCCCTGGCGGCATCATACTCAATTCGAGACAGTGCAATATCCGAGCTCTGTGCGCTGGGATCTAGTAGGTCACCGGGTGAATACCTTTGATATCGTGTTGGATGCAGTGGACGATGTACCTGTGCGGCTGTTGTGAGATTTTTGAGACGCGAAGACCAGTGTCTGCATCTGCTGGTCTGATTCCAGCACGTCAGCGGACGTACATGAATGGGAGGATCGACGCGTACAGAATGCGCCGCTTGAGGGCGAAGAGGAAATTCGCATGGAGGCGAGGTAATACTCCGAACAGCAGGAGGATATGCGTATGCGGTGTGGAGTAGACTCACGGTTTTCTTGTGTCGTCTTTTCTGCAAATTCGCCATAGCTGTACGCTGCACATATCTAGTTTGACGAACAGGATGATCACAGAACCATCACGAATAGACAGGCCGGGCGATCACTCTCGCAGGAGGAAGATAATGTGAATCAGTGTCATTGCTCGGTAGACATCATACAAGGATCAGCTGTCCTATGTGGTGGCGTGGTCACGCTCCGGAATCGCTAGATCTCGCAGGTGTGAATGTGATGCGCCATTTGAGCACATCAAGGTGTGATTTTCAGTGCAGCGCACGGACAGCCAGGGAATTGACAAAGTTGATTGAAGACTGTTTAGTATGTATGAGGCCCCCTCCCATCAAAGTATCTATACATACTCGGAACGGTTCATAGAGATATTATGACGGACTCGCGATGCACATTCAAGATGCCTTACTCAATTGGTGTGACGAATTTCAAGGCACGGCGCCGAACTTGCCCCGGTCGGGTAATCAAGTATCATGCAACGCCGCCCCGAGAAGGCTAACCAAGTCAAGGAATCCCCTCATCTCCATCACGTCAAGCACGTCTCGCTTGCATCCGCAGACGGTCGATCTTCCGCCACATAGAGTAGCCCTCCTTCCGCATCGGGAAAGTGGATGCGAGGTCATGTGTACGATGAGCAGGTGCTCCTGCTCCCCAGACGCGCACGGGCATGTGGCGTCGGTCTTCTGGTGGGAGGTTAACTGCTTCGGGTAGCTATAAGAGGCGGCCGTTGGAGGGGCGCGGATCCTATTGAGCAGGCAGCGAATCAGGAGAGGAGCGGCGCGCATCACATGGACGAGGACGCGGACGCTTGTCTTGACCGCCGTTTCTTTCGCATACGCGCCTCTGCGTCAGCGAGGTCACGCTGGGGCTAGTGCATATAAGCCACCCACCGCCAGCTCCGCTCGCTGACCGCCCCCCTCCACGGTCTCGTACAACCTTCACCCACGTACACCTGGAGCCCTTGCCAACGATGTCCGCAACGCTCGCGCACGCCCGTCTCGTATCCCTCGTGCTCTCCTTCGCCTTCGGCATCGTGGGGATGGCCACTGGCATCAACGCGCTCGCCAAGTCCAACTCCTCCAAGTCCGCCGTGCGACGCGCCGCTAGCGGCCTGGGTGCGACCGTTAACATCGACACGCACGACGTCTTCTCCTCTGGAGTGGTCATTACCGTCGTCTGCGGCCTCATCGCGCTCACGTCATTCTTCACTCTCGTGCATGCGCTTCTCGCCCGCTTCCGCTGGCGTGTGAGTGCCGCGAGCTCCAGCGCCGACATTGGCCGCCACCTGCGCACCGTGCCGCTAACGGGCGCGCACGTCCTCACCTTCCTGACCCTTTGGCTGTTCGCCACGCTCGTGCCCTTCACGGACTTCGTCGCTAACCGCCAGGCCAAAGTGACCGCGTACATCGGCGGTGTCCAGCTTCCCCCGAACCTTGTCCAGGGCACCGAAGCAGAGCTCGGCGTAACCCCGGTATACCATAAACTCGGCTACTGTGAGTCTTCGGTTGTTGTTATTGGGGACTTCGCCTGCGCTGCGAGCATGCGGGCACGTACTATGCAGGGAAATTTGGGAAGACAGAAGCGCGACCGCTGGGCCGTCCTTCAAACTGTTCCCATGCAAAGCAAGCAACGCATGTTTCCATAAGTACAAGAACTTTATGCGTACCTTCGCATGGAGCTGTCCGAAGTTCCCTGCGCGCATATATGCGGTTAGCCTGATTCGTAGCGCCCCAACATGATATCACGCCACGGTCCGAGGTATCGCGTGATGACTGGTGGCTTCAGCCTCCTCGCGTTGCGCGCCCTCAGCAGACTAACTGTCATAGGCTGAGCGCACGTATGCATCTCCAGTCAGCAAAATCCCTTCCCATCTGCCATGCGGACGTTGTAAATACGAGTGATCACTGACCGTGTCTTTTTCGTAGTGCGCGCCGGCACCGTCCTGCCGTGGATCGCGTTCCTCTTTGCTGCGACGTCTGCCGCCCTGTCATACGCGTATGCGCGTTCCGCAGCGTCGTTGATCGCTGGTACGAACGGATATGCCGCACAACCGGAGGTGCAAGAGAAGGAGAAAGTGCCGGAGCAGGCAGAGGCACAGCAGGTGTGAGGTGACGCGAGGCGTCTTGCGAGCACGGCGACTATCTAGTGGATGGTCATGCAGAGCGGCTAGTGAGTGGGTATATGGGGTATTACGAATCTGCACGAAACGATGCCGGTGGAATGCATTTCGCGCACCACTGCGGGATGGTCTCAGTAATGCTGAAGTTGACTCCTGTCAGCCGGATACGAATGTTTGGAATGTATGCCGTGATTTACGGCTGTATATCCTTTGTAATGAATTTTGGAAGTCGCTTGTGCATCATGTTGGGTCGCCTCGTCTTCTGATCACTGCAAATGGTAAGTATGGTTGTCCGCAGGTCTTGTGTAGGCGCTGGTTGGCCGGAGCCGGCAGATGCCGAGCTTGACCTAGCTTGACTGGCTCTGATTGGCTATGTCGGCACCGAACGACGAACGGTGAGCATGAAATTGAGTATATCTTATTCGACTGGTCGACGCTCGCAGAATGTATGTGTCTCGGAGATTTCATGCTATGTCCGTGGCGTACATATGATCTCTAGGATATCCGCAGCAATAGCGGCCTCGTCGACCGGCTCGAGGGTTCGTCTTCTTTTGATGCAGCCTGTGCGCAGTCCTCTCAGGCTCACCGGCCTCAATCAGTACTTCTGCTCTTCTTTAAATTTGCTGGGGACCACCCGGTGGCCGTGGATCTAAGCAAGACTACCGCGCAACATGAACCAGTGCAAGAATCTCGAGCGTATCTCGAGTGTAACTTGCAAGCGCCTGTCACAATCAACGGTGTCTTGCCCATGATGTTAAGTCGTCCGAAAGCAGCTGCTTGCCGTGTCATGTCTGCGGCTAGATACATGTCGCTCTATCCTACCGCGACCTCCGGCGGGCTGGGATAGCTTACCAGTATTCGTTTGAGCTTCTTGCGGTCCTACCTGCTCCACAATCACGCGCACCACATTTCACGGTCAGCCAGTCGGCATGGCCTCCGCTCCGAGAACATCTCCATTACATCCGCACGATAGTGGTCTGGTTGTTATACGAATCCGTGCTACAGCCATGCGGTAACCTCCTCAGCTTGCGAGCTGCGAGGCAATACTGTTTGCAAATTCTAGAGGCGCGTTCTATCAAATTGTGGCTTGGCTTCCGAATTTCTATCAAGTGTGGTCCATAGTAATAAAGGGAGCCGACTAAGACAAATCCTTACATTCCTTCTCCTCTTCTCCTCGTTCCCTCTTTCTACTACCTCGACCACGAGACGTTGACAAATCTACACGGGCCATGGCCGATTCCGCTTATGCGGGATTTCTTCCTTACGTGACGATGGCGTAGTTAGTGAACTACCTTATACTGAAGCTCCATGCTAAACCCCGCACAGTCTGGTCAGAAAGCAATACATCATCTCACTTAGTGGTAAGTAAATTTCTTCGCACATCTAGGTGACAACACACTAATTGCCTGTGGTCCGTGCCAACAGCCCTCCCTTTGCACGAATACGTCCTTACAATCAGCCAAGAAGTCGAACACATATGGGGTAACGAGTGTGGGCGCGCCTCAAGAGCGTTGTTCAGCCTCAATCGCTTCGTGATGCTTCTCATGGCTGTCGGCAATGTTTTACAGGTAGTACCATTCGCCACGCATAAGGTGAGCTATTTTCAACGTTGGTGTCCCTATTCACTGACATTTGCAAAGAGGTATGGCTGAATTATCTGCGCTTCGTGCGGTGCATGATTTATCCTGACACTCTAGCTGCGAAATCGGTCAATTCGTGCTTACCGTGTCTCAGCTGATGCTATTTGTGGTGCTCGCAGGTCGGTCGATCATAGCTATTCTCTGCAGGATACGTTCACACGGAGGACAGTTGTTTCAGCCCTTCGTGTACATGCTCTGAGTGTGCACAACTGGTATTTATCGCTGCCTACCCTACTTCTTGGGCTGGTTCCGTTCATCACTAATACAGTCAGTGACGACATTGAGTTTCTGCATACATCCTGAACGGATTGACAGTGCAACGTGATCGGGGTATATTATCTTGCACGACCTATCCCCACATTGGTCATCCCCTATTGCATGGCCCTTGTTCCGAATCATTTGGTACTAGGGAATTCCAATAACGGTATCGTTATATTCTCCCGCACCAGCATTGACCTGACTCGTGTTTACTATCTAGCAACGATTATTACACGTATATGTGTGATATTGAGCGAGCTTATAGTTGTCGCTGTCACACTTCGTAGCACATATAGACATGCTAGTCGGTCTTTCAGACTCGACAGGAAACCTTCGCTCGTCGCGTTACTACTCCGAGACGGTACGTCTGAGCGTTACTCGGCGTGCTAGCTTGCTCATGATCTCTTCCACAGGTGTGATGTACTTTTTGTGAGGAGACCTAGTCCCTCGAACCATAATCCAAAAAGGTCTCATATGATCCTCTAGGCTGCTGTTTGTTCTGAATCTGAGCGACATTTTTGTCCTAACTGTTGCGGTAGGGATCTTCTACCCAGGTTATGCATAGTTCTCATCTACGCTGACGGGACAGGACAACGGTGCTTTGATTCAGTTTATATTGCCGTGCGTGTACCGCTTACAGGCCACTCGACATTTCTGACTGCCTTTACAGAATGTCGTCCATCCTGGTTTCCCGATTCCTACTCAATATTCACGAAGCCATGCACTCTTCCCCGTATGGCGAATCGGATAGGACGGTGACCGTCATGTCTGCAGACATATTGCAATCAGACACACAGACACCAGCTCTCATCTTCGCCAGTCAAAGCTGCAGCGAAGGTACGACCCACGTTGTAATATAGTGTGAAAGCACCACTCCTGATTACCGGCGCTCTACAGGCGGAATCATTGAGGATGATGGAATTTTGATGGAGAACGGACACATCCAAGAAGTCGTAGACGATGAAGCAGAAATCATAGACATTGAACCGGCCGATAGAAGGATTAGGACATTATGAAAGGGCTCTGCGTTCAACCACATGGCGTATGCTCAATGCTTTCAATTACTCAATTACTAAGTAGATGTTAGTACAGTGGTCTCGGGTATATTTGTAACACTAGTTATACCTCGCTTGCTACTTCGGGGCATCGTATCTCAGGAGAGAACTACCTCGGTGCTTCGTACTAAGATAGTGATAAATTGCGCATGCTTGTTAGGCCTTTGTGCAATTGCACACCAACAGCCGCAGCGACACATGTGACGGTGCAAATTGCAACACTGGCTATGAAGACAATATGTCACAAATGATAATTGGAATTTTCAAAGTCTCGAGGGGCCGTAAGAGTCTACGAGTTGTAGGTACGGCACTGGCACCTCCAGATAGCAAGACATCGACTCACTACCGGTAATAGATACTGTGATCAGCGATCGTCGGTCAATCGGTCCCATCCATCTGCGATGCCATTCACAGTGCAAGTCCAGGCCCGCACGACGGTACTAGAGGATCGACGCGTGAAGCGCCATGGTAAACAAGTCGCAAGCAGAACTTTACATCTAGACAACTCTCTGTCGATATTACACATATGTTTCATCCCTTAAGTTGGGGCATTCTATCTGAAGTTCGACCCCTCCTGAAAGACCATCGTCTTTCTCTAGTATAATGGCTAGACTGGATGTTGTAAGACTGTTCAATCATCAAGGGGAGAGAACGTACATAGATCCTCGTTGCCTCGCCCAATTACCAAACTGGCTTCCTGCACGGAGTACTTGGGGCTGGGATCAAGAGAGGACGCAGTTCCAGAAGCGCACAAGGAAATTTTACACTGAGATGCCTCCCTGAGATCTAGCATAAATCTTGAAACGAGGATAGACGACATGCTATTGCTACATCAATGTCATGCTTACGAAGACTTGACGGTGACGCACGATAGTGTGAAATATATAATTATGCAGTTAGCCTGGAAGATCATGCTGTCAGTAGCGGCAGGTGGTCGATGTAACTATGATACCCACTGTAACGGCAATCACGACGATATCGATGACATTTAGCAGAGTGAGCATTCTACGCATTCTAGGTCAGGGCATGAGCGGCTTAAAGCCAGGTTTTACGTACAGGAAGTACATAATCTCTGTGCCACGAATCCAGCACAGTGAGCATATACATAGTATGAGCCAAGTTTTCTAGGCTTACCATATCTAAATAATATGCTCGTCAGGAGAGGCCCCGAGCGCAGCCTTCGAGTTTGTGTGCCAATATTGTGGGTCTTCCAAGCGACTATGAGGACAGCTACACATTCGGCGGTCACGACGCATACACGTCCTGCGAGGGTTACGACTGGGCGGTATGCGCGATTAGCTACTTGTCTTACCGGCCAAAGTATAACAATGATTACAGTACCTGTAAAATAAGTATATGAGTCGATGCTCGTGTTCATGTATCATGCGTACTCAACCCATTATGATTCCCTCGGTATCGCCTTCATACTGATCCTGGCAATGTCTGTGTATGAAGATGTCAAACTTGAGGGGTGAAGTATTAACATTAGGCGTACTATCGACAGCATGATCAGTACAGTGCTGAAACAGCCCAGATCTGAACCACATTACCATGTTGGTACAAAACGGTACCAGAGCCAACAAGAGCACAACTATGCCTAGGCACCATTTGCTCCGTTTGCCGTTGCTTAGTGCGTAGACCCGTTGTGCTGTGGTCACTATTAATGTCGACTTAGTCGCCGCCCATAGCAGAATTACAGATGAACAATGTTCTACCTGCTAGAATTCCATACAGTATTAATGCAGACACGAGAACACCGATGTTTGAAGCTTCGTCGCTGACGAAGGGAGACGATGAGTACACTCCCCTATAATGATGTTGCAGATGGTCGTACCCCTTGACTGACAGTCAGTAAACATGTTTCCTCGTGGCTGCATACAAGGGAAAAAAAGCTTACAGCCTTCGCGTGCCACTTCAGAGTCCCCAACAAATTCATGACAGCCATGTTCAGCATGGCGAATCGATTGAGATAGAAGACGATAGTAGACTTGGGTCGAAATCCATTACTCCACATGATTTCGACTTCTCGCGCGAATGACGTTATGCATTCGTAGATGGGAAGGGCTATTTGTTCGCAGTAGAAGATGTTATAATCAGCCGCAGTCCGATCCACGTGTACTGACCCGTCACAAATGCCATCAAGCAGTAGTCCACTATGATTCTGTGAATAGAACAATGTGTGAGGGGAACGGGCATGAATGAATAGAAACCACTGACATCCGCCGCGGGTCTTGCAGGGATGCTCCAATGGTCTTGTGCAACATCACGAAGACTTCGCCTGAATGACTGCGAGTGGAGGTTCGGCGCAAATGAACGCGGCGGTGTACTTATATGAAGTCCTTGATGACCGAAATCAGCACTTTCACTGCCACATTGAGAAGATGATTATCTATAACCAGCGAAATGGCTTCAGCGAACAGAGGGGGTGGATGAAACTCACTCAGAAATGGTCATCCTCCCTGGATGTGATTGGACAGTCGATACGTCAACGTTCTACACACAAGCACAACGACAACACCGTAACCACCCACGACAGTTCTGGCGCGTGCAGACCACATTCTGCGTCAAATTCACACACTACTCACAAAGAACGAGGCACTATCAATGCTCTAGTTAGCCATTGTCAATTGTGTAGCACAGCATTGCGGGCGACACGCTCTCCGCCTCTGTCGCCACGACGTCCAGGCCGTTACCGAGAGTATCCAAGTGCACTGCCACGAAGGATACACGTGTAAAACTGTCCTCGGACGTCAGGTTCAAGAGCCTTCAAAATGGAGGTGATAAGCCACCCGTGGAACAATATCATTGGTAATTCGGTGGTCACTGTCTCTCGATGGCACCGCATAACCGCCGATTGCGCCATAGTCTTGTGTGAGCCATCGCTGGTCTAACATGCATCAGAATACGGCGCTCACAGATAGGAGATAGCCCGCACCATATGTGTTATGAACTCAAATGAAAGGCGGTCAGCAATAACTCGGTCGTCCGACTAGATTTAGTGGTAGAATGTTGAAGTCGGCACGGGCGAGCAGCGGTGAAGTACGCTGGTGAACCTCAAGAGTTTCATCACAAAGCTAATCGGCTGAAAGTATTCCGCCAATCCGACAGACACAAATGAGAGCTGTGGAGTGCGCACAATGGGGCTATGCGTCCTCTCACACAGAAGTCTAACATCATGCATCAAGTCAAGACCGTCCAAGATCGCTCCAGTTGTGCAAGAATCGGATTGCGCTATTTTATTACAAGATTTAGTAAAGCTCAATTAGAGTACTCTGTCATTGTGACGCCCTTGACAGCTCTTCGTCGCGCGAAGTATCATCACCATCTATCCTTCTCGCTAAGGCAAGGCTTACCAGGCGTACCGGATTCAGGGGATCGCCGTCTTGTCTATCTATCGCCGTGAAATTTTCGTCGCTAATACCGATGCTACCATGCAGCCAGCCCGATGCGTGAAACCGCTCGGTAATATCCCTCTTGCGTTCCCTGGTAAAAGATAAAGGAGCATCAGTAGGTGAACTCTAATGTTCAGAGCCACACCTACTTTCGTTGAGCTAGATCCCTTGGTAGTTCAGAGCCACACCGTTCGAGGATCATGCAAGCAACCATGACGTCCCCGAAAACCCCAGTGATGTAGTCTAGAAGCCACGGTATCACCCTTCCTTGCAAGCGCTTCAGCCGAGCGTAATTATCGCGCTCCGCCTGGAGCTTCAGTATGTCCTGCGTTTGTGTTGGTATATCTTTCCACGCCGCGACCCACTTGACTGCGATATAGCCCTCCAGAGTATGCCATCCCTGCTTCTTGTGGTGCCACCCGATATAAACGCGCTTTCTTCCCTTGTGGCCGTAGAGCGGATGACGGCAAGGGTCGACTTGATCGATTACATCGGTCATGTAGATGTCCGTCGGTATCATATTGGGATGATGTGTTGACGTGAAATTGTAGTTCATTCCGTCACCAAACCTGATTGTGATAGTTCCCCGCGGGCGGTGATCTTCGTCTCCGACGACGGCGTGCTTTGAAGTCAGTACCATGTTGACTTGATCGTCGTACTGTAGGTGAAGCTGAAATCGAGGTAGGAATATGTAGTACGGAAGATAGAGGGTGGAGGACGGTACTTTTATAGGGATATCTCACGCACTTGAACAGCCACGATGTGGCGTTCGTCTTCGGCGCAGGTGACACGGATATTAAGCGTGGCTGTTGGCCAAAGCGTACCAAAGGCACTTAAAATGAACTCGCCTTGTTCCCCGGCACAATGGCGCCGGCCTGCCACTGCACTTTTCTGCTTCTATTGTCAGATGCGCCTTGTAGTCGTGCAAGCGATGATCAAATCGGACCAGATGCCGCCTTGTAATGATCTCTGCGATATAGTGTTTGTGAATAATTATGAACGGTCCGTCTCGTGTGGCACGCGCGTTGAACATTGCGCGCACGTGTGCGGCTGCCGACTGGGCGGTGGGCTTTAGTTAGCGCTTGTGATTGGCCAGAGTGGCAGCCAAATTTCAATGGCTGCTCAAGTACAATACCATTGGACGAGCGGGCGGAAGCTGGTAAAGCACCGAGCACGTACCAGAATTGACGAGCGACGTCTTTGAGTGGAGTGACTGGCACAGTAAGTTGTACCTCCACGAGCATTGTTGAGGCACAACATGTCATCTGAAATGCTGAATGCAGAGGGATCGTGTTGCAGTGATATTCAAATACAATTGCGAGGTCTTCTTCATCCGCCTTAGCAGCAATAACTACACGTCGCAGCCATTACCCGCAGTCGCCAAGGCTAATATCCAACACCGATGAGGTAGTCGGCGAGGTTCTCGACGATAGGCGTTGACTCAGGCGCCTGGAGAGGAGCGACGTACTCCGTCACCAAGACAGCCTGCTTGGTCTTCACGAGCACACACCCATCCGCCTGAGAGTCATGCGATCAGCATATCGAACGCGGAATAGAACCTCTATCTGATCGGGAGAACACACCTGCTTCTTGCCATATATGCTACGGTCATTTGCCTGAAGTACGAAGAACTTCTGACCAGCAAGGCGAACGCCTGAGGCCTGGGCCTGAGCAGGGTTGGCAAAGGCAGCGACGATATCCTTCTGCTCTTGTGCTGAGAGCTGTGCACGACGCAATGGATGATTGGCGATTAAGCCATACTACCACCAGACATCACCTGCAAGAACGTACAGTGTATCCCGCAGACGATGCCCATACACCTCCAGCTAGACCGATGATAGCAGCCTTGGATACCTTGCCGCTTCCAACGAGGTTGTTGTCAACGTACGCTGTTCAGCGCGCCAGCGTGGACCGCCGGGATTGAGTGCGATTTCATTAGATGGTTGAAGGGTAATATTCACCTTGCCAAGACATCGTTAATCAAGAGATACAAGTCAGAAATGATCGGGAAACGGGAAACGAGTAGAGAAGGGAGACGAGGACGTAGATGGTGGTCGGGTGGTAAGGGCAGCAGAGCAGTTGGCTTGACGCAGTCGCCGCCGGAGATCGCCATGAGATAGTGAGGGGGTTAGTGACCATCCTGAGTCGCTCCCGCAACATATCTCACAGCTGCTATCTGCGCAAGGATACCTCGCTGGAAACATACTCGCGGTAATGTCGGAGCTTTGGTTGTTCGACTTCGCAGTGGAGTCGATGGGGCGCCGTTGTCAATGACGAAATATCGCTTGTCGCCGAAGTATGGAATGCTTCCTCGGGGTATTAACCATTACGTACGAATGCCCAAACAGCCGTGCAGTCTATCCATTGTGCTGTACACCAAATCCGATACATAAATACATGCAGAGCAGTGACAAGGATCATGCAGAACAAATGAGAGAGAAACCAGCAGATCGTTAATCTGGAAGATCCCAAGAGAAGACGCGTCCGGTATCCTCGCCGTGATACAGACATTCGCTGTAAGTTAACGTTGAGATTAGCAAGGTTGCGATAGAGGTGCGATGTGGAACCTGACGTACCCAACGAATTTGAGTGCCGTCACGCACGGATTGTAGCCCTTAGGCTGTACCTGCCCATCAGGCCCCTTCACCTTCAACGTCTTCAAAGTAACAAACTCCCATTGAGCTTTCTCGTTCTCCGGCGTTTTGTCGGCGTTCCACGTCCTCAACGCGATGGTACCGTCGGGGCTACCTGTTGCTAGCACACCAACGCGTGCGTAGTCTCGCTCGAGGAAAGCCACGGAAGTGATTGCCGGGTACGAATCATGCATCGCTGACGAAAGTAGGTCCAGAGACGCGATGAGTCGTCCGTTGACGGTGTGAAGGCAAAGTCTTTGTCTCGAACACGTCGCCACATAGCCCTATACCAAGAAATGAGGATTCCGCCGCGTCCGACAGTGATGATGAAACTCACAGTACTCTCGTTTACAGCGGCAAGGAAGACATCCGTATCGTCCCCGGGGCCGTGCCAGATCGACCGTACGTACGTGCCCCGATTGAGGTCCCAGAAGACCACGCTACCATCCTTCGATCCACTGACAACAATGGACCACGCCCTTGAAGCAGTCACACACAGCACCTCCTCTGTGTGAGAGCGCATGATGTGGGTCAACGTCGCACTTAGAGGCGCCTGTCGATGTAAGTGCCCTGACCCCCGCTGAAGCTTCCACAAGCGGACTGCATGGTCGTTGGAGCCAGTGATGAGGGTGTTCGCATCCGCAAACGCGGCGCAGGAACATGCAGTAGCTTCCACGACTTGCACAATCTGTGGCAGGCATCAGTGACACCCTGTGCCGTATAGGGAACGGACAGCTGACCCTTTGATCGACAAGGATTTTGAGATCGCCTACGGCGCCTCCTCGGTGATCCCACTGAATCTGCTCATGGGGATGCGAGGGGACACAGAGCATGCCACTCGAGCAAGGGATGATCCGTTGGCCGATGTGATCGTATATAAGCTCGCGCACGAAACGACCAGGACCAAGATCTTAACATTTGACGTGATTTAGTCCACGAGACCGAATATCGAGCATGTTATTTGGACTACTGACCTTTGGCTACCTTTGCACTTTGCGACAGTAAGTGGTAGTCTTCGGCCACACCGTACAGTGTACCAATAGACAATGATGAATTCCCGTGCATCATTCTCTCGGGGTGAGGCGAATGAAAGAGCTTGCGTGGAGTCTGGCCAACTGCAATACAACGTCACTTAATACGCCTCACTCAAGATGGCGATAGGACTGACGTACAGTTGTGAATAATTCCTACTGTTGCCTCACGCTCCAAATCATCCGTAATGGCATCGAGATCTACAGTGCAGACAACATAAGTGTCATTTTGCTCCTAACACTTCATGGAGCCGCACCGATGGAGCCCTCATAACTTAGTGGATGGTAGACGTTCTCAGAATCTGGATCTCGTTGCTTGCATCCCCATATGAGGTCAATCCACTGAGGTAAATGTTCGCTGACATGGTCGCTCTCCAGTGCCTGAAGGATGGCCGGTGTATCAGGAGCAGTAATTAAGAGCTTTGAAGACCCTGCGCACGCACCGCACGGTTCAGAACAACGAACAACAACGGATCCTGCTTGGCCCAAGGTGGCAGCTTGACATCGTCGATCCGCTCGCCAGTGTTTTGTTGCACGCCGAAATCTATACGGGCCAAATTTTCCAAGAATCTAATCCCAGATGTCAAGTAAGAAGGCGACGGCAGCTAGGAAATAGCAGACATACTCCGGCAAAGCGTAAAATTCCGGTATTAGTTCCCGGACGTCTCCACGAACATCCTGTGAGGCACTCTCATATGCTCGCCGAACGTCACTGGGACACGCTTCATTAGGTCAGAGCGATGTACCAGAACATTGGAGACGCACCTAAATAGCCTGTCTGGTAGATCCCAGTCGCCTCCCTGCAGGCGGCACATGAGACAAGGGCGGTTTGTGACTAAGAGGACTCACCTGCAACGTCTTGAACATATGACTGAACGGCTCCAACCTAATCAGGAAATGACAGACGATCATCGACGAGCTGAAGTGCGTGCCATAGTGGAAAGGTTTCTCGCCAACGCTCTGAAGCGCAGCATACCGAGCTCGAGCAGCTTCTTCACGAACTGGGGTCAGTGCACCCATGGGACGAGTGAGACTGAACCGTGAAGCAAAATAACCTGTCTCAGTCCATCGTCACAGAGAATCAAGCTTGCGCACTTACTCGCGATAAGTATCTGTCGAACGCAGATTCAGTGTAGCAGAAGTATAATCGCTTATGACCCAGGCTATGGGAGATCAGGACATAGCAAGACAAAAAGATCAAAACGCATACGGAAGACAGGGTATTGTGTAGCGTCGCTAGGGGTACGACCGGAGATCTGGTTTAAAATGCTGAGATATGTGAACTACGATAGAGCCTGTGTTAGGTAGCCTATCATCATCACAAGGGAGAAACACAAACATTGGAGATTTCTCTCGTTTGCCATTTTCGTTGAGCCGTGGACAATTCGTCCAGACGGAGCCCAGTAAGGACCTTCGCACTCAGAGAAGCACTAAGCTTGCCGCTCAGCCTCCCCATCATCGGAGACAGAAGAGGCGACTTGAGCATTGCCGGCGAGGGTGGCGGCGCTTCATAGAGGAGCCGGTTCACGATAGGAGACAAGCGATCTGTGACCTCCTGACGCTGACGTTTGTGCAAGAATACCACCAAGAGAGATCTACTATCCTTGAAGTATATCTCAAGCCTAAAAAGACCAGTTCTGAGTAGTAGAGATAGGGTGATACGAGCAAGCCTTACGCGACGTCGCGGAACAGAAAGGAGCGATCGCTGTAACTGACCACTTGCTCCAGATTCCTAAGTTTGGTTCATCAACAGTGCGAATAATTGAGACAGTCTTTCAATACAATCACGAACCAGCGCTGGGCTCTTTGAGGGCCATTCAACTCAACGATGCTTCCAGGAACAAAGAAGAGCTTCTTGGGAGCCTCATGAGCATCTATTACTTCTTCATCTTCATTCTGAACAAGCCCATCCAGCATGTAAAGATGGGTCTTCCCGAATATGAGAAGACCGGCTAGGATGTAATGAGGCTATTGATCGCGACTGTATTGACGGGAAGAAACTCACGAGAAGAGTCGATGCCTGATATTCGAGCTACAGTGCTGGCCGCCTCGATAACGTCACCGGGTTCGAGCTCATGTCGGACCCGGCGGTGCTTGTCATCAACGATCTCCTCCTGGAGTTGATTCTCTGACCGAAAGTCAGGCGACAGTTCCTCGCTAAGATTCACCGCAACCGACCTTCCCCCGCATCCATCGATTCTGACCAAGGAACTTCGAGGTGCAGGACTGATTGCCCATCCGACTCGGCCATCTGCCATTCTCCGGCATGTGACTGTGCCTCTACCTTACTGCTCACTGGCTCTTCGTAAGCAGGTTCAAGTTTCTTCCTGAGATCACCGTTTTTAGCAAGCGAGGTCGGACTCGAACGCGGCTAGTGATGCTGACCTCACTCGGTAAGGGCCTTCTGTTTCATCCAGCTGCCAGCGGCGATCCTGAATGACATCAGCCCATAGACCCCGTTCAATTATCAAGCGGGTCGCCCAGTCTGTCAAGCTGCTTATTTGGCGATGGTGCTCTCGCCTAGCAATTGTTAGTACATTCTCATAGGTAGAACAGTTTGTCGCACGTACAGATCGAGAACCGTTTTCCTAAGTCTCTTCCGCTCAGTAGCAATGACAGTCTTGCGCCACTCATTGATACGTGCGATAGATCTCTTAACAGTTGTCTCTCCAAGTTGAACGCTGAGTCTCACAGACGCTATCCGCCGTCTTCTTGACTTTGCGCCCAGAAGGGCTGCTGCGTCGATGGCAGTTTCCTGAGACGGGAGGGGGTTGAGGGCTGTCTCGGCGGACTGGAGGATATCCATGATCTGCATATCACAGTCAGCTATGAAGTGTCTTCCAATAATGCAAATGTCCAGAATACCTCTTGCTTCTGAGCGCTTGATACCGCATTGTCAAGGGCGATGCTCAGTCCAACATGAGATAATTTCTCGAGTATTCGAATGATGCCCGGTGACAAGTTCGCCGCCATGGATATCGAAACGACAAATGATCTATACGCATCTATGAAGGCTTGTGTAGTCGCTTGAGATTTGAATGCTTGACGGAAAGTTGGGCTGGCCGAATGTGACTCCATCAATTCTTCCAATAGGCCTTCCGCTGTGTCTTGGGTATCATTGACATCTTTGAGTAGATTGAAGTAATTACGTGAAGTCGAAGCCGAAACAAAAATCAACTAACGCACCATGTGCTTCATCTGCCCCAGATACAGCAGCGCTTCCGACCTTCTCCAAAACCAACTTGAGGGACGCGAAGATGGCAGGCAGTATGTGCGAGCAAGTCACGACGAAAGAACGATCCGTCCGTTCGTCTGATCGCCCAAATAGCACGTCAAACGCGGCCATTTGCACGACGCGATCCCATGCGTGGGGAATCACAACCTTCAGTACGTTCCATCCACTGACGAGCTCAAATTTTCGACTAAACGTCATCGAAGCATTGAGACTGATCCCGATAAGATGGAGGACCTGCGCGGCGGTCGCGGGTGACGGTCGCTCACCGAGCAGCAAGAGACAGATGCGGGCAACGGGAAGGGTGCTCGAAAACTTCGCAAACGCAGGGGGAGATCCGAGGATCGACACCAGCATAGAAAAGATGTGCTCCGCTTTAATTTGCGCAGAGTGGTAGTCAATCCGTGAGATCACAGAGCGTGGTGAAGGTACATCAGAGACAGCTAAGTCACCCTGGTCAGAAGACGTTCTGCGTTACATGTAGTACAACAGTACCTTCGTGGAGATTGGCTGCGAGATACGATACAATAGGCTTGATTGCATCATCGGCGGAGAAATGTGCTTGTGCCACTACCTTTATGGCTTCAATGAGCGCGGGTAGCACCTCAAACTGGTACAAAGATGTCTGCAGCACGAACAGCAGCTTGCGGACAACGGTCATCTTGGCGATCCGCTGCCTGGTGTTGAAGCGCTTGTATTTGCTTGTCTGCAAAAGGGTTCGGAAATGAGCCAAGTGGAGACGCTGGATATCTTCTTTCGTGGAAGACCACAGCTGGAAGTCGAGTGCTATAGCGCGATATGCCACAGTGTTTACTATAGTGGACTGACTGGTGATGTTGAACAGCATGACGGAAGTGAGAATGCCTGAGAGACGTACTCAGGCGAGCGGAAATTAAGCCCCAAAAACTCGAAAAGCGTTTCGAAGCCAGTCATATTGATCAAATGGCTCTTGCTACGTAGCAGGGCTGCTAGGACGTCATACCCGCCTGGAAGGGTATCAACATCGTGCAAGTCATATTGGTGGAGCCACCTACGAAGGCGTTCCATATCCTCAGAATTCTCCCAGCTGTTCCGTAACCCATCCGAAATGATACCCAGAGCTCGTGAAACTTCGTGTGCAGTCTGCGACAATCTGTCAATTATGCATGATGTATGACCAATGATGGCACTCACACTGGCCAATTGTACTAGTTTTAGCGCAACTGCCGCCCCTCCGATCCGCCACATGGCCGAATCCAGAGAGCCGTGATTCATCACGAAGACGTCGCCCTCAACGATTTGCAGCCCGGCCTTTGTATGGGACGGCGTCAGCGCAAAGACGACGGACGCTTGGTTGATTCCGATACCGTTCTTGATGGCAGCCTGCAACTGAGTAACGTCGGCCCTTGCTACGGATTGCTGAGCCGCCCCGTCCATGTAGATGTGCAACGCCGTCGATGCTTCATAGGTGAGGAACTTAGCTAGTTCAGCAGTCTGGAAATGAGCCGTGTAACGAGGCCCCAGGTGGTGGATAAAACGGGGTAAGCTGTCAGCTATGAGCGCATCAGTCCAACACTGCGGTGGAGGACATTACGTCTCGTACCGAGAGGCGATGCGACGAGACAGGCCGACGCGACACACCAGCTCAACGGTACATCGCTGGAGCTGTCGCCGATCACGAACAACCCAGAATGGCGATTTGCTTCTGCCTTGGGATAAGCCCAGTTCAGAGCATCGGTAACGGCACCATCAGTGAAAATCCCTGGCCAATATGTTCGATGTCAGATGACAAAAGTTGATCTCATGTGCCCACTCACGAATGGTTGGATTGGCCGAACGATGAGGGTGATGGACAAATGTAACGTGTGTCCATCTGGTCCGGGGCACAGACGCCTTCAACGGAGTCGGATCACGAGCCGCTGCACTGTGTAGCTCCAGGTGACCATTCGGACAAAGCTTCAATGAAACGAGGGTGTAGCCATTCAAGTGACACGAAAAGATGGGATATGCTGTGTCCTTGGGAAACCTTTCCACCCATAGCCAAATCTATTATCAACGATTGAGTGCCATAGTTCAGCTGTAACCAACAAATATTTCACCATGAATGTGAAGCCAGAAGGAGGCAGCCCCTTCATTTCATCAAACGACATCTGCAGAGCCGACATTGGCTCCAGCGAGAAGTGTTCTGGCCATCTGACCTTCATTCCGGAGCGCAAGGTTTCGAGCACATCCCCATCCAGCGTCTGATCGGCACGAATGACTTGCTGGAACATGAGCCTCGCCTCCGCCGTGCTGGTCCCCACCTCGACGAGCCTCCGCAGCAGCTTCTGGATGAGTTGCCGTTCCTGCTTGACAACCGAGCCGTCGTCCTTCCAGACGCAATACTGCTTGAAGAGCGGCTCAGCCAAGTTCAAGCTGCTTAGAACGCATTGGCTCCTGTGGTCATGGAACGAGAGACGCTCGAATAGCTTGAGGATGCTGTATCGCAGTACAGCGTCATCATGTGATGCCGGTGTAACAAAGTTGAACAACACGATGAGTGCTTCGGGTATCTGAATTGTCCCAAACGCTGGTTCGAAGTCTCGAATCCGCTGGTCCAGCTGGGAGTAATCCACATCCGGGGCGAACTCGAAGAGACCAGACATCGCAAACCTATGTAACGCAAGAGACACAAGGAATCCGAGCGTTGGCCTTACTGTACTGCGGTCGGAGACGAGGCCCACGACAGCCTGAGACAGCGACTCGTAACCCACTGACCGCTAGGCCATTGTCAACACCACGTTGTGGATTTTTAGCAGGATGCGCACCTTGAAATATGCTGTATTGGCTGCATGCTGGTAGAGAGCTTCCGATAAGACCACGAACGTTAGGCGGACCGCTTCCAGCACATCGACCTTGCTCTGGGGGTCATTGCCGGTTATTGCCTGCATGGTGGACAGAACACTCATGACGATCAGAAAGCCGTCCATCTCCCGGAACACATCTTTAGTCTGCGCATCTTCAAGCATAACTTTGTGGATCTCTGTAAGGGCCTAGTGTAACATGAATATTATATCGAGTAAAGTATAGCACAATACTCACGTCTGATTTTGCTTGCATGGTCTCGGCGAACTTGAGTTTGTCGACAAATCCCCGCATCAGGTCAATCAGAACGTCGCGAGCGAAGTCTTCCGGTGCAAAGTCATCTTGCTGAGTGTGCTCTTCTGGAAGAGGAGAAGACGGAGACAGCGCAAAACGCGCACTCAGAGGCGTGAGTAGAGTGCGAAACATAACAGATTTTGGTTTTTTGGTATGCTTCTTTGACCATGAGCTTCTCTAATCCATTCGTAGATATGATAGACACGCCACGACGTGCGGTCTTTAGGTAGTGGTAGTGTCACCCAGGATGTCGCAGCAGCGGCGTTCAATAAGCGCTCGGTGGAACGCGGTAGAGGATCACGGTCACGTGTAACGCGCGCCTGGAAAGTTGAACAGGGAACGTCGCCTCACAACTTGTCCTCGACGTACGACAAAGACGACAAGTGTCTCTGCAGGCCGGGATTCATTGACTGACGACTCTTTTTTATAGCTGCATGCGGCTGAGCTCTCTGCTGGTACAGGCAACAGAATCAAAGACCTCACACTCCGTAGCCCTTGGCCTGTCTCATTCTCATTTTCGTCAAGATGCTGGGCATGTCTTTGCTTTTCTCCACGCTTCTATTCACTACACTAGCTCGTGCGGGACTCTATGGGACTAGGCCGATTGCGAACACTGTTCTGAGTTCTGGCCGCTTGTCGTCTGTAAACTGGATCAACGATAATACCGCACCATCTCTTAAAGAAATGGGCCCAATGCGCATTGACCTATATCGCTCAGGCGACGTGAGTATTCTCACATCAGTTGGATGGCAAACCTTCATTAGACTACAGATCTTCGTTGCCACTTTGGCGGACAACGTCGAACCGACCAGCAGATCCCACAAAGTATGGATCTCCCCGACTTGGGGACCTAATGGCTCAGACTAGTATGTTTTACACCGTCCTTGAGCAGTGACAGGCCAACGAGGCGTTACAGTCACATGCGCTTCACCTGCGAAGACCCTCCGCTCACAATCTATACGGCCGACTTCACCGTCACGGCAATGGACGACACGCCTCGCTACCAGGGGTCGGAGAATGCTGTGGCAGACTCAGAGGCATCTATCGGCACAAGCTACGCTACGCCATCCGCAACTACCGCCACATACTCCCTACCAACAATGTACTCACAGCTATACACAAGCTCGAGCTCGGCTGTGTCCTCAACGCCATCAATGACCCGCGTTTCCAGTACTTCTGTTAATACTGCCTCTGCCGCCAGTACCGGCACGGGAAACCCTTATATGAACAAAGCGAAGACTGGTGCGGGCGGTGGCTCATGGATGCGAACGTCGGTGGACCTCGAACGTGTCAAGTTCCGTCTAGTCTTCGTCCTCTGGCCGGTACTCATCGGACTCACGCTGGCGCTATGACTTTGATGAAGGAGGATTTTTTTGTATGCCACGCAGGGCTGGACCACGCGTGATGTGAAATCTGGTTATGTTATAGAGATGTATCCATAGACTAGGCACTGTTTCTTAACAACCCATCCCGTCAAAATACCCCAAAATCAACTAATTGAATATGCTACGTTAATTGAGAGTATAGTAAACCACCTTTGTGTTTCGATCGCCGTGAGGCCAATTTTACCTACTTTTCTGGTAGCTGGTGCGATAGCAACACGTTCACGTGACGTGACGCGGTTCGCGTTGTGGCGATATCGCAACTTGAACTTGAACGACGACCCAGTATGTCGACGACAATAACGTCTCTTTTGAACTCGCTACATTCGCACCTACAGTCACAAACGCAACTACTTCCCACACTTCATGCCCAGCTTGGCTTGCCATCATCCGCTCTCACGGACGAACTGTCCGTCCTACAGCAGCAGCTAACGCAGTGTATTGAAAGTCAAATCGACCTCCGACGAAAGCAGGTTGACGAATGGATGCAAAAGTGCTGCGACGTGGAGAAAGAATGTCTTAGCTATGGGAGAGCACTGGGCGCGCATGCGAAAGCTACGGGCAGTAGCGTGGGCGAGATCAGGAAGGAGCTAGTGCTGCCTAAGAGATACGAGGCTATCTGCGAGTTTCAGGAGCGACTGAGACAGGTGAGTTATTTTCAATATGATGGCTTGGAATGGAGCACATATCGTGTATATCCGCCACCCATCAAGTTCTGTATCTGGTATGAAGAGCAGATACTGGGCGTAGGCATATGATCATACTACTGGAGGTTTCAGTTCGGTCCGGCAGTCGACTGGAACCTCGATGGGACGGCGGTCGGCCATCATCCTGAACTGGTGAACCATAGGAAGTCTATGGCCAGTAGACCCTGTTGAGGGGTGATGGCGGGTGGTGCGACTGCCTACGCAAAATGGGTGAATATCATGTACAGCTGGAGATAGATGGTGTCTATCTGCAGACAATACGCAGCCTCAACCCAAGGGTTGACATGGCCTACCGCGATAAGGAGCCCACGTCCTGCGTTTCCCTGTGCTACTCATAGTGAGCTCCACGCAGACCGTGCCTGCGTTGTGCAGCATGAATGTGAGCTGTGGTTAATGCCCACTGTCCTGCTCTACCATCTCATGGAGCAGCCATAGCAGATTGTGCGTTTACCTTAGTGGGGAGCACTCAATCCACAATCGGTTGCGCACTACTTCAGCGACAAAATCACAATCGGTTCTGCGCGCGGGTTGGTTCTGTTTGAAATTATGCTTACATGTATTTGTCGTAGCTATACCACACCAAGCTCGAACAGCTGCTGACAATAACGGGCAGGCTCAAAGGGCTTGCCCGGACACTTGGGCCCGATTTCCTCCCTCATGACATTCTCAACCCTATTTCCGCCTCAGATGAAGACGAAGAGAATCGAGACAGTCCTCGTGATGTCACGCCGGAGCGATTCTCCAGACTAGAGAAGGAACTCGTGCGCTGCAAGGGGGAGATGGTGAGCGAGGTGCACTCGTCTCCACAGCACGGGTGCTCACAGCACTACAGGCAAAACGACTCACGCAACTCTCGGCGACGATGGTGCAAATAGACTGGCTATACACCGAGCTCGGTATCACTCCGCCCACCCTTGAAGACGTGCCATCTTGCTCGACGTTGACTCTTAATATCCCTCCCATTTCGCGCTCGACGTCCTCATGCAGTAATCGTACCACCTCTTCCTCCTTCGATCCATTCCTTTCCACATCAATGACCACCGGTATTTCGATGTCAACACCAACCCCCGCAGCGCGTATGAAGCAATCGGCACCATTACTGATGTTCGCAGCTCCTGATGAGCCCCAAGAGCCTCCAGAAACAGAATATCAGCACATCTTCGCTCGTTTCGTTGCACGCATGGAGGAGGCGTCCGAGGAGGATCTGCAGGATGCTCACATCGGGCTGGAGGGCGTCGAGCCGACGCTCGGCCTCATTGCTTGGGCGGAGTCGACGCGCGCAGAGCTGGAAGACACCAAGAAACGGCGAGAGGCGCACATCCAGGCAATGTATGACCAACTTGAGGCACTTTGGCGAAGGCTTGGAGTCACAGACAATGAGATGGATGCCTTCGTCGAGGCGCAGCGAGGCAGTACGGAGGTGACTGTGAGGGCGTATGAAGAGGAGCTAGAGCGCATGCTGGAGCTCAAGCGGGAGCGAATGGGAACTTTCGTGGAGAATGCCCGGACGGAGATCACCAAACTTTGGGACAAGCTAATGATCGGTGAAGAGGAACGTGCGGACTTCGCGCCATTCGCCGATGGTAGGCAGTCTCTGCTTAAGGCACTTCACATTCGACTGATTTGGTCCTGCAGATGAACATACGGAGGAGTTGCTAGTGATCCACGAGAAGGAAATCAAACGCTTGAAGAAGGAACTCGAGGACAAGGACGATCTTTTAGAAAAAATTCGGACATACTTCGGCATATGTGAAGAGGAGAAGGCACTTGCTGAAGCTGAAAGCGATCAGAGTCGCCTTCTGAGTCGTGGTCCTCGCGATCCTGGCCGGCTGCTTCGTGAAGAGCAGATGCGCAAGCGTGTTAAAGGGAAACCCAAAGTACGTGTCCAGGCGATATGCAGTTATATTGTGCGGGTGATTAATTGTCCTTATGTAGCTCGAACGGCAACTATTGACCTTAGTTCTCGAATGGGAGAAGAAGACTGAACGGACATTCTTCGTGCATGGCCAGAGCATATTGCAACTCCTCGAGGAGACAGTCGGCATCGCAGACAAGGAGAACAACCAGAAACGAAGTAAGGCTCCAGGTGCACGAGGGGGGTCTGTGCCTCCTCGTTCAAAGACACCCTCTAATCCGTCGAGTCAATACGCGCCGGGGTCAAGCCATGGAGGAAAAAGTAACGTGGCTACACCTGCTGTCCGTCCAGGGTCCAGTATAGGAGCGTCTTCACAGAGCGTACCTACCAAGCGCGCGCGTCTTGGGGAGTCCACCTCAACGTATACCAATGCAACTGTACCGCCTGTCCCCACGTTGGGTAGCAGCAAAGGCCCTGGCGCACATAGAGCCCCCTCACCGACGAAGATTCCGGGTAAGACCCCTACAATTGGCTCCTCTCTTCCACGTCCGGTAGTAGCTATGCCAGCCTCAAGATCCGGCACGAGTCACCACGGCCTAGGGTATGGACGTGCGCCGTCCTCACATGTCCCACATGCGCATAGTTATCATCCATACCCGGCTTCACATCGAGCAGCGTCTCATGCTTCTGCGACGCTAAGGCACACCTCCGCGACCCTATACCCTACCCTCGCCGCAAAGAAGGCATCACGAGCACGCCGGGAGAGCTTCAGACCGCGGGCCAGTATGGATGATAATCGGACCTTGGGCGCCGGGAGACCAGATACAGGTGGGCAGCGGCGGTGGGCCGGCTTTGCGGGCGTTGCAGTGAAGGAGGAAGAGGAAGATTTCTAGAGGTGTTGGACTGTTTTCTTCGCGTATGTTGATTGTCGTGCACGTATCAGCCAAGTAGCTGATTCCACTCTCAGTAGGCACATGGCTGCCTTGTATATCTATGCTTTTATTATTTCACGACGCTCTTAGTCTTCCATTCCTTGTACTTTGACTGCATTCAGCAGGTGTATTTGTATCATACTATGACCTCGCTGAGGTGGTCTCCCCGTATATGCCGTAAGTATGACGTTCTTCCCGAGGACCTGGTGACGCATGGCCTGGCGAGCATGTATTGAACGCAACTTTTGCAACCGCGGTCGCTGATCCGCTTGCCAGCAACTGGTGACGACAATGGCCGTGCGGAACTCCAGATGAGGATTGCTCCGCTAACCGTTTCCTGTCGACCGCTTCTCCGGTATCCAGAATACATGTTTCGACCGCTATTCAGTATGCGTTGACATCATCGCTTCATGTGAGCCTTGAACTGTACGAGCTTCGGGGACGTGGCCACATCGTGGTCTCATGCGGCCAGCATGCCTGTTTTAGCAAATCCTGTACATGTGTAGTAAACTCGGCGTATAGGTATGATCAACGTTGAATGTGCATTGACGGTCGACAAGGGCGATGAGGACAGCCAGGACAGCCCCTTGGCGGTAGTATATATTTCCTAAACAGGAAGGAGGCATATATTCCCGGCTCTTCTGAACGCGGTTCTCCACTCTGCAACCGTTTCTACCTCTTTCTACTTCCACATTTCCCTCTCTTGTTGGCTAGACATCATCTGTGGACAATTTCTTATACTCTATACAACGCTGTAATGCCTTTCACTCCGGATTCTGAGCTAGACCTCTTGTTCCCACCTGAGCACATCCCTGACAACGTCAGGCAGCAGCTTCACTCAGACCTCCATGTACGGCACTGATTCTGAAAATTTCACTAACCCTGACTGCTCTACTTCTCACAGATACGCCCGCTTGCCTTGACTGACTACCAGCGTGGCCATCTCTCCGTCCTGTCAGTCTTGACGGTTGTTACAGACCCAGGAGAAGCTGCATGGCAGGCACAGTTCAACGCGCTCCGTGCCGCACCACGCACATACTATTCTATCGTCATCGTGGACAAGATCACAGACCGCATTGTGGCCGTCGGTACAACATTCATCGAACGTAAATTCCTGCGCGGACTCGGTAGCGTTGGACATATCGAGGACATTGCTGTAGACAAGTCGCAGCAGGGAAAGAAGCTCGGCCTGCGGATTATCCAGGCCCTCACGGTCATCAGCGAGAACAGCGGCTGCTACAAGACCATCTTGAACTGCAGCGACAGTAACATCCGTGCGTCCTTCTAAGCAGTTTGCCTCTCGCGTACTCACCGAATTCTGTATAGCCTTCTATGAGAAGTGTGGATTTGAGAAGAAGGAGAATGAGATGGTGCGTCTATCTTGCTCTATCTACCCTCTTAGCACGTTGAACGCTCGCTGTAGGCGAAGTATGCTCCCACGGAGCGTTCCCGTACCCCACGGCTGTGAAACGTCGGTCCATTGACTCCAGGCCTAATTATAAATCTGACTCCCTGCTGCAGATTCGTACATCCCGGGTATCTCCCGCTCTGGACTCTCGTAAAGCAGTGTGCTCGCCCGGACTTCATCTCGGACTGGATAACATGTCGCATATTGTAGCTTCCTCCTATTTTGGGCTATCAGCATGCCTCGTAGTAATGTACGTTTTATATATTCAGTATCGCACGGCGTATTGGTCAGTGGTGGGACAATGATGTCTAGATGATTGCTTAATGCCATTCGCGTTGAAATGAACATGGGTGCTCGCGTTCCGCTTGTTCAAGCTGTTGTGCAACAGGTGAGTGAGTTGCTACGTTGCTGTAACAGGGCATATCTACCGATCAGGTTTTCAGTCACAGAGTAGTGATTCCTGGCCTACCTCCTATTCCGACAAACCCTACGAAAGATGTTCTGTTTCTATATCCAATGCGACTGCATTCCTTGAGAAGCATGCACATGGCGCACCATTATCAATCATCACGTTCATCCACTTCCCTCACGGGCATCAGCTTGATGGCAGCGTTGGGAGAAGGCTGTGCGGTCACCCGTCATCTAAACTGCGGCCGCATCCCGCTCCGCTACCACTTACGCAACCTAGCGAAGCGTCAAACTAGTATGCTCATGTTCATTACTCGCACTATTTCTTTTCGGCATTAGCAATTTCCAGGCATAGAGCTAATGACGTGTTACGCGAGGGCAATCCCGAACGCTCAGCCCCTTCCCCCGGTCAGATCGCTCGCGGCCCTTATCCACATCCACAATTCTACATGGATCACCGGCGCACGATGCCTGTCATGATCGCGCTAGTAGCTGTGTCGTGCACGCGTCCGGTGGGCCCCATGCCGTGAAGATATGAATGTTGCTTCCGCTGTGCGGCGCCACAGAAAACTTTCACTCCTATCCTTCTGCACCTCAGCCCTGGGCGAAGGATGTCCACCCCTCAACCTCAATCAGCAGAGTTGGCATCCGAATTAGAATCATCGTGAGTCCGCTGCTATCATTGCAAGCAATCTGCCGTTGACTGCTCAGTGTTCGAGCGAATTACTGTCTGGTTGCAGTGTCAAGTGAGTACTCAAGCGACCAATGTACACATATGTTTACGTTAGTCAACGTAGCTCTTTTGATCTATGATTACCTGCTTACGCTATGTCGCGAGATTCGTCTCATCTGGACCTGCAAAGCTGTCGGGGTGAGATGCATGTTCTTCCTCAACCGTTTCGTCACGGTGGCTTTGGGAGCTACGAGTATATCATTCACCTTTTCCTTCGGCACCGCTTCGGTACGTTGTGTCGCTTTAGGGAATAACTTCACTCCGCTGACAGTGATTGTGCAGAAGTATGACTGTTTTTTTTTTTCAGCCGTGAGCCTTGATTGAGACCGTCGCGTAGATGTAACATAGCGAGTTGGCTGAATCTCTGCGCTGTCCTGATGGCGGTGGCAGTGTGGGCAGGTATAACCACCACTCTTCCACACGAGACATCATTGCTAATTTTACTGAACCATTTTGTCAGCCTGTTCAGCCCTTCGCGTCCACGCTGTCAGCGACCGTAACTGGAGACTATCAATGCTGACATTGGTACTAGGTTTGGTACCATTGGGAATGGAGCTTGTCAGTCCCCTTTATCTTCATTGAAGGTTGATGGTCATCTATGCACCGCCTTCGCAGTATTTCAATATCAAGACCTCGTATACCATACTGGCATTGCAGTCCACGTACTGTATGCCTGCAATCAACATATCTGCGACAGCCAGCATCTTGTACGTCTCGCCATTATCCATCGTGCGGCGCTCATAAAACTCCTTAGAGGTGAATCTTTTCTACAATCGAGCTCGTCCTCCTCAATAGCGCTTACAAGAGGGTACCATAAGTCTTGGTAGGAACGCATGTATGCATGATTGTATCGGATGCCATCGTCGTCGCAGCAATTTGGTACAACACAGCTTATCACTGGCGCCATTTGAATCACGACAACGTTAAAAGCTCACTTGCGCGACGACTACAAAGAGATGGTGCGATGAATGCCTGATTGTATGTCTGAAGTACTGATACGCTTGCAGGTACCGTGTATTTCTGGTGGGGTCAGAAACATATTGTGTTTGCCTCATTCTCATCCCGTCTTGACCGATAGCGTGTTGTTGGTCCTCAATGTTCTACAAATGTGCTTGTATCTCCGTGACGTACGCTTTGGCTCTTAATTTTCGCGATAGCTGTAAATTACCTCTTGTTTGCAGATCGCAACATATTTCTCTACGTTCATTTTCCCGTGCGTTCCGGGTCACTAATGTTCTGGCGGCGATATACTGATATGATATAGAATTTCGACCATCATCGTTTCGCATCTCGTGCTGGATCTGCGCGACACTCGCTTCTCATCATGCGAAACGACGAGCTCCCGCACAGCGCAGTTCGAGGAATACGGACCGGACAGGCAGCAAGACCTATCGCAGCTTTCAGTTATGATGTTCCGAGTTCAATCGGCGGAAGCAAACATAGACAGATCGGTTCAAAACACATCGCTGGTGCCCTCGAATGATAACAACGTTGAAGAAGATATAGAAGCCTGTGCGGGTATCGAGGAGTTGGAGCTTGACTGATATAGAGGCTGTCACCCTCTCACTGGCCACACAACGAACGTGGAAAGAGTCAAGAATTTGTGATTGACGTTTTGTTATCTAACGTGCTCGTGTATGATGTATACGAGAGCAGTATTCTCTCGAAAATGGATACTTTTGGGATGGAAGGAAGACAACAGAAGCGTTTGGGTGCAGCGTGACAGTTGTGTGACCAATGGCGTCTGTGACAACGCGTCGCGCTCGCGCTCTCTAATTGCCGCCACTACTCTTGGCCCTGGACAACTGCTGTTTCCTCCTTCTCACCTCCGACATTCACTCAGCTGGGGCTTCTCTCACTCTGAGCCGCAGCACACCTGTCGCCTATGGCGCGTGGTTCATACAGCGGTGGGACCCGTAGAGGACGAGGCAATTCGCGCTTCGGGTATCGTGGTGCCAATTCTTTTCGAGGCGGGCGAGGCAGGGGACGAGGGCGCGGTGGCGCGCCAGCAGATGCACAGCCTCAAAGGGAGGATGATGGCACTCAGCTTGCAGAGCGGTTCGAACAAGTGACTCTCAATGACGAGGTAGATGAGAAGCTTGGGTTCCCGCGCGTTCAAGAGGGTCCGCGTAAGGAAGGATGGCTGGTCAATATGCATCCTGTGAGGTTTTTTGTCCACAAGGAGAGCCTATACTTATCCAAATCTAGACATTAACGAAGGATGCAGACTGGCCGTCAGGGAAGGCTGCTATAGACTTCTACTTCCTTCAAGACGACGGCGGCATGTTCAAATGCACTTTTCAATACGAGCCGTACTTCTATATAGCATGCAAGGTATGGAGAGCTTCAAGCCCTGCGCGGTTTCTTTCTGACTCGCCGTCGATAGAGCGGAATGGAGACGATCATAGAGGAGTGGCTGATGAAGAAGTACGAAGCACATATCTGTCGCATTACAAGGGAGAGGAAAGAGGATCTCAAACTTCCCAACCACCTCCTAGGACATAGACGGCTTTATCTCCAGCTGCATTTCCGGAACGTGTCCGACTTGCTTGCTGTTCGACGAGACATCATGCCGCTGGCCCTTGCTAATAGCGCCAAGCTGGACGCAGTAGATGCTTATGCCGAGGTTGTAAACTCTACTGCGGATGCAGACATCTCCATAGGCATGGAAGACGAATGGGGCGTCGATGTCGATATGGGTACAAGCACCGCTCAGGCAGCAGGGGCACGCGATAAAGATCCACGGGAGGGCATCATCGACATCCGCGAGTTCGATGTTCCTTATTATTTGCGAGTCGCCATGGATAACGACATCCGTGTCGGACTGTGGTACGCCGTGACGTTCACAGCGGGGCAGCCATCATTCAAGCAACTTACTGAGCGTGTCAAACGTGCGGACCCCGTCGTTATGGCATACGATATTGAGACAACTAAGGCACCGCTCAAGTTCCCCGACCAGGCTATCGATCAGGTCATGATGATCTCGTACATGGTCGACGGCCAAGGGTTCCTCATCACCAATCGGGATATCGTGAGTGAAGACATCGAGGATTTCGAGTACACCCCCAAAGAAGGATATGAAGGCCCGTTCACCATCTTCAACGAACCTGATGAGGTATGTTTGTCGGGTTTCTGTCCATGATTTTGACCTCAGAAATTTCTGAATGTCAGGCGGCAACAATACGCAGATTCTTCTCGCATGTGCAGGACGTAAAGCCTACTGTCATGGCGACGTTCAACGGAGACTTCTTCGATTTCCCCTTCCTCTGCGCGCGCGCTAAGGTCCATGGTATCGACATGTTCCTCGAGATAGGCTTTGCGAAAGATTCTGAAGATGAATTCAAGAGTCGGACCTGCGTGCATATGGACTGTTTCCGCTGGGTCAAGCGGGACTCCTATCTTCCTCAAGGTAGCCAGGGTCTTAAAGCCGTGACGACCGCAAAGTTAGGGTATAATCCGATCGAATTGGATCCCGAGTTGATGACGCCGTACGTAGCATCTCAACGTGATTTACGGCGTAATGTCATTGAAACAATCTCTCTCAGGTACGCAATGGAGCAACCACAAACACTGGCGCAGTATTCCGTCTCCGATGCCGTTGCAACGTACTACCTGTACATGAAATACGTTCATCCCTTCATCTTTTCGCTATGCAACATTATCCCGCTGAATCCCGACGAGGTCTTAAGAAAAGGCAGCGGGACGCTCTGCGAGACTTTGCTGATGGTGCGCACATAAAATGTCTCGCCCGCGGAATAGTCCTGATTACAACTAGGTGGAAGCATACCGCGGTAAAATTATCATGCCAAACAGGCACGAGGATGAATATGGCAACATGTACGAGGGTCACTTGTTGGCCTCGGAGACCTACGTTGGCGGCCACGTCGAAGCGCTTGAGGCAGGGGTCTTCCGCAGCGACATCCCAACTCATTTCAAGATTGAGCCTGCGGCCGTTCAGAAGGTACAGTGCTCAGAGATTGCATCCTAGCGCGATTACTGACATGGTGCTCGTAGCTGATTGATGAACTCGATGCTGCCCTCACTTTCTGTCTTGTGGAAGAGTCGAAGGCGTCGCTCGAGAGCGTCACTAATTATGACGAGGTCAAAGCTCAAATACAAGTTGCCTTAGAGGAAATGCGAGACAACCCCTTGCGGATGGACGAGCCACTCATTTACCATTTGGATGTCGCTGCCATGTACCCGAACATCATGTTGTCGAACCGGCTGCAACCGGATTCCGTGGTCGACGAGTCCGTGTGCGCGGTCTGTGACTATAATCGACCAGGTAAAGCATGTGACCGCCGTATGACCTGGGCATGGAGAGGAGAGTTCTTCCCGGCAAGGCGAGACGAATTCAATATGATCAAGCATGCTCTGAACCAAGAGACCTTCCCTCCAAAGCGTCCTGGTCAGCCTCAGCGTAAATTCGTCGATCTTTCCGACGCAGAACAGACGGCTCTACTGCACAAGCGACTTGGCGACTACTCGCGCAAAGTATACAAGAAGATCAAGGACACGAAGGTCGAGAATCGCGAGGCCATTATATGTCAGCGAGAGAATCCCTTCTATATCGATACCGTTCGTCGCTTCCGAGACCGTCGATACGAGTATAAGGGGCTTCACAAGACCTGGAAGAAAAACCTGGATACAGTGCTCGCAGAGCACCGCTCAATCGCTGAGGTCGACGAGGCCAAGAAGATGATCGTACTGTACGATTCCTTGCAGCTGGCCCACAAGTGCATCCTGAATTCGTTCTACGGCTATGTGATGCGAAAGGGCGCTAGGTGGCATTCGATGGAGATGGCTGGCATCACCTGCTTGACGGGTGCGACCATCATCCAGATGGCCCGCCAACTGGTGGAGCAAATCGGCCGACCGCTGGAGCTCGATACTGATGGTATCTGGTGTATGCTCCCCGGTATCTTCCCCGAAAACTTCAAGTTCAAACTCGCCAATGGGAAAGCGATCAGTATGTCCTATCCTTGCACCATGCTGAATCATCTCGTCCACGCCCAATTCACAAACCACCAATATCACGACCTCGATCCCGAGACTGGCGAGTACAAAGTGCACAGCGAGAACTCCATATTCTTCGAACTGGACGGACCGTACAAAGCCATGATCTTGCCGTCATCGAAGGAAGAGGACAAGTTGCTGAAGAAGCGTTATGCGGTCTTCAACGATGATGGATCCCTCGCTGAACTGAAGGGCTTCGAGGTCAAACGTCGCGGTGAACTGCAGCTGATCAAGATATTCCAGTCGCAGATTTTCGAGCGTTTCCTCCTTGGGAACACAACTGAAGAGTGCTACTCTGCCGTTGCTCAAGTGGCAGACCGTTGGCTTGATGTCCTCTTCAGCAAAGCGGAGAATCTCGGCGACGACGAGTTGGTGGAACTTATCGCCGAAAATAGAAGTATGTCGAAGACTCTGGCCGAATACGCTGGGCAGAAATCTACTTCGATCAGTACCGCAAAGCGATTGTCAGAATTCCTGGGTGCTCAGATGGTCAAAGACAAGGGCCTTGCTTGCAAGTTCATTATTTCTGAACGTCCCATGGGCGCTCCAGTTACCGAAAGGGCTGTACCGGTCGCAATCTTCTCTGCTGAAGAAAACGTCAAGCGCACATATCTTCGCAAGTGGCTGAAGGACAACAGTTTGACGGCCTTCGACATCCGATCAATTCTTGACTGGAATTACTACATCGAGCGGTTGGGCTCTGTTATTCAAAAACTCATTACTATCCCAGCAGCTATGCAAAAGGTGGCGAATCCTGTGCCTCGTATCCGGCACCCGGATTGGTTGCACCGCCGAGTCGCCGCCTTGGAGGACAAGTTTCGTCAGCATAAGGTTACGGACTTCTTCAAGCAGAGAACTGATGTCGACGAGGAGCCGCAAGACATAGAAGACACGGGCACGCGCATACGACCTAACGACCGACCACGGCTAGCAGTTGTCAGTCGCAAGAACATGCGTCGCGAAGTGACGCCGGAACCGGAGGAGACTGCAGTCAATGCACCTCATCCTTCTGTCAACTATCCGGAGTGGCTCAGGCTTTCCCAGAAAGCGAGATGGAGAAGTCGTCGAGCTGGTCAACAAGTCGTGCCGGAGATGTTCAAAAGTGTTGCCACGAGGCAAAGACCGCATAGCCGCTGGGATATTGTCCAGATTCGTCCGACTAGAGTGGCGGGACGCTTCGTGCTGTGGCTGGCCGTTGGCGGGGATCTGATCTCTATACCACTTCGTATCCCACGCGAGTTCTATCTTCACCTTCGGACCCCCGCTAAGCCGAACCAATTTAGCAAGGATATGTACTCCTCCGAGAAGGTTACCCGAGGGTTGCCTCGAGAAAGGCCGTGCGTAAACTTGTACAAGATTTCCGTCAGGGAGGACGTGTACATCAGTGGACAAGAACATTTTATCGATCTCACGAATGATCCTAATGTCGATGGTGTATACGAACTGCAGGTGAGGTCTGTGTCGCTGCTAGAGCTCACACATCTCTGACTCACCAAATACTAGCTGCCGTTGATCACGCGAGCCCTCTTGAGGTTGGGGAAGACATGCGTCAGTGCCATCAATGGCATGTCTTTGAACAGAGCCGAAACAATCGGATTTGACCTAGACCAGCTCGGCCGCGTGGGTGTCGGGTCCAAGCGCAAATATTTGGATGAGGGTAGGGCCGGGAAGTACATCTTCCTATATCATGCGTGTGCTAGCAATGCCCCCGTACACGTCTTCGCCCTGTTTATTCCCGGCAATCCGGTCAAGCTGCATATAGTCGATCCCGCGACTCGACGCCAACCGATACCGCGCTTGGCAGAGGTCTACGCTGACAGCGTCGGCAAACGGCTGCAAACTAGCGGAAGCAACGTCTCATATGCCTATCCACCTACGTGTGAGTTTTCTAGTAACTACCACGGCAACGACGTTGCTGCCCTGAAAGCAATTTCCCGGGAGCTCGGGCTCGTTGAAACCCAGTCCTACATGATCGTTATTTCGTCCATGAAGGAGCAGACATACTTCGACGCTTACGTTCCCAGATTGTCCAAGTTCCCCGTCATATCGATGTCGAAGGCAAAGGCGCCCCACACCTTGGATGTATTCCCCTGGCATACCAGCGTGGCCCAGAAGATGGTTAACCGCTATCTGTCCATGGGGACGTGGTTGGATAGAACGATCGCGTTAGCCGACTACTACAACATGCCTTTGGGACATATCGACGGGGATCAACCATTGCTTCTTTCCGATATTGAGTTCGCTCGGCGACTTACTGAACACGACTTGGTTCTATGGTGGTCACCTGGTGACAAGCCGGACCTGGGCGGAGCAGAGGACGACTGCAGACCTTCTGAAGAATTGCCCAAGACGGAATTTATGTCTTCTGGGTGCTACTCGAACGTCTGTCTAGAGATCACGGTTCGAAATCTGGCTGTCAACGCGGTTTTGCATTCCGTCATCGTGAACGAACTGGAGGGTAGCGGAGGAGCGACCGCTTTCGACTCTTCCCATACTCTCGACGAGTACGCCGGCGGTGATTCGCAGCGAGATCTGACCCTAGGGGACTCGAGCGTATCGCCTCAGACGTTCTCGATACTGAAGTCCATGGTGAAGACGTGGTTGCTCGACAAGATCCAAGGCAACTTCGAGAGTCCAGCGACGATTGCGATCGACCATTTCTGGAGGTGGATAAGTTCAAATGCGTCGCATATGTACGACCCCAGCATACATCGCTTCGTACACGGTCTCATGCGGAAGACATTCATTCAAATGTTGGCCGAATTCAAGCGTTTAGGCTCGCATGTGGTCTACGCAGACCTCACTCGCGTTCTCCTGGTTACTTCCAAACCTCCTGGTACTGCTCATGCCTATGCGACGTATATCACTACCGCGGTGACGTCTCATGAACTTTTCCAGCACGTCTATTTGCACACAGAGCGATTCTACGACTTCCTCCTGTTCATGGACCAGGCCAACCTAAGCGGAGTGGTTTGTGAGGACCCATTGGCTGTCAACCCTCCTGAAGAGCTGACCATCGAAATGCGGTGGAACATCGAGACCTTCCTCCCACCTGCCATCCAGCGCGATTTCCGCACCGTCATCCGGTTCTTCCTCGTCGAGCTCTTCCGGACACTTGAAAAGAGCAAGGGGGCCCTCCGTGCACCGCTGCGTGTACTGCAGAATGGTGCGCCGGACGCCACGCAGCGGGATGCCACCAAGATGCGTGAGCTCGAAGCTAGCCGCGAGTTCATCACTCGCCGTCTTACCCGCAAGATGCTCAAGGCGGTCGGCAATATTCAGGAACGGCACCGCGATGCCATGATGGACGAGGAAGCCCTCTCGTACTGGGAGTTTCCGCTGCTGCCCGGATCCTACTTGACCCTGACGAACCCCATCCTCGAGTTCGTCAAGTTCACCAGCGCGGTGTTCTCGCTCGCGAAGGACTACCAGATCGAGGTCGGCCTGCTCAAGCGCAACCTGCTCGAGCTGATCGGCGTGCGCGAGTTCGCGAGCGAGGCGGCGTTCCGCAACCCATGCGAGCCGCTGCGCCTCACAAACGTGCCCTGCCGGCACTGCGACGGGCTCCGCGACTTCGACTTCTGCCGCGACCCGGAGCTGCTGCCGAACAACCGCGAGGTGAATGCGCGCTGGCTGTGCGTGGCGTGCGGCGGCGAGTATGACCGGACGATGGTCGAGTTCGCGTTGTTGGGCATGGTGTGGGACCTCGAGCGGCGCTGGGCGCAGCAGGATCTGCGCTGTGGCAAGTGCAAGCAGCTGCAGTCGGACAACGTCTCGCGCCACTGTCCGTGTTCGGGTAGCTACCAGCTGAGCATGAACAAGGCGGACGTGCGCCGGAAGCTGCGGACCATCGTGAATGTGTCTATCGCGCACAACCTCACTCGTCTGAGGGTACGTTTCTTTCCTTATTCTATGTGAGACGATGGTGTTGATATTAGACCTACAGGAATGTGCACAGACTATGTTGTCTAGCTGGTGATCATGTGTGTTGGTTTCGGTTTTGCTATCGCTTTGCTTCCGGTCGCATTTAACTTATTAAAATGTTGCATCACCGCCTCATTCTCTGTAGAACATCACTTGTACTGTATACCGTGCGTTGGAAATAATCCTGATTCCGTCTGCATAGCCTTTATGTGGATGTCGTTATCTCAGTCACTAAATCCTGGATCTCAGGCATGAACGTTGAAAAAGCTGAGAGAAAATATAAACATTCATACATTGCGAAAAATGATGTTCCTGCGAGCCGTACAGATACAACAGCAAAGTATATATTCATCCAGAGGGACCTCAGGACATGGCACGTGGCTATACAGTCCCACTCAGTCAATCAGACAGACTACTAATATAACAGTGCATGCACGAGTACTTGGCGACGGTAACCTGAACATAGCAGTGTTGCTGCGAGGCGACGGCAGGAATATGGGAGAAAATGAATAGAGACCAGTAGACAAGACGGAACGGAATACAGCCGACATCTCCAAGCTGATAAAGTAAAGGGGATAAAAAACGACGCAAAGACACACAACAGGCCACAGTACAGTTCTCATTAGTGTTCGTATTAGGCGCCTAAGCGAGGTGAAAACCGTCAGCCAACGAAGGTGATTCAAGTCCGGCACGCGACGCACAAGTATCACGCCGTCTCTGCAGGGGATTCCGCAGCTGCCTCCTCTGCAGCCGCTTCAGCCTCGGGCTCTTCAGTAATCGTTTCTGGGGCCGGCGCTGCGGCCTCTCCGCCATTCTCCTTATTATCCTTCCCCACCTGCAGATGATCGCGTCAGATCACGGCGCAATCACAACGAATGTGGCGTCACACCTTGGACGCAGGTTTTCTCGATCCTGCACGCGAGGCAGGTTTCTTTCCGGTGGTTGATGGAGGCTTTGCAGAAGCGCGAGATGCGGGCTTGGCGGATCCCGCACGCGACGCCTTCGACGCCGGCTTGTTGGAGGCGCCGGCAGCCTTGGATGCTGGCTTGCTAGCCGTCCCCGCGGCCTTAGATGGGGGCTTGGATGCAGCCTTGGATGCTGGCTTGGACGCGGCCTTAGATGCAGGCTTCGCCTAAGGGGTCATGTGTGAGTACAGTCGACACGATAGCGGAGGATACGCACACGCTTCGCAGGGGGCGGCCCATCTACATCGGACGCGCCGTTCAGCGCAGCATCTTCGGCCTCTACTTCAGAGGCGGCCCTCTTCCTGCCTTTAGTAGGCTTAGGCTCCTCAGCCGCGTCTTCCACAGGCTGCTCATTGGCCTTCGTCTTCCTAGCTCGTGGTTTGGCGGGGGCCTTCTTCGAGGAGACTGTGGGCTTGGGTTGATCTTTGATACGCGCAGAGCGACGTGGCTCAGCGGGGCCGTCGGTGGCCGTGGTTGCAGACTTGCGAGGCATCTTAGACCGGGGGAGGGGGAGGGGGGATGGTGGTTGGGGAAAGAGAGACAAGACAAGGAGAGGCAGCGGTCCGTGCTGTTTAGCGCTCCTTGAACCCTAATTCACGATCAACAACACCAACACGTGCCTCGCGCCTGCCCCGTGACTCGCGCGTCGTGCGCCACTCACGCGTTCGCCCGACGTGGGAACCTACTGTATAGGGAAGCCTGCCTCTCGCACATCCACTACGACAGCACCAAAGCCGCGATGCTCGCCCCGTACAGGTTGCCCTGCGCGACTTCTCTTGCGAGCGGGCTAAGGTCTGAGCACTCTAGTCCTCCTCGATCGACCCCAGCCGGGTCCAGTCGTAATCGACTGCGCGACGTACCAGACACATTGCCTGAAGTACCATTGGTGCTATACAACACCAAATGACCATGATGTCTGCAGAGTTTGGCTGACAGGTCGAACCTGTGGTCATGAGGTAGTACTTTCTGGCATTGAGACATGTCGCGAGGACCGGGCAGACATGCTATCGTACTAGCAGTCTGTGGTACTCCTCTTGCAACGACCTCGAGGCATTTCGTATGCACAACATTACTATTTGGTTGTCCCTTTGAGGGCTAGAGGCTTCATGCAGAGTGTTGTGACACAGATATTGTTTGTCCTTCACTTCGCGGCTCGCACATCTGGCTTCATGCCTGTGCGCAACTCGATTCAGACTACTCTGGTGCTGTTGTTCCAATTTTTTCCAGCTGCTCCTCGTGAGCAATGTGTCGTATCGACTCTTGACGAGTGGTGCGTTCCCCATTAATCTATTGGCTTCTTGGACTGATGTCTTCACAGGTGATGAAAATACATCTGAAGTGGCTACGCTTACAGAGCTTTGTGGTTTATTGTCTGCACGTAACAATCCATGATTGTCTGCAACTGTGGATCCTGGTTTATCGCATGTTGTTCAGTATAATAACTTGAGACAATTGATTTACTAGTATGACAATAGGAACTACCAATGGAGAATTGTGAGATATTCTCCTTCGCAGCCTGTGGATCGTTTTCAAAGCTTACATCGGTTTGTGAGCACCAAGTACTCCTGTTCGTGACCACTGCGTCTTCCGCGTCGACAATAGCAAAGCCGCAGCCCTCACCACATGCATGCCGCCGCATGCGACTCTCGTGAGTGGGCTTAGGTCTGAGGACTACAGCCTAACTGGTGATCCCCTCGATTTCGCTCCATCGAGCCCGGAAACTCGAGTTGGCCTGCGCCGGGCAGCAAGGGACGGGTCCGATGGAGATCTGGCATGACCTGGTCCTTGTGCCTCCTACCACTCTAGGACACGTTACAAGAGCCGGGCAGCGGCCCTTAAGCTCCTCTCATGGTGCCTCCACCTGTGTTCTGCAGGTCCTGTAATTGGGAGCGCCTTTTCTCTGGTTCTTGACTACGCATCGAATTCTCGAGAGGGTCTGCGGATCCGCGGAGGCGGGTCACGATATGCACAATGTGCAGCAGTATAGATGGCGGACTATCCTTTAGTTCACTTCACGCATCTGGGCCTCCAGTCCGTGTGCAAATCGATCCGGACTACTCCAGCAATGCCCGTATCTTGCAGTTTTCGGTCATCGTCGTCGTTAATGGCATATTCAATGGCATATTGGAGCTACACCAGAGTCGTTGGTCAGGAAGCCTACTAACAGATATATATATATTCTGATATCCGCAATAAATATTTTGCCGACAGCGGATAAGTTGCTAGATTATACATTTACGCTTCCGCGTCTCTTCCGCGTCTTCGCGTCCGCACCAACCACGGTAAATACACGCAGTCAAACGGGTTTGTGAGCCACGGCTAGTCTCAATTCAATACCCTGACGGGACGTTCGCTGGTACGAGAACAAGCAACAGCACCTCTGGTCGGGATCGCGAAGATAGCAAGGTTGGATTCCGCACTGGAACAACAACCTTGTTTCTTTGTAACGCAATTCTGAAAGCTCTAGTGCTGCGGGATTCATAGCAGTCAAACTGGAAGGCCTTTAGGCCATTCAGGAGGGCGCCTCGAGTGGTATCGTCTGAGAGGAAGGGCCATACAAGTGAGTTATCTCATCAAGGCTACGAGATGGAATGTATATAATACAAAATGCACTCAGACAACAAATCTACCTGCTGTTGCAAACCATGTCGCAGACAATCTCCGCCATTCTCGACTCGCAAACCTCCCTCGTTCAGGCTGCGGCAGAAGCGCTACCGCACCAGTTCTCTCAGTGTACCCACGCCCTTGGGCATATCCGCCAGGCTGTCTACCTCTGCCTTACCTGCGCCGTCCCGCGTGGGATCTGTGCGGCATGCTCTATCGCCTGCCACACTGACCACGAGCAGCTGGAGCTGTTTCCAAAGCGCGCTTTCCGCTGTGACTGTCCCACCGCCGCGCTCGCGCACCTCTGCGCGCTCCACCGCACGCCCGAGCCAGAGAACACGCGCAACGCGTACGGCCAGAACTTCCGCGGCGCATTCTGCCGCTGCGGCCGCGCGTACGACGCCGCGCGCGAGCGCGAGACGATGATCCAGTGTCTCACTTGCGAGGTACGCGGGCCCGGGCGTGCGGGGTGTGCCGCGCTCGCTGACACCGTGTCTGTGTAACTTTCGCTTCTCGTTGCAGGACTGGTTCCACGAGTCATGTCTTAGCCTCCGCGAGCGCCCTCTCTCTCGCGCGTCCACGCCCGAGGCGGGTGTGCCCGCGCAGGAGGTGGACGATGCTGCCTCGGAGGCATCGTCAAATGACCTCCCGCCTCCGCTCATTCGTGCCGACAACTACGATGCGCTCATATGCGCCGCGTGCGTACGGTCGATCCCCGTTGTGCGCCGGTACGCGGGGACGCCGGGGGCGCTCATGGTCGTGCGCGACGTTCCCGGCGGCCCGTGGAGCGTCATCGGACGGGAAGCTGAGAGCGGTGCGAACGTGGAAGTCGAGACGGTGGAGGCGCGGAAAGGCTTGGACACCGGCGTTGGGGAGAAGCGGGCGCGCTCGCCCACAAAGGGCGAGAGTGACGCGCCGAATGCGAAGCGAGCGCGTGTCTCGCCTGAGGCGTCGTCCTCTCCGGCGTGCCTCGCCCCGCCAGTGAATTCTCTCGCGCAACAGATTTTTGATAAGTCATTGAGCAAAATGGATGGTGCGGCTACGAGCTCGGGCGAGGAGGACGTGTGTGGTGAGGGCGACGTTTTTCTGACTGAGGGATTTCGGGACCGTTGGTGTCAATGCTCCTCGGTACGTGCATCTGTTCCCATATACCTTTTCCGTGCATCTCCTCACGCCCTTATGACAGTGCTTGTTATCATTCGAAACATACCCATGCCTGCTCGAGGAAGAAGAGACATACGAGCCCCCAGAGGATCCAGACTCCGGTACGTGAAACTGCTTGCATCAGATCATTTCAGAGCGCGCTGAGCATCAACGCGAGCATAGGTCTCTCCCTAGAGGAACTCGGCATGCGCGCTTTGCTGCGGCTGCCCCGCGAGCGCGCTCTAGATGGCATCAGGGCGTTCAACCAGATGCGGTGAGTATCAGAGTACACAATTCCTAGCCTGAATACTGACGGTGCCGCGCAGAGACGAGCTCATGAGTCACCTGCGTCCATTCGCCCAGGAGGGCAAGGAGGTCACGGAATCGGACATACGCGCGTTCTTCGAGGAACGCATGGCGGCAGCACGAGGAGGCGTGGGCGAGAGTTCTTGACTCAATACGATTGTAATCCATGTGGATAATTCGGAGACGTTCCAATTAACATACAACTGAGTATTGAGCCGAACTACACGGATCCATGTTGTGATTGACAGTTAATTTGTAGTAGTGGTCCACTTTAACAAGCCCATGCAGTGCGAAGAGCAATGGTATTTTGAAATTATGGTACTCTGAGAGAGCAAGGGGTAGTCTGAATTGAGTTGCCCACTGGCACGAAGCCAGCTTTGAAAGCCGTGGAGTGCAGTGAATGATAGACCCTACCTGCATTGCTGCCTTCTGTATGAATCTCTGACCCTGAGCCGTGTACAGCGCAGTGATACCTGAAATTCAATTGCACCAAAGATGTGTGCCTAAACCTGCCATAAATGCTAGATTATAGTGTCCTGAAAGGCACATGCATCAGGTTTAGATACCTGTTGCAGCGCTTGGTTAATGTTCGTTATTTGTTCGAAGCCGAACGTCTCACCAAAGTCATTTTCTCCGAGCATGCGAGGTCAAGCTCACCAGGAGCAACGATTCCAAAAATTGGCACATGCCGATAGCACAAAATGGTCTGAATCGGGCTATGCACGGGCACGAAGCTAAATGCATCCCGCGAACTGCGCTGAAGGATAGTCACCACCTACAATGCCGCACTCTCTGTGCAACCCCGTCTCGGGGAATCCGTCGACACTTCTCGAGCGACTGATGCAGGATCAGGAAGCAAGGGGTGTGCGCTCCTGATTAGTAGGAGCACAGACGGAAGCACCACGAGAGGAGTAATGCAGGCGGTTGACTGCCCAATCCCTGCAACGTGTTCCAAAGCCGCTAGGGGGGAGGGATAGTAGCACTTTTGTGCCTTTGGGGCTACACCCTCGTCCACCAGGCAACGCGTGGTTCACGAATCACGGGCCGACCAGAGGAGTCTACAGGTCCATCGCTGGCCCAAGATATCTTGGAGAAGTCCACGGCTGGGTTTCTGAAACGTCGCGCCGTCGTTGTCGACGGGACTCAGCTAGAGCCAATCAAGAGGGACTTGAACACTCAGACCGTAGCCCGCTCACTGGGAAGGTCGTGGGCGATAGTCTCCTGAGAGCAGACTGATAGACAGTTCCCTCAACCTACGCGGGCTGCGGATATCCATGTCTGGCGTGGGCGACGACCTGTGGGTGATGAGCCTCGCGGCATTGGTCCTGTCGGTAGATGCTCAGAGGTTGTCTCCCCTAGGCAGCCTACAATAGAGCGCCCTTTTTGATGGTCAGAGGATGGGCTCTCTAAAGCTCAGAGGTAAAACAGTGGCTTCGCCACGCATATACTTAGCTCAGACGCCCAGGACCCAGGTGAATGCCCTTTTTCGGCATCAGTCTCGACTAACCTGAGCGCTGCGAGACTTGTCCCAAGGAACAATTTGCTTGATTATACAGTATCAACGCATGAATACAGATACAAGGCTACGAAGACACGCTACACTGTTTCATTTCTTCCCTATCGTATAGCATTTCTAGAAACCAGCCTGCGCTGCCTCCCTCTCCGCAAGACTACCCCTCGGTGCCCATGCCTTGACATGACTGTGGTCCGGATCTGCTTCTGCAGCCTCAGGGTCGAGTGCGCCCCACGCTCCCGCGCCTGGTGTCTCAATCAGCAACTTGTCGCCCTTGCCCATCCATACCGTCGCCTTCCCCCCGATATTGATCTTCCGCGGTTTGAGCGGCTGCCGCTCGTCAGCGTCCTCGGGCAAGTCTCCGTCCTCCTTGCGGGGCTGCTTAACCCACGTGTTGCGTCCCATGGCACCAGGATTGCCGCCCTCCATGCCATATGGTTGGCGTGTGCGTCGCTGTTAAGTTAATGTCAGCCGGTTGCTCGATGTAATAGGTCCATAAGAGCTCACCTCAGAGAGGATGGACACCTGCAGGCCCTCCGTGAATTCGAGCTCACGCACGACGCCGTCACCTCCACGCCACTTCCCCTTGCCGCCCGAGCCTTCACGGATCGCGAACTGGTGAACGAGCACGGGGTAGCGCCGCTCGAGGATCTCGACATCACCAATGCGAGTGTTGGTGATGTGCGTGTGGATGCCTGATGTTCCGTGCCAGCCGGGGCCTGCGCCCGAGCCACCGGCGATCGTCTATAACATCCATGAGCTGCAGTGCAAGGGACAATGGGGAAAAACATACCTCATAGTATCCCCACCCGACGACGTTGTTTCCATCCTTGTCCTTCCCACCGGCTCCGAACGTCAGGTTACTGTCCCACTCTATCAGTGCCTGTATTCTGACGACGCCAAGGTGGTTCATACGCACTTGGTACAGCCCTGGCTCGCGGCGCATGCGTGGAATGCTTTGAGCACGACATCCACCAAGCGCTGCGACGTCAGCACGTTTCCACCACATACGGCTGCGGTGCGCGAAGGGGAGAGGAGCGAGCCCTCTGGGATCTTGACCGTGATCGGTACAAGGCAGCCCGCGTTAAGCGGGATGTCCATGTCCAGCATCGCGCGCATGCAGTAGATCACAGCCGAATGTACAACAGAAATCGGCGCGTTCAGGTTCCCTCGGACCTCACAGCCCGTGCCCTCGAAGTCACAGATCGCAGATCCGTCTTCTTCGTTGATCTCCACGCGTAGTTGAATCTGCATGGTAAATATTAGCGTCGAAATGTAAGAAGTCGACGATGGAGATGCAACGAACCGGAGAACCGTCGTCAAGATAGTCGATGGCTTCAAGGACGTTGGTGCCAGCGCGCTTCACGACATCCTTGAGAAGATTGCGCACAGAAACCTCCGCGTTAGCACGGATGTGATACATGTATTCCTGAACGGTCTCAAGACCGTAGTCATCGACGACTGCGGTTGGTTAGCACGGAAATATTTGGGTATATTCGCTGAACTTACTGGCTTGAATAAGCTGAATGCCCTTGTGGTTCGCCGCGATTTGCTGCAGGATTCTCGTCAGTGACCGAATTAGTCTACATGCCCACACAGTCAACTTACGGCCTTGAGGTCACTCTCGACATCCTTGATGTTCCTGCAACCCGAGCTGCCAGGATACTGCGCGGGCTTATTGACCATATACTCCACTAGACCATCATGGTCATACACGCCGCCGCTCACGATCTTGAAGCTGACGATCTCCGCGCCCTCCTCGAAGATGCTCGTCGAAGTCGGTGGCATCGAGCCGGGCAGGATCCCGCCAATGTCTGCGTGGTGTCCACGAGACGCGGTGAAGAATATGACCTTGCCGGTCTGGGTGTCGAAGACAGGACTAATTATCGTAATATCGGGGAGATGCCTGGGGGGACGTGAGCGCGGGACGGTGGAATGGAGGAAAGGGCTTACGAGCCACCAGCAGAGGGCGAGTTGGTCATAAAGACGTCACCGGGCTTGAGGTCCTTGCCATGCAGTTGCATCTGGTAGCGAACGGCACTGGTTGTACATTGTCAGTAATCAGGAAAGGAGCAGATCGGCGATCATTCGCAAAGTGGGAGACCGCGCGGTGCTTCCTTCAGAACGCTTGCTAGCACATTATCGAGAGATTTAATAATAGTTCAGTGTGGTCGTTGAACTGCACGTTGTGTGACGTCAGGTATACAGACTCCGGGAAGCTTAAACAACACTGCGCTGAGCAGGAATGCCATTCGTGCATCAAGAACAGCATGAAATGACCCCGCGAGTATCATTGCGAGAACCACGACGATGGCTACCCTTGGGCAGCCTTTGCTCGCTCATTACAACCTTCTGTATACCGCCTTACGATGAGGGATTTAGGAAGATGCGCGTCGCCAGCTTCGATAACGTGAAACCACGATCAAGCGAAGGGAGCTCGCAAGAGATTGTGAGCAGTCTCCTGAGGTGATCTGCCCAACCATCAGATGTCCTAAGCCTCAAGGCGACATCGATATCAAGCGCGACGTCGCGATCGTGTGCTATGGATGGTGATATCATGTGCCTAATGTATGCAGCGATCATACACAACGCGAACGGCGGTACTCACAAGCTCATAGATCCCAAATGAATGGGAATGAAAGGCGCATTCGCCACCAAATCACCGTCCGGCGCGAACAACGCACAGGAAAAGTCCAGCCGCTCCTTGATATTGGTGCTAATCGCGGTCTGCTGCAAGGAGCGGCCCATCGCCTCTGCGACGCTCATGAACCGGTTGGCGAAGAGCGTCAGCAGAATTGGATCTGCCTTCTTGTAGTTCGGCGGGGTCGACGACATAGCGGCAGGTTTTCGAAGATATGAGAACTTGGATGCTTGCCCACCGTTCCTCGCAACTATATGGGCCACCGAGATACAGTCGAGTCAATCCGGCCCCTCTGTTCTTGAGAGCAGGCGCTGGCGTACAGACGGCCTTCCGAAATCATAATTGCGGGCGGCAACTTATCTCAGATAAGATGAATTCGCCGGATGTGCCGCATTAGGGAAGGAGATAGGAGCCCGCGCTCCTGACCGAAGTCCACAATTGACTGACTGAACTTGTTACTGCCCTGTTGCTTCATTGTCATGTATGGTCTGTACATTGCTGTTCACGGATAATCTTTTGCACCTCGCTACTTCCGTTAATGTCAAAGTTGAGGGGAACATGTTGTACGCTTAGCCTTAACACCTTCTTGCATTGCTAGAACTTTGTTGCATGCAAGAATTTTGAGATATTACAGTACAAACTAAAGTGCAATACTCTATGGGTATAGAGTATCTGTGAGCATATGCTTGGGTGAGCTTGAAGGCCAAGACGTAACACGAAACGAGTTTAACCATCGGGGCAAGCCGAGAACCACGTGGAGGCGATATCCATCGTCGCAAACTTTGCAGCTCGATTTTGTACCACCGTGCTTTCGGGAGGGACGATCCCCGCAGATGACTTGGACATTTTCGTCGCTTGTTTACTAGTAGGCCTTTGGAACAACGACGCACTCGGGAACACCGATCGCAACGCCAGGGCTTATAACGGTGCGTCTCAGACCTCGAACGAGCAACGACCTGGACAGTACTACTAGTCTTTATCGGCGCCTGGCTTTGACCTTCGTTGCGCTTCGCACAACGCTTGGACCGTAGGGTATACGACCAGAAGATCCAATAGTGATTCACAACCAATCAAAGTTTTGTTGCATTATTGTCTTCGCACCTACCACAATAGAACACTTCAGGTGAGTTATTCGACTATCGATCTACTTAACTCGGCCTTCCAAGGCCTGAGCTCCATTCTTAACATGAACCCACATAAGGTCTCCTACGTGTTCACCTATTGTGCTGTGAGCGTGTGTTATAATGGAGCATGTGACACAGCTTTGGCCGTCTGGCAGATGTCTACTGTCATCAAAACGCCGGGAGTTGCGTCATTTTCATACAGGCAACACGAACAGTCACCTTGAGGCATTTGGGATTTCCAGTGCAGGTCTTTGTTCTATCGCGTCCGTCACATGCCGTCGTGGGTCTACGATCTACCATCAATCTCGTCCAGACGTCGATGTTTCTCCGTTTTGTTATATCCTGTCGAGACCGGTGCTATGCGCTGCGAAGCACCTTCCATGAACCCAGCGTTGATCTTGGATGCGATTGCGCGTGATCGCATGTCTAGACTCGTGTTCGATGCTGGCAGCGCATTGTTCAACGATACCCGCAAAGTCTTCACCACGGCTGCCAAACTATACGATATTCTAAGAGACCGTGTACCTTTGCGGAGGACGATTTACATTGTAGCAAACCTTCACTGAGGTGAACGTCGGATGCCAATGCAAATACAGACACTCCTGTTCAACTGAAATCATACAATCGATTGCGACACCAAACAGTCTGCTAGGTTACAAGCTAACGATCCGAATCTTTGCAGAACATCTACGGCGTAGGGTATCTGAGACGCAACTGCGGAGAAAAGGCACATGCCTTGGAAGAAGGCTGCGATGCATCGAGGATGGGTATTTCGGGTATAAGGTATGTGGGTATATTGATGTGTGCGTGAAGGGCGTCTGAAGAAATCAATGCGAATAGAGTTCAGTGAGGAGTACCAAAGTGCAGAATCCCAAGACTTACGGAGGGAGGACTGAAACGAAGAGATCCAGAATCAAGGGAAGGAAAAGAAATCGCCTGGTAAGCATGCGTGTCTAGGTTCTTAGTGGTCGTTGTATCCACCAGAGTCGGCGTCGAGTCTCTCGGCGTCGAAACACTTCTCGGACCGGTCCCTCATATGTCGAATGAGCGCATCATTTCGCGAAAACCCACCGCCACAGATGGAGCATGGGAAGGGTTTTCGGCTTGTACTGGGCCTCAAAGGGCAGGAGAGGGCCATGTGTCGCTCGATATCATACCGTCTGATTGCCTTGTGTCCGCACTTGAGTAGGCAGGGATACTTCTTACGACCTGTGTTAGAGCACTTGGCTTTCTTCGCAGCGCAGGGTCTGTCGGCGCCGGCGTCGTCGGGCGCCTTCCGCTTCTGCTTGCGCAGCACCTGCTGCGTGGCCTGCTCGACATCGTTGGCAGCTTGCATTGGGAGGCGCTCTGATCGCTTGCTCATCGTCTTTGAACGCGTCTTGGTTCGCGCAAGAGCTGATGAGGAAGATGATCGAGGTTTCTTAGTGGCAGGTCGGACCGCAGTGGCAACGTGATTGTCGTTGCCAGTGGTGTGTACGTCGACGGCCTCGATGTAGCGACTATGGTGGTTGTTGTTGAAAAAACCGCCCGCGATGCCGGTGATACCGGCATTTGGTACGCTTTCTTCGTATTCGGTGTTTGTCTTTGTCCGCGCTCCCGCAGGGAGGCCAGACGAGACCAAGCTGGGTACGCGATGTGTACCTGAGCCTGATGGTGACGTGCAAGCCGCCATTGCGCGGCGGCTCGACACGACAACCCGTTCGTTCCACATGGTATATCGCTGTGTAGATGGTCCGGAGGTTGGTGAGGACCACAGCGGCGCAGGCGAGACTGTCCCACGCATCACAGGACTTGGTGTTTGTGCTAGCCCAAGCGTAGAGCTGGGCATGCCTGATAATCACGAGATAAGAACTTGGCCTAGCAGCTATATATATGACCACTTACCCTCCAAATATGCCCAGATATCTTCGTCAGCCTGGTTACCCTCGCGGATAAATTCACAGCCATGGACTTCACTGGGCGAGGTGACAGTCGGAAATGAGGCCGTTGGCATGTACATGGGGTACGGCATCCCTGACGTTGGTCGTGAGTATGGCCAATCGTGCTCTCTGAGCGACGATGAACAGTGAGGACTGTTCTGGATCGAGGTATAGTTGACCTCGGGGCATACGAACTGTTTCGGAGTGTCAACGGAGACATTGAACAGGATGTGATCTGACATACCTGATCCCACTCCTGATGACTTTGTTCATAGGCTGGGCGAGAGTAGGACAATTGCGAGAGGATGAGACTCGGTGGCGTCGGTGGCGAAGGATATGGGAAAGCGGGAGGTGACCCATATAGTTGGGAGTCGTCGAGGTGTGCGAAGGGCTGGGTTCTCTGTTGGTAATGCATGGTTGTGCGATAAGTGGTGAATGATACACGATGTGGGGTGAATTGCTCACGTCGCTCGCTTTATGACCAGGGAGACATGTCCATAAGCGCCCGGTAAGCGCTCACGTTGTCGGAGCAAGTGCCTTCCATTATCATGCTTGGAACCCCGCGCACAGCCAGATCAGCGGTATGTGGACTTCTTCAGAGTCGACAAAACCACCGACAGCTGATAAATGCAGACTAATTGGACAGAATAGACTGGTTGCCAGGCAGTGGGCCTGTTATTGTGGCGGCGCGGAGAACAAGACAAACCGTAAAAGGTGTTTCTCTCCCAGGAAACAGCTCTAGGACCCTCTGATTGACCACTGCGCACGCTATGTCCTGCGTGTGCGGCTCAGCTTCTCGGGCCCAAGCGTGTCGATGTCATTACGCGGAGCAGGCATCGCACTGATGCTCGTACCTTTTAACAGACCGCCCATCTCATTGACCTACGCGGAAATAGCTCAAGATTCCGACATGCACCGGCCAGCTCGACCCGCTAGACCCCGCTCTCTCCCAGCACGAGGCGTGTGGTGGACTCTCAGGGCTGAGACTTGCGTCTGATTTGGTGGCGTGCGAGTGCTGACTAGAGGGTCCTCACTACCTGCGTCGTTAAAGTATGCATACAGATTTGGATGGGTGGGTTGCTCTGCCTGTCACTTGGGATGAAGTCGTTAAACCCAGTGCTTCCAGCCCCAAACTTGCAATTTGTTTGAATCAATTGGCACATTTTGGAGCAGGAGCATTTTGTAGATTGGATACACGCCTTCTGTATCTCTTGTCTGATTGGGAAGTGATTCACTGAGATACATTATACATGTCGCATGTGTTCACAGTTCAGATAAGGCTTGGGTTGTCTGCCGCTCCCCGTGGAAGTCGTAGCGTGTCGAAACTCGGAATGAGATGTTTCAATCTTTCGTGGATAAATGCCGTCCAGACATGGCTGAATCGTAAGTATCAGTGCGAGCATTCTCGTATGCTGCACGCGGCTACCAGCGGCTATCAGACGATGCCGATCAAGCATATCCTTTTTGGGAAAGAACAATACCGCTAAAATACATAAAAGGCGGGTCCGCCAGCTCAGAGTCTTTCACAAACTTCCATGTCGCTGGATGCGACCGCGACAGGGCGAAAGCCGCGATGCTCACACCACACAGGCCGCCTCGCGCAGCATTCTCTGTGAGCGGGCTAAGGTCTGAGAATTCTAGTCTCCCTCGATGAGCTCTAGCTGGGCTCGGTCTTGACGGACCGCAGCGGCGTACCAGACAACAACCGAAGACTGCATCGACGAGCTGGCGCTCACGCTCACACGGAGTCACTCGTCGATCCTGAAGACTCTAGTATAGACGAGGGAGCAGTGGATCACGCTGACAAGTGTGGGGGGTTTGGAATGGTCGCGGGGACTGGGCGGGTCGCTCTGCGGAGTGGTATGTGGTCGTCTCCATTGTTGTGTCCAGTCTCGTGTGCTCCTCTTCGGAGGGCACATGCTATTGACGATCGCGCACGGCGCGCAATGCGCGACGTGGGTGTAGCCTCGTATGAGGTTTGGACAAGGTGGATGATGGCCGCATGCGTTTCCCGTCCTTCAGTGCACTTCGCGGCTCGCTGTTATGACGTCTGTCGCTTGCGAAACTCGATTCAGACTACTCTTGTTCTGTCGCGATGTCGTCCGAGCATTGGGTCAATTTTTTCCTATCTTGCTCTTCGTGAGCAGCGCCGTTTTGCCCTTCGCAGGCTAATTGCTATGTCCAATGTATATACGCTCAATGTGATCCAAGCGAAACTCTTTTTTGTCTGCGGACAGCGACGATGTCGTCCTTGAGCAATAGTAGTAAGTTCCCACGGCTCTGCGTCCCTTGTTTTGAATCAAAACAGCAATGACCATGGCTTCCAATCCACAGCACAGGTGGAACGAGGATGCTTCGCATCATACGTTGCTTTTGACCAGGCGTAATGATGGACTTGCAGAATGATGATCGGCACGTATATCAGGATCTGGTGCACTGGTGTTCCAAGCTGGACAATCCTTGACGCCAGGATTGGCAGATGTGGGACCGTGTCCGGCGTCTAATATTGTCTGAAACTCGGAATTCTCAAGGCTGCGTGACCGCTCAAGTAAGGTTGCAGGGCGATCTAAAGGTTGCTTAGGTATTTTTTCACGACCCTTCGCAGCACCATAAGCTGCTGGCGTTGCGGCGAGTGAATGCTTCGGCGCCGAGTCTTTTCTCCCGTCGTGGTGTACAGTGGCGTGGTACTTCCTGCAGCAACTCGGATCAGACGTGGAACAAAGTAAGCAGACTCATATTTTAGCGAACGCCGTATACGCACTATCACAGGTAAGGTAAGTTCATTGATATTGGTAAGAGAAACGCCATCGATGAACTTATGATGAACTGACTCAGCACGGTACTGAGATAGATAAGAGACTAGGCCTAGCAATCCCCGAGACTAGCGCGAGCAATAACGTGTATTCCTCCGCACTTTTCTTCTCTCCCGAGCCCAATGTCTTCTGCAGTCGTACCTAAGCTCTTTCAGCCAACCAGAGTGGGATCATACACTCTGTCCCACCGGGTAGTACTAGCACCTCTTACCCGATGTCGTGCGAACAAGGCGCATGTACATGGTGATCTAGCAGTAGAATACTACGCACAGCGCGCATCCGTGCCCGGTACGCTGCTGATTACGGAGGCCACTTTTATTGCCGCCAAAGCAGGAGGGTACGATTATGTTCCAGGTATCTGGAACGACGAACAAGTCGCGGCCTGGAGACGCGTACGTCAACTGCACTGTCTATTCGCTGTGCTAAAAATGTACACTTGCTGCGTCAGGTTACGGACGCCGTTCATGCCAACGGATCCCGTATCTTCTGCCAACTGTGGGCCCTCGGCAGGGCTGCGACTCCCTCTGTACTAGCGAAGGATGGCTTTGATGTCCACTCTGCATCTGACATCCCCATAGGCGACGGGAAGGCAAAGCCCCGCCCATTGACCGTCCCAGGTTGGCATTCTGCAATCCTGTCACTGATCGAGTCTCACTCACTCAAACCAATCGATATAGAAATTGAGGAATACATTCAGCTGTACACCACGGCTGCAATCAACTCCATTCGCGCGGGCTTTGACGGCGTCGAGGTGCACGGGGCGAACGGCTATCTCATCGACCAGTTCCTCCAGGACGTGAGCAACAAGCGTACAGATGAATACGGCGGCTCTGTAGAGAATCGCTGCCGCTTCGGGCTTGACGTCATCAACTCTGTGGTGAACGCTGTCGGTGCTACCAAAGTTGGCATCCGTCTGAGCCCTTGGGGGGATTTCCAGAGTGGGCCTCCACATTTGCAACCATGCGATCTCCCCTTGCTGACGCACTCTGTCAGGCATGCGAATGGAAGACCCGAAACCCACGTTCTCTTACTTTGTGTCGCGTATTGCCGAATCGCACCCCGAGTTCGCGTATGTGCACCTCGTTGAGCCGCGTGTCTCAGGCGGCACGGACCGCACGGTGCTTGCGCACGAGGTATGTCCGCCGGGTCCTTTTCCACACAACGCTGACCTTTTATTCAGTCGAACGACTTCCTGCGCACGATTTGGGCGCCGCGTCTGCTCATTTCAGCCGGGGGCTTCACGCGAGACACGGCATTAGAGGCGTCCGAGAAGACCGGCGAACTAGTCGCATTCGGCAGGTTGTTCATCTCCAATGTTAGCGCTGAGTTAGTCATTGCTATTGGGACCAGACGCTGATATGAATTCATGTAGCCCGATTTGCCGCTGCGTCTCGCGAAGAACCTGCCCATAGTCAGAGGTGATCGCAACACATACTACGTGCCCGACTCACCAAAAGGATACACCGACTATCCCTTCGTAGACGATGCGGCCGCAAGGCTGTAGACTAGAATTCTGGTTGTTGTATGGAATACCAAGATGAAACATAGTTCAGTCGTGCTGCACCTCGTCTTCGCGGCTGTGAGTTTGTTAATCACATCTCCTGACGAGAACTTTCATCCGTGAACAGTATTAAGCGCCACAGTAGCTAGCGATTGAGACCGAGATTTATAATTAGAGACACTTGTGATCTCAATGTAAGGCAACAATAATGCAAGCCTCTGGAAACAATGTATGGTACTGGCCACAATGGCGAGGGGGGCTGATCACGTTCAAGGGGAGAGAGAATCCAAAGGAGCAAAATGTGTGGACCAGCCGCTACAAAGGTGAGACAGTCGGTACAAAGGAGACCAATGCAACCCAGATGATGACGAGACTCACATATGAGCAAGGGGGGGGGGCCACATCGCCGACACGCTGTCCAATGCTTAGATTATGGCTAGCCACCTACTGCTGCCTACCCCCATCTGTATTCTCTGAAGATTTCATCTCTTCAAACTGCAGTGATCCGCCTCCCTCTTCCGCCAATTGGGTTTCCGTAGTGCGTTCGGGTGCCTGTTCCGAGATTGAAGGCAGTGAAGCTGTCGAACGAGAGGAAACAGCAGCCGGATGGCACACCGCCTGCTCGGCTTCTGATCTGAAGTCTCGGGTCAGTCAAAGGCAGGAGAGGTGGGAGGTTGGGAGAGTGTACAAGGGCAGCTCATGATCCGAGCTAGGGATTCGACTTCTTTCCTCAGGTGAGCACTGGGACAACGGCTCGGGTCTACTTGCGTGGTCAGTTCGAACAATTGAGTTGCATGACAGCCTCGTACGTGTAGAACATCTGACCGTTCCCGGGGACTCCGGGCCCGAGTAGATTTAGAGGGTTGTAGTCCATCTCGGAAGGTATCGATGATTGGGATCAAAACTTTGGGGAAGTTCGCGAAAGAGTTGACGGCAGAGACACAAAGAAACGTGACGATGGCCTTTTTATATCTTCACAATGGCCACGATCTGAACGTCAAGCTGTAGGAGGTGCCACAAGCCTTTTGTCGGTAGAATCGTAGCCGGCCGCCTATGCCATTGATACAATAACTTATCCGTGCCTCTCGTCGACGCTTGGAACAAAGCGCGCCACCACAGTCTTGAGCCGCGGCGTGGTCAGCAAGGGCCACAGCGCGAACGCCGAGTGAACAGCAGCCGACGCCCGGAGTCGAAAGGCCTCCGGAATGGGATTTGATGTGACGACGACGAATGCATTATGAACGTACCTGATGTTTCTTACGATATACAAGCAGCCAACATACGGCCCGAACAGCCTGGGGCTGGCAAAGAATACCTTCAAGGCAGACCGAGGGATATGGTTAGCATACAGTCGCGGCATCCAACAAGTGCCGTGGACTGAATCATCAAGTCTAGCATGGCCCTAGTTGCCATCATTGAATTTTGTTACTGTGGCGTCCGAGTCGATCCATCTAGCAAAAACAATCTCGCAGCCAAGCCAGAAGGGAAATGTTTTGCTTGCTGCTGATCCATCGCATCCCAGTGCGCGGACCACCTAACAAAGTAAAAGATCGCCATACCCAGGCATGCCCCACCGGCGACGCCCACCATCCTGTTCCCTCCCGCTCCCGCTCGCAGCCGCGATCCTGGCCAGAACCTCCGCCCACGCCTTCGTACAGGCTGTATGGCTTCTCGGGGACACGCATGTCGCCCTTCTTCTCGCGCGCCCGGTAGCCCGTGGCAAGCAGCGCGAGGTGCGCCGCGCGTGCGAGCCAGTACCCGGCGGGCTCCTGGACGCTGTCGACGACGGCAAGCAGCGCGTAGACGCTGCCTGCCACGCCGTGGCAGAGCCCCACGCCCTTCCGGAGCAGGCCGCGCGTGTAGACAAGCTCGCCGCCGCGCTGAAGCGCAGCGACGATGCTGTCTGTCGTAGTCGACGAGACAGCCAGCTTGGAAGACGTGGAAGCGCGTGTGAGCAGCGTTGACAGGAGTATGAGCACTCCGGGGGCGCCGTGACACCATCTGCGTCGTTTGTTGTTAGCCTCGAGTTATAGCAGGTTCGCAGAGACTGACTGTACGAGCGCGTCTCCGTCCTCCACGCTCACGCGTTTGGCCGTCCTGCTGGTCGCCGCGCCGCCTGCTGCGTAGTGCATGTGGCGGCTCGCCTTGGTTGGCCAGTTTCCCAACGGCTCCTGTATCGCGAGCAGCCACTCGACGGTGCCCGTGATGTCGGACCAATACGGGGCGATGATGTGCGCCGGCGCACATATCAACACCTGCAGGATGCCAGCTATATGCATCGATGACTCAGCGCCCCTGTCCACGCGCGACGGTGCATGGGTACCAACCCACGCCATGAGCAGCACCGAGATACCTCTTGCCATGCCAGCTCCACATCAGCCGGGGCGCCCTCTGCTGGGTTTCGGCATCGAGCTCCTCTGCGTAGATGCTTGCGCCGAGCCACCCGCGCCTCACGATATCGCCCACGAGCGCCTGGAGATTCTCGTCGGAGTAGAGCTGCGAGACGCCCCACAAGAGCGGGTCATTTGTGTCCTCAAGGTCTCCGAGCGGCGCAGGAAAGGAGAGCTCCGATCGGAGCCACAGAAGGGCGTACAGCAGGCCGGCACGCCCGTAGAGCACCTCGGACCCGCCGTCGTCGCGCGGCTCGCTGAGCGCAGCCTGTATAGCACTGACGATGATGCGGACGCAGTCATCAAGGAGCTCTTTCTCGGCGGGCTTGATGGGATCCTCGACATAGTCACGGATCCAGTTTGCAAGGATGAGTGCAGCTTGGCCGACAGTGGTTTCGAGAAAAGAGACCTTTGAACCTGCTCTCGGAATGGATAAATCTGATTCTGATAAAGAGCTGAATTGCGGGGAGGGCAGCTCTACATCCGGCACGAGGGAAGACAGCCTCAGGTCCATGAGGACAGTACCTAGACAAGAGAACGAAGTGAAGGAGACCATGGTAGTCGAATGCTATAACATACCTGCTATGCCGGTGTATACACCAGGCGCTCGCGTTCTGTGCCTATGGACACGCTGAGCACCTGCGATCAGGGCATCCTGAATGTCGACTCTCAGCGCCTGGAGGTTTGTCGGCGGCTGGTTCGAATGGGGAATGTAGCGATGTGTTGCCATCTGCAAAGAGTAGGGCTCAGGCGTGAAAGGAGTTCAGAATGGCTGGCCTTTCTGACCTATGTCACGAGATGAGATGCTTCCATTGGCAGTGAGCGCGAACGAACGTTCTGGGCAAACTGACGTCAGACGGACTGGTGTGCACACCTGATGTCTGAATATTGCTCCTCACCAGCACTAAGAGCGTGGGCACGGCACCAGCGCTATTTATCGCCTGTACTCGGCCTTACGATAAAGCCGACACAGGCTGATATGGGCTTCTGTGCGCGCTCGTAGTTGGCCCTCTCGCAAAGGCCAAATATCACGTATCGACAAGATACCATCTTACAGACCACGGTTTCACCTCTTCACATAGTGAAAGTTGTTGTTGGCACTGGTAGCGAACGTGCCTCCCGAGAGCCCCCCATCATCCAGCTGAGAGACAGCCAGTTGTATAAGTCGAGATGGGCGAGTGACGTTGCACTTGCCACGAAATCCTGAATTTGACTGGAAAGTGACGCCGACGCCGACGTGATTGATTGACGCCTGGCGCCTGTCCCGCGTCGCGTTCAGTGACGTCAAGCAGCAAATCCGACCTGGAATCGTCAGCTCACAACACATCTGTATGATCTGTGCATGTGAGTATGCGCACATCTATGCCTCTCATAGCTTTTCAAGCAAGTCGACGTGTTCCACCTACGTCGGCGAGATCAGCATATCTTGCACGACCCTTCACATCGCCCGCTCTGAAACCTCCCTTCCTTCAGCCGATTACGAATGCCGGGGGAGGGGGTTCAAGTTTGCCGCGCCCGTGCGGCGTGGGCGTACCACCTACTAGTAGCGCCACAAAGGTACCAAGTATCACTCTGCATGCATTTACCTCTCGCTGCAGCTGATTCTGCCCATATATGCGTCACATACTGGCTATACATGTCTGAGACATCGCAGTCTAGGTGAGTTCTACCTCCGACCCTTCTGCTGCGGTGCTCTATCTCCATGCTACATGCTCATATTCTTGTGTTCGTTGTATGCGCCCATACGGTCCTCCAAGGGCATTTCCTACTCTCCCTCTCTTCGCATGTGTGCGCATTCTCTTCTGTCATCCATGTCATTGTCACTCATGGTTCGTTGTATTTGCGCCCATGTATTGACTCTATCCGCTTACAGCTGACGTCGTTACTGAACAGGAAGTGCCGATGTCATAAATTGATTGACTTGATCGCCTGCTAATCAGCATCTTACACCCTCATAACCCGTGCAGCCTTCCAATCAATCATCTAGCAGCTGATTAGGTGGCTGCCTGCTAAATCCGCATGCTGTATAGCATCTGCCGAGAGCGTCCCCCTTCGGACCTGTCACTCGGAGCTTCGCGATGTGAGCTGACATTGATTGTGTGCCAAGCCGCCCACTATGGCATGGGATCACAGTCAAGCAACGCCTGATTTCATCCGCAAGCTGCGTCTGTGGCTCAAGTATTAGTGCCAGCCGTGCCTTAAGGTCTTGTCCGCCTTCACATCCACAAACATGCTACTGTCTATCCGACGACATCCGGCCCCGCGGTGGGAGCGTCGTCTGTTTGATCGACCTTTCAGGTGGTTCTCCGCTTGTCCCCGACGGGTCGGGTACCCGAGGGGAAGCGAACCACATGCGTTCATGATCAACTAAGCTCAGTAATGGAGAACACCCCCACAGAACTACGACTCTGTGCTATTTATATCCTGGTCTATTTTTTGCTGATCCCTCTTACTGGCTACAAAAAGCGTTGACGACGGGCAACGCAACCGACGTCAGACAGGGAAGACGAGAGGAGCTCGAATTGAATTCAGCGATTGAGTTCTTGTACATATGCATGCATATCAAGCTTGGTGACGGCGGTGGCGGCCGCTCCAAGAATAGAGAGCTCAATAGATCAGACGCTCCGCTGTGGGATAACCCTGAGCATCATGGCGCCACTCGCATGCTGAACGCCAAGCCGACGCCCGAGCAGCCTCTTTGGGAAGTGCATCGGGACCGAGAGAAACCCAGGCGAATCCAGGAAGGCTGAGACGACGGCGAGACTGGGCTTCGGAGGTCTTGGGACAGCAGTCGCTAGCGAGAATTGATGGCGGAGCGTTGGTGAGACTCTCGGGGCAACTCGGCGGCAAACAATCGTGGGTGACCGCGTGTTCCGTATAAGGCGGCATACCGGCAAAACACTGTCACATCGCCCGTTTTGTCACTCGTTCCTTCTCCTTCCAACCACCCTCAAACCCTCCGCGTAACCGCGTCTTTGCTCCGTCCTCCACACTCCTTTTCAACGCTCTCAGGACGCGCTCCTCGTCTTTCCTCGTAGACGCATTACTTCCCCGTAATTCTCTCGGTCTACACTAAACGGACTGGTCACGCACGCACACGACTCCTCAAGATGATTTCCCGCCAGCTGTCGCTGCTGGCTCTCACTCTGGCGGCGGCCGCGCCTACAACACTCGCGCAGACACATTCCCCTGGGTCGATCGAAAATGCTGGCGACACGCTTGTCAGTGCTATGATGGTAAGTCTGCATGTTTTCGCTCGCCAATGTGCGATGTAGCGCCGGGGGTCGCGCAGGAAAACTTGTCGGTCTCGGAGGGGTGGCTGGTCTCTTTCTGGCTCACCGTTGTCCCCTGTCTCGCCTCCGATGCATTTCACGCGACCACGTTTTTAGCGCCGCGGCCGTTCGCCGTCTCACGCGGCGTCTTTTCTCCGTCGTTACCACCGCTTACTCCGCGCCGTAGATGTTTTTGGGGACCGAGGAGACTGTGTACATTCTCGACAAGGCAGAAGGCAACGCGGCGCAGGTCGACGGACACCCCGCATGGGGTTCGGCATACAACATCGCCGGCCGGACGGCGCAGACGATGGAGGTGGTCACCAACACGTTCTGTGCGTCAGGCATGCATTTGCCTAATGGCTCCTACGCCACGTTTGGTGGTAACGGTGCGGTGTCACCGGGTGGTAACATCGGTGATGTACTGGCGCCGGGCGGGTATTCCGCCAGCTACGATACGACCTACCACGACTACTCTGGCTCAACTTCCATCCGTATCCTGAACCCGTGTGCCTGGTCGGACCTGTCAAACACCGAATGCCAATGGTTCGACAACGCGACGCTGCTTCACATGCAGAAGCAGCGATGGTACTCGGCCGCGGAGCCCCTCGGAGACGGCTCGATCGCAATCATTGGTGGTTTCGTGGAAGGTGGTTACATCAACAGAAACTACCCGAATGTCGACCCGGCAACCGAGGGTGGTGCGGCTGAGCCCACATACGAATTCTATCCTAGCAAAGGCCCGGCGCAAACGATGCAGTTCTTGATCCAGACATCTGGTCTGAACGCGTACGCACACACGTACATGATGCCATCCGGCAAGATGTTTGTGCAGGCCAACGTCTCGACTAGTAAGCCTTCGTAAATTTGTTATTTCACCGTGCTCACAACGCTGTTCCGCTAGTGCTCTGGGACCCACTAACAAACGAGGAAACAGCACTACCACCCATGCCAGACAACATTGTTCGTGTCTACCCAGGGTCTGGTGCCGCGGCTATGCTCCCCTTGACGCCCGCCAACAACTACACGCCCACAGTGATGTTCTGTGGTGGTTCTGACATGCCTGACTATGCGTGGGGCAACTACTCATGGCCGTTCATCAACACGTTCTACTACCCAGCATCCGCTAAATGCCACCAGATCACGCCAGAGCCGGTTGACGGTTCCGCGCCTCAATACGTCGAGGTTGACAGCATGCCCGACACCCGCACCATGGGGCAGTTCATCCACCTCCCCAATGGCAAGATGTTGGTTGTGAACGGCGGCAAGAACGGGACTGCCGGATACTCGAAGATGACCCTGGAGACTCCCGAGCTCTCGCAGATGCCGTATGGAGAATCTCTTGCTGCCGGCCCGGTTGGGAAGCCCGCGATCTTTGACCCCACAGCGGCCAGCGGCTCGCATTGGTCTAACGATGGCTTCGACACCTCTAACATTGCTCGTCTCTACCACTCTTCGGCCATCCTGCTCCCAGACGCGTCTGTTCTCATTGCGGGCTCCAACCCCAACCTCGATGTCAACACCAGCGCCTTCTTCCCTACCCAGTACCAGGCTGAAGTGTTCTACCCGCCCTACTTCTCTGCATCCACTCGTCCCACTCCCCAGAACGTTCCGACGACCTTGTCCTACGGTGGAGATGCTTTCGACGTCCTCGTCCCGTCCTCTTCGTACTCGGGCGATGCGAACAGCGCGGCTGAGAACACCAGTGTCTGGCTCATTCGCCCCGGGTGGACCACGCACGGGATGAACATGGGACAGCGGTCTATGCAGCTGAACAACACCTTCACCGTGAACCAGAATGGCTCAATATCTCTTCACGTTGCTCAGCTCCCGCCCAACCCGAACTTGTTCCAGCCCGGCCCGGGCTTGTTGTTCGTCACGATGTCTGGCATTCCCAGCAACGGTACGATGGTCTTGATTGGCAGCGGAGAGATTGGCACGCAGCCAACTGCTGCCGTCTCCACTCTGCCTCCGAGCGTTCGCTTGAACAACGTGTCGGGATCAGGCTCCGGCTCCGCCAACTCAACCTCGACCGCTAGCGGCAGCGCTGCGTCGGAATCAAGCAGCGCGTCCCACACGGGGGCGATCGTTGGAGGCATTGTCGCTGCCGTCGCAGTCGTTGGAATCCTTGGTGCGGCTTTCGGTGTTTATATGGCCCGACGGAGACGCACCGCCGCGCAGCAGAACCCGGGGTCGATGTACGCCATGTCCTCGGCGCCCGGCGCGGGCGGTGCTATGGCCAGTCGTAACTTGCGCGATTCTGACTCGAGTGCGTTTGTGCCCCTGCAGCAGGATAATAAGAGCACGTGGGACGCGACGGCGAACGCGAGCAACGTCAGCCTGTCGCCGTACCACGACGACATGCGCTCGGCGGGGCCGAGTGGCGAGTTCGACCCTTACTACCAGAACGCGCCTCGTCAGAGCACGTCGCAGCGGCCTCGGTATTGACCAGGTGAACTACCTTTTCTTCGACTACGGACTATTCTTTCTCGTTCACATATGTGTGTTGCACGCTCCTTCAACGCCGCCGCTTCTTTGCTGGTGGGCTGGGGATTGCTGACGGGATTGTGAGTCCTTCATATAGATTGCGCGCGTCTGGTACCCTTATTCACCCTGCTTGCTTCTCTCTGTATACCCGCGATCGGCTTCTGGCTTCTGTTGTTTGCTTCCTGTAGTTGTGCGCCTCGACGCTTCACATTCTTCCGAGCATTTTCTCTTCTCCCCACCGGCGTGGGCGTGGATCACTTCTTTGCGACGCACATTTTTTTATAATCTACGTTGTTGGCTCATCCGTGGTTCTTGGGACAATTCATCATCACACATCCACACATGTGAGGACATTTACTACCGAATGTAATGCCATCGAGAGACACACACACTGCAGCGATTGTGCGTGCCACGTAGATGATGTCAAATGTACCTCTCCTTCTCAACGTGATGGTTGTTCTGCGCCATCATCGACCTCGCGTAAGATTGACATTGACAGGGGATGACCACCCGTCGTGCTAAGTACCGCCTCATATGTCATTATCGTATGTAGACGAAGCTGTGCTATTTCAACTGAGCAATATCGCATGCTCCCGATTCACATGGTTCTCACCGTGCGGTCTGTTAGACAGATCTAACAATACAGAAGGTGACCTATTCGAAGAGACTACCGAAGTCTGGTCTGACAGTCTTTCGCCTCCATGCTACTACCCTTCGCGACCCCACAATCCCCCCATGATGGCGACTGTGTGCATAGCGCGAGCCCGATGCGTAGAAGTGAACCGTGAAGTTACAACGCGCTTCGAAGCCAACAAATTGAATGTGCCCAGCTGAGACCAATCGTCCGGAACTCATTTGACAATCGGGTTGACGCCCCGGGCAGCCAAATAGTCCTTTGCCGCAGCGGCACTCTGCGCGGATGGTTGAGAGGAATATATGCGATGATGTACAGGGAAACTGACCAGCCCCTTGATGAGTTCGTAGACGCTCTTGTCGTGATATCGTAGACCCGTCGCCGGGTCCGTGTATGGCCCCTACAGTGACGGTGTTGGATCGCTCTGTTGTTCCACATGACTACTCACCTCGAGCCCAGTAATGTCACAGTACCGTCGTTGCGGAAGGAGGGATGGCGGCGCCTCGATTGAAGCGTCTTGCATGTTACATTAGTCGGGGTCACGGAGGCGGAGGGATGGAAGAACACACTGACAAGTCGGCATCTCTTCCTCTGGCGTGCTGTCTCCTGGCTCGCCGTCTACCTCCATCGCGTCCTCCTTCTCTTGTCGTCTTCTCTCCCGGTCCGCCCGTTCTCGGTCCCGCTCGTGCGTGAGGACAGCCTTGAGGTTCTTCGTCCTTCGGTTCACGTTCTTGGTGTAGTGGGGGTTCTTGAACGGCCGCGGGAGATGCATGTAAGAGAATTGCTCCACTAGCGACTATCGCCCGCATGTCACACCAGTGGACTATGTCACTGAAAATGAGCCTACCATGACCGGAGGCGTCGGAGAGTCATCGCTGGTTACGACGATGTTCCTCCGCTTGGTTGTACTACCCTTGGGAGGCCTGCCGGCATGCGTGAGGAATGGCAGAACAGTTCTATCGGAGGATATGATGGCTTACATATTCGCACTATGTTGTTCGTCTGCCTAGGGTAAAGAGACTTAACATCTACAAGTGCTACAAGTCCCTGAACAGCAAGATGCGTGTCGCTAGCAGGACTGAGGCGGACAAGACGCGCACCGTGTGCGTACCGCGTCTGATGTATCGCGCGCACGTGACACTGCATGAAGCGGGCACGAAATTTCGGTCTTCCTGCAAAGTTCTCTCTGGGTTCACTGTTTTGCTCTCCAGCCTCCAGAACTCTGAGAACACGCTCGCTGAAAAATACTGATTGCAATTGCTGTTGTGATATTCTGGCGACAGTTGACGGAACGTGCGACTTAAAGGCTAGCCAATAAACACTGGTCTGTATCGCGACATGGACGCACTATTCGCGAAGGGCGATGCATTGGGGCCTGTGCAGAAGAGGAGGAGGATCTACAAGGATGACTCTAAGAGACGACCGGAGGCGACGTCCAAGGCGGGCCCCTCACACGACCGTACCCTGAATTCCGTCTCCCTCCACACATCAGTACCAAAGTCTTTGCGCCAGACGTCACCACCTTCGGAGAATATCCCGAAGTATTCTCATATACAAGACAGCAAGCTGCGCACGAAGCTTACCAGGCAGTCAGTGCAGTCCGCTCGCAACAGAGCATTGGTGAAGGATGCGGAGCTTCTGCTCGCCGAGGAAGTCGGATTGATTGAGGTGGAGGGGGATCTGGAAAAGACTTGGAGAGTCGGTCAAGACGAGGTCGCTCAGGCCGCTGGGCAGGAAGCAGCAAAAGGCCGAAAAGAGTGGACCCTAGACGGCGGCCCGTACCGATCAAGATATACACGGAACGGAAGGTGTGTCAAATGATTCAAGGACAAGTTATTTCGGGGGGGGGGACGAATCATGTCCAAACATGCGATCGCTCTGTCTGCGTGACTGGGCCTCCGTCTACAATGCATCCGTCTCACCAAGCTTGTGCGTAAATGTCTAACATCAGTTTTCCAGACATCTGGCTGTAGTCGGAAAAAAGGGTCATGTCGCTACTTTTGATTGGCAAGCAGGCACGCTGCACGCTGAACTTCAGCTACAAGAGACATGTCGGGACATAACGTTAGTCACAGAGTCGTGCTGTCGACGGTAATTGGTGACGCCTTCTGCACACAGGTTCTTGCATGACCATTCCCACTTCGCCGTAGCGCAACAGAAGTATGTATATATCTACGACCGCGACGGAGTAGAACTCCATCGTCTCAAGTCACATATTGAGCCGACAAGGCTTGAGTTCCTCCCTTACCACTGGTTACTCGCTAGCGTTGTGCGTAAACCCTGGTTTGCTCAGGTAACTCTGCTGACCCCCTTGCCAGGGTAATGCGGGATACCTAAAATATCAAGATACATCTACCGGCCAACTTCTCGTTGAACACCGGACAAAACTAGGTGCCTGCAACACGATGGCCCAAAACGTACACAACGCCGTGATCCACCTTGGGCACCAAAATGGCACCGTCACGCTATGGACGCCCAACCTCCCACACCCTGCTGTCCGCCTGCTAGCGCACCTTGGGCCCGTCGTCAGTATCAGCGTGGACCCAAGCGCGGGTGGACGCTATATGGCTACTGCGGGGCAAGACGGGACGGTCAAGGTATGGGATTGTCGGAATTGGAAGGGCGCGGTGCGACAGTGGTCGACGAGGGGCGGAGGAGGGGAGCTGGAATGGAGTCAAAAGGGTGCATTAGCAGTCGCAACAGGCGGCAGCGTGAACGTACGCCTTTCCCGTCGTTAATGTGGAGTAGGACTGACAGCGTCGTGTTTTCAAACTAGGTTTACTCCAAACCCTCCATCCAGACGCCTTTTGCGGCGACGGTCACGCCTCCATTATACCTCACTCACCCGATACCACACAGGCCGTTGACGTCGGTGCGGTTCTGCCCGTTCCATGATATACTCACGGTTGGCCACACTGCGGGATTGTCGAGTGTCCTTGTCCCGGGCTCTGGGGAGCCGAACTTCGACTCGGCCGAAGCAGATCCCTTCGAGAACAAGAGAGCGCGTCGGGAGAGAGAGGTCAAGGGGTTGTTGGACAAGGTATGCTGAGATATATTGTCTTTTTCGGAGCTTTGTGCCTGATCTACTGTTCGACTAGATCCAACCGGACATGATCGCTCTTGACCCCGAGTTTATCGGATCCTTGGCGCCACCGCCGAAATTGTCCACCGCTATCGATGGGCAAGCAGACATTCCGTTCGCTCGCCTACCCCGACTCGAACGTCTGCGCGTGCAAGGAAAGGCAGACGAGACGGAGGAGGGAGACGAGCAGGAGGCAGAGGATGGCGAGGAGGGGACGAAGAAGCCTACCAGTCAAGAGAAGGAGAAGAAAAAGATGCGCGGCAAGAACAAGAGTATGAAGAGGTCAGTACCACATATTCTAATCTCATTTGCTCATCGCTCAATCCTGTGTCAGATTCCTTCGGAAACAACGCAAGAATGTTATCGACCCTCGTGCTGTACGTGCATTCTAGACCGATCAGTGCACGCGATGTTCACCAGGTCGTCTTCACAGGTTGCCGTCAAGACCAAGCTAGAGAAGCTGCGAGATGAAAGACGGAAGGCGAAGATGGCAGCCAGCGGTGCTGTTGAAAGTCAGAAGCCCTCTGCCTTGGATCGTTTTAAGCGGTCTTCATAACAAACTTAACGCTGCGCGATTTCCTGTTTGTTATATCTTGAAATTATCTACACGGATTACAGGGGCCATTCATACAGGCGTGCACACGGAATAAGAAGACCGTCAAGGCAGTTCCTAAATTTTCGATGCACTTTGAGTCTACACTGTTCTTGTCTCCCATTGCACATTCATGGAATAACATGCATCCTCTGGTCGCCTTGAAACCTCAGGGTCCCCATCGATGGTCTCCGTAGATATGGTAGATGATCGCCAACGACGAGGAGGAAACAGAGGTACGGGCATGGGGGCGCCGTTGCAATATTCCTCGACGTCGACGATATCTTTGTCAATCACCTCATCTCCAGCTCCCCGGGTCAGATGCGCTAAACTACGGGAGTCTATCATGATCACTTCTGTACCCCGATAGGGAGCCAGTTCTAATTCTTGTGCCTGTTGCTGAACGCGTTGGCGACGTCGGCTTGCCTTCTGAATGTGTAACTGCATGCAAATCGCGTTAGACCTTGGCTGCCAAGTACAGAAAGAACCCACCATGAGACGGCTTCCCAGGATAGAATTAGCGACTATGACGACGCTGAGATGGTCGGATGAGTGGCATTTGAGTACAAAACGGACACGAACATACGGGAGGAAAGCAAGGAACAATGATGCGGCCTGCACAATATAGGGCATGAGCATTGGTATTCTCGATGTGAAGACGATTCTGCATACGTGTAATCCCCAAACGACGAAATTCATCAGTATACTGCCGAGGGCGCCGCCGAAATAAATAACAGAGTCTCGCAAGAGTACTTTCATGAGATATGGGCTTGATTTGTCGCTCAGCGATTGTTTGATAGACATCGCAAGGGATAATGTAAAGAGAATACTCTCGAATATCAGGACAGGTATCCAATAAGCCCAAGCATATGATGCAATGGACCCTGGAATGCAGCCGGTCACCTGCTGTGTGACGGCGGATATAAGTAGGAAATCAGGAAAAGCTGTGAAGTCACAATATAAGTCTACTAACTTCTAGCTCGTTGTAAGCGTACGTTTTAGGTTGTTAAAAATCTTCACCAAGAGGACACATTCGATGGACAATTCGGCAGCGAAGAGTGTACACAGTATAAGCAAGAGCTTGCGGTTGCATCTGTAGATGACGTATAATCTCAAAATGAGGATGCCTAGCGCAACACGGTGAGTCGCTGAAGGGCGGTCTAGATGGCTGGGAGATACCCTACCGGATATTGATATACGGGAGATGATGGTGGCGTACATAAACCATCTCCACCAAAATGTACAACTATTACAAAGATCATCAGAGTGCCTTGATGGGCACTGAACCATACTTACAACTATATATAGGCAAGGTCAGAGAGATGCGTCACAGCATTGGTGTGAATTACGCACAGGTACGTCCGTAACATTTGTCGTCGCCAGCGCTAACACATCAACAGTAAATGGCTGGATGAACGAAATTGGATGCAATCTGACGTACTGATGTTGTCAAACCTAGGTGAGGTCAAGCCGTGAGACAATGAATGGGATATCACACGCGCGCAAATAAACTGACACTAGATTCAGTAGCCTGTGCGAGGCCTGAATCAATCTCTTGCATTGACAGTTGGCATGAACTACTCACGGCCAATACCGGTTCTGTCGACGGCGTACAGCATATGTTCAACACTTGTCTGCACAAATAAACCAATAACGGGGCTCACCAGCCAAAACAGCATTCGTGTCCACACGAAACGACCTCGCCACATATACAGAATCTGGGTCATATCGATGTCAGGACTATCATCTCGAGACTCGGAGGATACGGCCCACCTCATCTCCGACTGTCAGAACTTGGGCCGCCGTGGCGTCATGAACATCCTACGACAGCATTATCTAGTGACAACTCACTGAAATCGTAGAGTATAAGGACCAGAGATGCCACTTGCGCACACGTCAGGTCAGAATTGCGCCTCGAGATATTGTAGAACAACCCACACCAAAACGACCTCGCCAATCGATAATCAGAGCCCAGATTCTGTATCGCAGGTAGAAAGCCATGAAGGGGTAGATAAGTTGCATTCATGTCGGCTATAAATGCGGGGCTCACGAAGTCCAGAAGGCGGGTAGAGGTACCGCAATCTCTGAAAACTATGGTTTTAACCTGTGAAGTTCACGGTACCAACAATGATATGAATGATAATCACGCTGTCCCATAATACACTAGATCACGATATGCTACACGATAACGGTTCATCTGAATTCAAGAGGCTGGACATGGCCTGGTATTTGAATGTTGTGGCCGCTCCGCATTTGAGGGTCTAACCTGAACGAGGCTGTGCTCTACCTCTTGCTGGAGAAGCTATCACAGTTGAGACAGCGTCAATCTTCCGAGATCTGACAGCTATTATCAAGGGAAGTGAACGGTCACGGCGCTGAGCGGAAACGAGTATACGTACGCGTCGTCATAGGACACGATATTACCGAGGGGACCGTAAGGATGGCATTGAAATTGCATCACAGACTACGCACGTCAAGCGGTGCACTGCCGCTATGATCAGGTCCCGGACCTGGGGGATGGAAATCATTAGCCAAGATGTATTCAGTACAGTAACAGGACACCGAAATCAATTCAAAATAAGCTACAAGTCGATACATCGAATCGAGAACATATCGTTCCCGAGTCTAGGTTTTGCGGATAGATTGGAATGCGAATGGTGATTCGTGATGACGCACATCAACAGAGCAGACCGCAATCTTCAGTGATGACACGCACATGTGCCAAGTACCTTCCGGATGAGCGATATGCTGGTGGCGCGAATGAAAATAGACGATTTCGCTGCTCACAGAAGTAGAAAATAGAGGAGTGTTGCCCTTAACAGCGCGCGGCGTCTCGTCAGACCAGCTCAATGTTAGTCAGAAACCGTCCGAACCCACATTATGTGAATGCCGTTAATTTCATACCATCAGAACACGCAGCAGACCCAAGAGGCTGCACACATCATGGAGAGCTGTCGCATGGTTCAGGACAATGCACTGTGCAATATCCTACACACGTACCTTTCCAACAATGAGCTGTGCGGAATAAGTATCAGATGAGGCTCATTCGCGCCGTGAAGTTCCTCTTGCAGCGTGGTGTGATTAAATTTGCTTTGGTACCAGTTCCTCACCCCTCAGCTGACCGGTATGGATGCCGTGGCTTTTCGTTTTGAATAGCTATGCACCTTATCGATTGCTGCAGCTATGAATGCCAGCACCAAGCATTAGCACCGCACACGTGCGTTTGTTTGTCCTTGGTATAATTGGCACCTGAATATGGCAAGCGTTGACATGGATCTACAATCGCGCTGCTCAAAGCACAGTTCCCAGGTAAAGAGCGTCCTCTAGCCTGCTCGCGGAGCGGGATGCGATGCCGAAAAAGTTCCTTGGAACCACTCGTGAAAAATCTTTAGTCCAGGCTCCCCCTGTTTGGCATTCACGCTGCAGTCGGAGGGCGAATTAATCCTGTGCTACTTTGCAAATTTAATCTACTCACCTCGGAGACAGCCCGTCTAACACGAGCGCCGCGGAGTCGGACCATGCTGTCTTCCTAGTTTCCTCTTGTGTTCCGCTTATCGCGATCGTCGTACTCCGTAGTCAAACAGAAACCCTTAACACGAGCACGCCCTTGTGTTGACATCCCGAGCCAATCTATACATTATTCATGCCGTTCTTTTACAACAATACAGTGAGGCTTCAGCTACTTCCTTTCATCTTCCACATACATACACACCGAAGGCACCGCTTACGCCGAGAGCTTCCCATGCAGGAGGGTCTTGAGGGTAGCACCATCCTCAGCGAACTTCCTGATGCCCTCGTGGAGCTTGTCGAACGCCATCTGATCATCGAGCAGCGCCCAGCGGAACTCGGCTTCGTTATCAACGAAGGTGACCTTCTCCAGGGGCTGACCCTGGGCCGCTGTGAATGAACAAGCATTAGGCGAGGATCAGAATACGATTAAACAAGAAGTACATACCGGCAGCAGAGTCGAGCTTCTTGGGGACGGGCACGGTATCGTTCTTGAGCTCCTCGAGCAACGGCGGCGCGATGGTCAAGAAGTCAACACCCGCGAGGGCCTTAATCTCGCCAGTCTAGTAATCATATAAGTATTGATTTTATCATGACAAACGCCGTGTAGCCGCAACGCACGTTACGGAAGGAAGCACCCATGACGATAGTCTTGTAGTGGTGTTGCTTGTAGTAGTTGAAGATCTTCTTCACCGACTGCACACCCGGGTCCTCATCGCCAACGTAGTCCTTGCCCGGCTTGTTCTTCTTGTACCAATCAAGGATCTGGGTGGGACATGAGCGCCTGACATTTACTCAATGACGTCATAAAAACCCCTACCCGACCAACGAAAGGAGAGATGAGGGTGACGCCCGCCTCTGCGCACGCAACCGCCTGCGCAAAGCCGAACAAGAGCGTGAGGTTGCAGTGGATACCATCGTCGCGCTCGAGCTCGCGGGCAGCCTGAATGCCCTCCCAGGTCGACGCGATCTTGATGAGGATGCGCTCGCGCTTAATGCCAAGGGATTCGTACAAGGCAATGAGCTCCTTGGCCTTCGCCTTCGTAGCCGCCTTGTCGAAGGACAGGCGGGCGTCGACCTCGGTCGACACACGGCCAGGGATGATGCTCAGAATCTCCTTGCCGAATTCGACAAGCTGCGAAAAGACTAAGCACCCCGCATACACTATCGCGATCCGATCGACTCACAAGGCGGTCCATCGCAGCGTTCGTTTGTTGGTCGATGTCTCCACCCTTGCTCTTACCGTACTTCACGGCAGCATCGATGAGGCGCGCATAGCCCGGCTTGTTTGCAGCCGCGAGAATGAGCGACGGGTTCGTCGTTGCATCCTGCGGCTTGTAGACATCAATGGCTACGATATCGGCGTCAGATCGGCTAGGTAACGTTTACGTATAGTGGCGGACATACACTCGAAGTCCCCAGAGTCGGAGACGACGACGGTCCCAGTCTGTTTGAGGTAGTCAAGTGAGGTGGTCATGGTGGTAGGGGGGATGTAGGATGGTGATGCGGTGGGGAAGGACGGCGATGAAATATAGGCTGGAGGTCGGAGCGTCTGATCACGTGAGTATTCCGCGCCTATCGGCCCGGCCAATCACGTTTCCCAGGCAGGCCCTACCCGCGGTATTGCTGACGCGCCGCTGACGCCTTCTCACTCATCGCGGAAGATCCAGCCGCTCTTGCTCGGTAAGTGTGAGCAAGGTCTGCACAAGTGTGGACCGTTCATATGTATAGACCCTTGCGTCGCACTTACAGCGCTCGGTAGCGTTCGGACAAGCATTTCCGTTGCAATTCTCATGCTCGGCATACGGTCTCACGAAGCGAGAGAACTATGGACCATTGCAGGACCCGGGTAATTGTATGTCATTCTGAATAGCGACATCGTCCTACAGGGTAAGCCCACGACGGAATAGTATAGCATAGGCGCTATACAGGAATCTCACCCCTGTCATGTCGTCCGGACAACATCGGAATATACTAAGCTTGCCAAGTGATCGCAAACATGAGCCAGCGGGGTCAATATTTACCAGGGATGCCTACCTTCACTGGTATGTAGGGCCAACTGCAGGAAATCAATGTTGAAATTACTGTATGATCGCACGTGCATTCGCGCCATGAACGCTGTCGAAGGCATCGTAGTCATGAGAAAACACGCAGATCGTAATTTGGTTAAGTCAAAGTAAGAGCCAATCAGAACACGCACCTGCAGGTATATGACTGCAGGGCTTATCCTTCATTCTCGTTCTTTGAGAGACGGAATAACACCCGGCTAATCCTGAAGCATGCGCAGCACACACGACCATTCAGTACAGAAGGCCAAAGCAAGCGAGAAGTAAGACCTGAAGCCTGTCGGAGCGTGGTGGTGCTATATGTGGGAGGTCCGATGCCAGTCTGATACGTGAGAGACGCAAGACTGGGAGCAGTCCTGCTTCTCGAAGAGCTATCTGAACATACATGAGCCGCCTCCATAGACCAGTTGACCAGAGCCACCTACAAGCTTGATTCCAATTGTAGTGCTCCTGCTCCAAGGCAGATCCGAGTGATTCAATGGCGTGGCCTTGCATCAGGGGCTTTCAGAGCGTCTTTGCCTGTACATACCGCTTTGAGATTGCCTGGGACCGGAGGTGCCAATCGAGGCCGGAAATCAGGATAATTTTAGGTATAGCAGCGAAAACGAGTCGCAACCTTCAAGTCCACTTCCAGATCAATGTAGCGAGTGATAAGAAGATCATGACTCGAAGTCTGGATCGAGACCGCCTGTGAGGATCAATATTCTAGCTCAGACTCGAATTCCAGAAGTCTGCATGAAAGACTGACTAGAAATAGAACAACGTCAATACAAAAGGCCGTCGGCAATACCAGAACGTCAACGCGACTAGGACGGGCATTGACCAAAATATCGTGCTGGGCGGAACTGGGCAGTCCCATCGAAGTTACTCGGCTATTGCAAACCGTGAGCCTGATCGAAGCGAATGCTGCACAGTAACATGCGGGTAAGAATCACCTTCTCTCATATTGCTTGACGACGAATACAATATCGTCTCCCGCGCTGGGAATAAATGCCTCGCTTGGAGGCATAATGTGGCAGGGCGGGTGATGATGAAAATGGACGGTTGGATTGCGAACTGAGTGGAGTGGATGAATGTGCACAGACCACACCGAGGGTACTTACCACAAGTCTGGCGGTACTTGGCTTCCCGTATCATGCTATAGACGACCACAAACTGACCCCATTTGCTGAGTTCCGTTGCAGAGTGCCGACAGGCGGAGCAACGTGGCTTGACGCAGCATTTGTTCCGGGCGTTGTACTGACTGGGTTGGATGCAGGAGGTAATGCATCGACAAGAACAGAGTCCAACGGCTACACATCTGGGTCCCACAGCTCCAGCAGTGGATGTCAGCGGCATAGGGACGTGCTATGGCGTTCGGTGTTGTCCCTTTGCCGGAGACACTGCCAGAAAGCAGTGAAGATTGCACGGACGAGTCAGCCCCTACCTCCGCTGAGCAAAAACCAGGAACGCCGTGGCAAGCCGTACGTGAAGGAACTTTCCGATGTCCTCGGCTGAGGTCATCAACTCCGAGAGAATGGGAGATATCGGGCATGCTATGCGGAACAGAGCGACAAGGTTGTCCGGAAGCACTAAAGTAGCGCTCCTTTAGTTGCCTCGAGGATGGGAGGGCGTCCGGTGTTATTGATGTCTGCGGCCGGCGCAGTGCGGAGTCTGGGATTGTTTGACATATCAAGCTGTTGCAGCTGAAGTGGCAGCATCAGCGCCGAGAGAAATAGGTACCGACGTACGCCCCAAGTGTCCTGAATAAAATTTAGAGACGCTCAGCGCCCATGCATACTGACCGCATTTGATCAGCGACAAAAAACGGCGCCCGGAAGGAAAGAAGGATGGAGTCGGACAAAAGCGGAATTCACCGCATGTCAGCCTTGGAAACGGCATTATTGGGACATGCTTCGCACTGCGGCACACGACCACATATCAATGAGAAGAGAATACTTAGCGCGTGGCGGGCCGTCCTGCACTAAAATCATTAGTGTTGATCCCGATGTTGTCGGTACAACATACCTCGAATAGTGGCAATAAATATCGCAATGGGGCGGAAAAGGTCTGGGCAGGTCTGCGAAGAGACGTCATACAATACCTGATGATCTACCTTTGCGTCACACCTCAATCACCGGGTAGATGAACTATGCGGCCACAGCCGCTAACCTACGATACACATCAAAGTGGGGGTCAAGGGAAATTGAGTAGGACCGAAGGCTTTATGCGATGTGCGTTCCAAATCGGTCATCGCCACCGGCTAGAGACTGAGCACAGGTTAGGACGCAGGAGTTGTGAACGAGGTCAAGACATCAGATCCCGACTTACATGCTGACAATTTGCTCCCGCGTCGGTCATTACGGTGTTACAATATATGATCGCGCGAAAGACTTTCACAACCGGAATTGCTCGCAGCGGCATTGTGCAGACAACGGCAAGTGCCATCCGGCGCTTATAGAGGTGAAGTGATCGTAGAAGTTGAATCTCGGCTTAGAATGGGTGGCAATGATGAGAATTCCAGAAAAGGAAACTCGTGGCATCGTGCTGTGTTTGTGGCGTACCACGATGCACGGACATAACGCTCGACTTCATATTGCATGATCTGTCGGTCTTCTTACTTTTCTGATTATGTATACATGCATCAATAGCTATGTTGATGGAATGGACTGTCATGTAGATCCAGGCACTCCGGGCGTGCTATGGATACCGATGACTTCAAAATAACAAGGAGCGCGACGTCACAGCCGACGGTGTCAGAGGCTGTTCCCTCTCTCGTCTCCGGAGTGACTCACTGGCTCGGCTCTACATTCTCCGGATTGTGCTATTGTCCATCGATTCTCCGGCACGCCGATGGACAAATTGGAGATGCTGTACTCCAAGCCCATCCTCGATTGAGACATTGCAGACATGTCGGGTGACGATGGTCAGCAATTGAAAAGCAATAAAATCAGGGGGTGATTGTTGCATTTCCCGTCCCACACAACAGCTGTACAACAATTCGAGGACCTCAGTCGTCCGCTTAATCCACCTGCCTGTATATTATAAACCACGAGCTGTCTGCCCTCCCGCAGCAATCATGTCTCAACCCATAATCACCTTGTACGACATTCCCTCCACCGTACCCCAACCATGGGCTCCAAGTATATGGCGTATACGGTATGTTCGAGACTACTCACCTTTCTCGCTGTCCTAGCTCACAGAACATAAGCTTCATCCTCAATTACAAACGACTCCATTACCGCACCGTCTGGATCGACTTCTCAGACGTGGAGGCGACCTTACGCAGCATCAACGCACCTCCAACATCCTACAAAAGCGATGGTCGACCCGTGTACTCGCTGCCGGTAATCATCGACCCTATCCGCACGTCGCCCGTTGTCCTGTCAAATGCCAATATCATTGCCGATTACCTCGAGCTCACGTACCCAGCGCGGCCGGTCTTTCCCGATGGTTCACGCGCACTGCAGTCGCTCTTCGTCCATTACATCCAGGAGACATTCGCGAGGCCTCTGCTTCCTATCCTCGTGCCTCTGACCCACCAGGCCCTGCCAGAGCGTAGCCAGGCCCATTTCCGCGGCGCTGGCGCCGGCCCCTCGTCCGTGCAGATGACGGGGCAGCAGAGGGAACAGGCCTGGCGGGCGGTCAAGGAGCAATTTGACTTCCTCGCGAGTATCCTGGACAAGAACACGGGCAGCGATGGTAACGGTGTCGTCGCCATGGGCCACGACGTTAGCTATGCAGATTTCGCACTGTGTTCCGTACTGTGAGCCATGAACCCCTTCCCTCTCCCTCCTCCATTCCCACGAAGACGACTCCACTGACAACGGTTGCAGGATTTGGATTGAACGCGTTTCGCCGCACGACGGTTGGGCTCGGGTGAGACAGTGGAACAACCAGCGATGGGTCAGGCTTTGGGAAAAATGCAGGGACTATATGGACGCTTTATGAGCGGATCAGATGCGAGCGTGGCCAGGCTGACACGTACAACAGCGCTAGAATAATTCGTCAGCGGTACTTCATCCACTACTTCCATCATGCTATTGCACGACGCTCCTCTCCTTTCATATGACAAACTAAGCGCAGAGCGCTTCACTACTCCGTTATAGATATACGTAGAATTATCCTATTGCACCCTACCCTGGTCAGCAAAAGGACTCTGCGAAATTCCTGCGCGGCTGGTGGCATCGTCTGCGTAGCGCTTGACAAACAGCGCGTTCCCCGGAAGCAAATCAATATTGGTATGGTGGTGATGCCGATAGACACGGGCGCTGATGTGCTACAAAAAACCTGTGCCGGTATGAGTCTGATCCGTCCTGCTCCTTGCTATAATTTAACTCACCAGTTGAACGCATTCTACAGAGTAAATTTCCATGGAACCGTGGCTACGGACAAATGCGCGGTGCGATCATGCGCTAGAGAAGACAATCTCAGCTCGCACGCCGGTCTATCTGCCGTATGCCGCAATCGTTGACGGATAAACACAATTAAATGACCCTAAATCAGCGACGACGTAAGCCACTTTCCGAGCCACATCTAGGACTCGCGGTCGACTCGCCGTTCGCCATGTTGGGTGCCTACAGGAAAATTCCGCTTCGTCAAACGACGATCACGCATCGGGAGCTAAATAAAATCATATCATCGTCGCCCCGGCGATGTGCGATGCCACAGAAGTATCAGCTGTGCATGAGGCGCACTTAGAATCTCATGATCAACTTCGTAGCACGTCTTCGTAAAGAAGCAAACAATCGGTCTGTGTAGTCTCGCCGTTTGTACGGGTTGACCTCCGAAATATCCGAATGCATCGCGAGCAACGTTCACGCTAATGGCAACTCGTGGCTTCAGCAACGACGCAACGACACAGGGACGGCAAGGCTTACCCTGGAGGCGCCCAGCTGTCCTGTGGTCCACATAACGCCGCCGAAGCACACAGTAAGCGCTTAGATGCGCGCGGGGCCAATTGTGTTCAGCTCGGATGGCGAGCTGAATGCAAGATGCGTGAGACGCCCGCTTGATCCAGGGTCCTACAAGCGATCACTCGCTAGGGTGTGAGCGTTTCCGATGTGACTTCACCTTAGTGACAATAACAAAGGGACGGCGGCGGCGAATCTAGGGAGGGCATGATGCCAGGGCGTCCCCCGGAAGTAATTGTCAATGTGTGGGTATAGGTGCGGCGGCGTGGCTTTGATTGAGGTAAGCAGCGGTTACTGGAGCCACATATGATGCAAAATAATTGGGATCCTGCCTGCCTTGATTAGTCTTCCATGCAAAACGAACTGGGTGGAGGATATGAAGGTGAATGTCCAATCGCAGCAGATATCAGCCCCAATGGACGCAAATTATACAGTATGATGTGAAGGCTAGAGCGCATAAACTGCACTTACCATCAAGTAGCCTAGAGCGTAAGTTCTTGACTATCAGCTGAGATGTTGACCCACAAAATGCTACGACGTGCGTAGAGAGAACAGTATGAGCAGAGCTCAATATAGTTATTTTTCCTCTTCGACGAAATTAACGAGCAATGCCGTGGGTCCAGACTCCGATGATAAAGTGGAAATGACTGGGAGGTGGGTGTTGCAGCGTCGTTTAAAGACGAGTATGTTTATTGATGCCTTGGTGCGATATAATCCACACGCAATATCCCGAAACCCAGAAGGCAGACTAGTTGAGCCTACGTATTCCAGATAGACACAAGGCGAAATAGCCCTTAGACCTAACAGGCCAACAAGTTGATTTCGTCCTTGCAAAAAGAGAGGGTCAGCAATTTTCATCGCTATTTGCGCGCTGTGCACGAACGAGTTTCCTGATTTTGCGTCGATTGTTGCAAGTTGAGCTGTCAGACAGCTGCTCGCGGGAGTGTCGGCGGCGAATCGCGGCTAGGTTGTGATGGATTGATAAGCCACTGCTTTGGGAATTGTGGTATTTATTACTATTTGTGTCCATCATCCGAACCCCTCCGAGGCCTGCCGCCGGCTGCTGCCCGCCTCATCCTTTCTGCAAGCTTACACATTTCATTGCTCTTCACTTCGAGTCAGTGATGTGCGAGTCATTGGCTATTGATGGGAAATGACCATAAAACCAGCCGTCCGGTGAGTTCACGCTCCTACATACGAGAGTGTAGATTAGATTTCGTGTTTTGCACGAGTAAACAGGTCATGTGAATTATTTCCTAATATATATTGTTGATCCGAAGGTGAACTCACTTGGTTGATAATGGCGGCTCCGCTCGCCGGGTCCGAATGGCCCCAGCCATGCTCGTGTCATTTGTTTGCTCGCTTATTTCATGTTGCCCACAAGATGATGTAAATATATGCAAATTCAACGTAAATTAACAGAAGAATTAGTTATTGGCGACCACCGCTATGAGGCCTTCAGTCGTCATGGCACTGTATCAATTGCTATGAACGCCAACACATCAGTCACAATTGACGACGCAAAAAGGGGCGCAGTTGTAGACAATGGGAAGACCTTCACGGTCTGATTTCCATTCGGAGGTAGGCACATGGACAACAAGATAATGGAGTTTATAGAATCTGATAGTAATCCGGGACGACGGTGGGGTCAACAGAGTGCCGGACTGAGTAGAGTGAGGGAAGACGAGGGGAAAACGCAGAGAACCTGTGGATGGAAGGCACACTCACGTGCAATGAGAGGTCACGTTACGTGAAAACGATGCTACCTCCTATTTTTTCAGGCACACGATGCACGAACTCCATGCAAGCACGATGGGTCACGTGTGTGCATCACGATGTTTTTGCGGTAAGCTGAATGTCAGGCCATTCGGAACCAGGACGGCTGGCCCAACTTGTGACCGAGGCATGCCCGCAAAGAGTGCCTATTGCGTCGTCCGTGGTCACCAGTGTTACATTATGATGTCGAAACATGCATCGGAGAGCCTACTATGGCCGATATTGACAATATCAAGCACTGGCCTAGCACTTCAGTCAAGCCTGGTGTACTGGGCGCGGCAGATGACGATCTTCCAATACTGTGCCTCCCTGGGTAGTTGGCAGACCCCCCAAGTCGGCAGTCACGTAAAAGTAACACATCCATCACGATCCATCACGCGTGATATTTCAAGGACCGCTTAGCCAACGCTTAAGGATTCTATGTGCAGATAGCTCGAAGCATACAATGATGTCGCTGACGTGATTGGAAAATGAAACTCCGACACAAGCTGTTACAACCGAGGCATACACCAGCGTGACAATGGCTTGAGCTGGTCCTCAGGAAGGGACTCCATGACTATTGCGCCGTTCGCTTTCGTTTAGGCTGGAAATGAGAGCAGGCATACCAAAACCTATGTCTACAAAAGCACGAAGGTAATCGAGTACTGTGGAGGGAGATACTATGAAATTGCCGACTTGGGGGTCTGGGAGGCACAGTACCGCAAAAGGAAGTTCGACCTCGAACACCACTATGCCCGAGGACCCCGGGCTTACCTTCGGAGTCATGATATTGACTTTGACTATTGACCATGGGCATTGACCACACACCACTAGTACTGCTCCGAGTCGCAAGGCTCAGCCATATTGTTCAGTGCGCTGTTTACCTAAACGAAGCCAACGGACAAAGCGATGTGTTCGAGGACACAAGCAAACACACGTTCAGCCATATTCGACGGCCTTCCTACTTGTCGAGGACTTTTGCACTTGAAATTGACATTGGATGAATGTATTTGGAGAAATGGATATGACGAAGACTCGGGAAGCCGCTGGGTCCGCAATTCAGCTTCTCCCATGGTCCCATTACTACTAGGCACCTGTAAGTGAATTCTGGCGACCAAGAGTCCCTGCAAACGGCGAGCTCCAAGTGCCATGGATTAGGAGAATGATCGTAGATATTGAGGTAGCTGATTCATCGCAGCGCCGGACGGCTTTGCAATCGTTCTGTGTCATAGATTACCAGCCGCCAGGGACGGGGGATCGAGTGGGTATTCCTGAGGCTTATAAGCAGGCCGAACTCAAACCAGCTTTCCACTCATCTTCTACTTCCGCCTTCTCCCCATACCCGCCATGTCTAGCGTCCCTCATCCTAAGACCTACTCTGCCTATGGATTCACCAAGAAAGGTGGTCCACTTGAGCCCATTACCTTCGACTGGAAGGACCCACAGCCTGGGGAGATCGTTGTGAAGGTCCTCGCGTGTGGTGTGTGCGCCAGGTACGTCAGCCGCGTGCCAAGTTTAGTGCCCACATACTAACACCAGCATCTGCAGTGACGAGGCTGCGAAGCACCAGGGGGTGCCTGCGGTGAAATACCCTATCGTTCCCGGTCATGAGATCGTCGGCGAAGTCGCGGCTATCCCGTCTACCGAGTCGAAGTGGAAGCTAGGCCAGGTCGTCGGCAGCGGCTGGCATGGCGGTCACTGCCACCTCTGTGCCGCCTGCCGTGTTGGTGATTACATGATGTGCGAAAAGCAAGACGTCAACGGTGAGACCGCTACCGGCTTCCTGTATACCGGCTGCTGACACTTCACCATTAGGAATCCTGCGTCACGGAGGGTACGCTCAGTACGTGACGCTCAGGACGGAGGCTGTCTGTGCTGTGCCCGATGGCATGGACCCTGCCGAGGTCGCACCTCTTTTCTGCGCAGGTGTCACCATGTTCAGTACGTATCGAAGACGTACTCAAGAAGTTATTGTGCTTACCTATCCTTCTAGACGGCTTGCGCAACATGTCTGCCAGGCCGCCGGACTACGTCGCGATCCAGGGCGTTGGGTACGCGCATGTCTTCTCCCTTCTTTGTCAAGGCCGCTAATTATTTTCACAGCGGTCTCGGCCACCTAGGCATCCAGTTCGCCAAGGCCATGGGATACCGCGCCATCGCCCTCTCTTCCTCAGCCGCGAAGGAGGAGCTCTCGAAGACGCTCGGCGCTGAGGTGTACGTTGACGGCTCCAAAGTCGACCAGGCGGAGGCCCTGCAGGAGCTCGGCGGGGCGAAGCTCATCATGTGCACCGCGCCGAACCCGGACGTTATCCGCACGCTGCTCCCGGGGCTCGCCGTTGGCGGTGAGCTGTGCGTCGTTGCGCTAACAGGCGAGGCCCCGATAAACCTTGGCGCGCTCGTCACAAAGCGGTTGTCGGTCCGCGGCTGGCCGAGCGGTGTCGCGCCGGACAGCGAGGACTGCGTCAAGTTCGCGAAGGTGCACGGCATCAGGACGATGGTGCAGAAGTTCCCGCTCGAGAAGGCTGAAGAGGCGTACAACCACCGCAGCACGGCGCGCTTCCGCGCCGTCATCATACCGTGAAGAAACGCGATTAGTCCTCAATATGTGTCGCAAACTGTCTCAGTACCAACTCTTCAATAAAATTTACATTAGCGCAGCACTAGGACCGAGTGATCATGAGATATTCAGTACCTCTATATATCGTCCCAGATATAAGCAATAATGTGTGCCTCTAAAATATCAAATTCACGCTCGATTTCGATGTAGTCAAATTGAATTTGACCAACCTTCCCGGTCTTCTTTCATCCGAAGTTGTCGACGGTCGTCTTTTATTGACATACACCTGCAAGGCCATACCCGCCCGGTTGTATATGTTGTCCAATATAGCAAGCGGCAATTTTTGGTTATGCCGACTAGATCTTGCTCTCCTCGTCGGTCAGGCATGACCGTTCATTACGCAGAACAGTTGGCAGTCGATGGCAGACTCAATCAGGTGCTGTCGATATAGGTGTGCGTCACAATTTGTTGCGCTATTGAAAAACTGCCAAGGTACATATATACTTCTTGGGGAATGCAGGCATGTTGCACACCATTAATATAGAACTTACCAAGTCTCGCGCCATCACGCTGTATCCTGATGAACCCAAAGCACAATCACACAGCCATTGCTGTGACAACTAATGCACCAGACCCCAGGACTTGACGCTCTTATACCTTACTTCCAGTGTCTGAGCAAGCTGACAAGTTCAAAGACTTCATGCTGCGCAAGTCTCGCAGCATGACATTATGTATACGCACAATTGGACTACCACATAGCTTCTGCTACAGATGAAGCTGCTCACGAAGAGCAAGATAGGAAAAAATTGACCCAATGCTCGGACGACATCGCGACAGAACAAGAGTAGTCTGAATCGAGTTTCGCAAGCGACAGACGTCATAACAGCGAGCCGCGAAGTGCACTGAAGGACGGGAAACGCATGCGGCCATCATCCACCTTGTCCAAACCTCATACGAGGCTACACCCACGTCGCGCATTGCGCGCCGTGCGCGATCGTCAATAGCATGTGCCCTCCGAAGAGGAGCACACGAGACTGGACACAACAATGGAGACGACCACATACCACTCCGCAGAGCGACCCGCCCAGTCCCCGCGACCATTCCAAACCCCCCACACTTGTCAGCGTGATCCACTGCTCCCTCGTCTATACTAGAGTCTTCAGGATCGACGAGTGACTCCGTGTGAGCGTGAGCGCCAGCTCGTCGATGCAGTCTTCGGTTG